ATTCTTCGAGTGGAGTTGTCTAGCTCATGTGGGACTCATTAGCGGTCCTCAAAGTTAAAATCGTAGAAATTTCAAGAGGTAAGAAATTTGCGACTTGCCGATAATTAGAACTCCGACGATGACAAATCAAGCTCATATCTTACCACTGCCCATCATCATCATACCTTACCGTGACCATCATATTGATAATGTTCTGCAACGACATCGGAAGATGCCTCGAGAATTGGATCGCAAAAAACTACTTCGTAGTCTGAAGCAAATGACAAATGACCTTATGGTCGCGCGATACATGGAGTTGATTGAATTTATGGTGGATCAGCTCCTCGAGGAGGGCTCTGACAATAGCTCTGATAAGGGATCGGATGGTGATAGTGGGTCAGATGTCAGCATACGGACCGCATCGCCAACATGGCCGGAGTCCCCGACGTCATCCATCATATCCACGTTGTCCATCAGCTCTCTAGTAACCTCACTTTTGACAGCGTATTCTGATGTCCTATCACTCGATATCCTGGTGTAGAGACTTGTGCGTCTCATAGTCTGATATGACAGTTTTCACTAGGGAGTACATAGCACGAACTTGTAGCATCACTCTGTGCACTACCCGCAGCTATCTCTATATGAGGCGCAGCTTTCCCGCGTGTCACGATGTATACACATGCGTGCATTCCTGCACTTGAGCGCCCTATAGCGCCAGCCATCCAGAAGTGTCCATCCACTGTCCACCAAGCCCTCTAGTGCATATATTTCCATTTCTTTTATTAGCATATCATTCCACCTTTATTTTTATCATGGTTTCTCACCCATATATATCTTTACATACCTACTCGGTAGCGCTTCGGCTCCGCATGACCGCGCTTAGGCGCGCTATATAAGCGCCAGCAGTACATACTATTACTTACTTACTTTTCCTACTTTTCACCCACTTTTACCTTACTTTACTTTACCTAGTACTTACTACCTAGAAAGTCACAGTAGAAACCTATTCTTTTACACCTCACATCTCTCTTCTCTTACCTTGCATCATATTATCACTTAAGCTTAATTTTCCGCATACGCACACGCGCTTTCCTGCGCTTCGCGCTAATACGCGCATGTGTTCCCGCGCCTTGCGCGCACCTGCGCTTTCTTGCGCTTCACTGAAGCGCGTACCTCTAGATCTTTGCTGCACTTGCTTCCCCTTTAGGGTCGAACGCACTTGTCTCCTCAAGTAACACAGACTAGGCAACGCTCAACCTACAACATTTTTAGATACAGTCTGGAGCCTCATTTGTTCCTCACAGTATTGTTGTTTCTACACCGGACATGTGCGATCAAGTGTTTACGCACTTTATTGATGTGATCAGGGCACTGCATGATGAAGTGGAGAAGTGTCGGGTACTTGACGTGCGTCCATCTCTGACTCGCGCACCGCAGTTACACCTGCTGCAAGAATGGACGCTGCTCTCACCTGAAAAGTTTCGCCGCAAGCTTCGCGTTGATGCAGAGGTATTCAACAAACTCACGACGTTAATCCAAGCCCACCCCATTTTCCATAATAACTTGAATAATCCACAACTTCCTGTCGCCGTCCAGCTCGCGATCTTTCTCAATGGTGTCGGCCATTATGGCAATGCTGCAATTACCGAAGACATATCCGATTGGGCTGGAGTGTCCGTAGGGACCATCTACAACTGCTACAAGCAAGTCATGATCGCGATCTTGCAACTGCATGATCGTGCCATACATTTTGATCTGCTCGATCGTGAGGACCAAATTGAGCGAGAGCGGGCAAAAGCGTATGTGGAGCAGAAGACATGTCATGAGTGGCGCGGCGGTTTCCTTTGTGTAGATGGGACTCCGTCCCCTCTACACGAGAAGCCCGGTTGGCACGGCGAAGGGTTCTTTGACAAGAACTCTGACTACTCTCTAACAGCCCAGGTAAGTATCTACTATCGGCTCAGTGTGCAGTGCAGCGACTTACAATCCAAAAGGTTGTCATATTCCCTAATAATCTGCGTATCATTGACTACGTCATTGGCATACCTGGGAGTCTTCACGACTCGAACATATTTGCACGAATGAGGGTCTCCTGGCATCCGGAGTCATTTTTTGGTGCAGGAGAGTGGTTGTGGGCGGACTTGGCGTATGCTGCGCGAATTTGGTGTGTGCCACCGTACAAACAGCCAGCGGGAGGGTCTTTGACGGCCGAGCAAAGGACATTCAATTATGACCTGTCAACAGTGAGCATCAGTACTAATATACTTTCGTTGTCCTCACCCAGTGTCTAGGTCTGTGTTCGTTCAGAGCACTTCTTCGGCTCTATCAAGGGCTGGTTCCAATCACTGCGGGAGCTTCACATCCCAATCCAAAGCCAGAAGGACCTCGACTACACGAACATGTGGATCCGTTCGTGCTTCATTCTGCACAACTTAATTGTTGAAATTGAGGAAACAGAAAACCGCGAAGACTCAAACATATGCTTCTATCAGCAAACTCGGAGATTGAGGCGAGCTGATGGTGACAGAGGAGAGGATGATCAGCAACAGGGTGGCGCAGTAGGTGATCAGACTTACATTGGAACTGTGGGGCAGGATTTTCGTAACACATTAAAGATGCGGTTGCTTTCGTCGTTGGAGCGAAGGTAGTTAGTATTATATTAAATGTACTTGTACCTATACATATTCCTTTTGGCTCGCAAGGTCACGCTTGAGATTTTCTTGAGAAAGGAGTGTTTTAGTGAGCTCTAGGAGGAGTCAGTAGCGCTTGAGATTTTCTCAAGAAAGGAGTGTTTTAGTGAGCTCTAGGAGGGGTCAGTAGCGCTTGAGATTTTCTTGAGAAAGGAGTGTTTTGGCGAGATCTAGGAGGGGTCAGTTGTGCTTGAGATTTTCTCGAGAAAGGAGCGTTTTGGCGAGCTCTAGGAGAGGTCAGTTGTGCTTGAGATTTGCTCGAGAAAGGAGCGTTTTAGTGAGCTCTCTGAGTTGGCACCATCGAGTACCACATGGAATGCATTTCCTGAAAACCTGTTACGTCACAACATAGTGCAAACCTACTTAGTTTTGATCAAGACTGCGCTCCAAAGCAATACGACGAATTCAAGCCTCCTCCTCCTCCCGACATGCATGAGATAGCTCAATCTCAATTCTTGCAAATTCCATCTGTTGAGTCATCCTCTCCTGCTGGTGCTGATGATCTTGGTCAGATAGACGCATCACATGCTCCCGCTCATCACGAGCCCAAATTTCGGTCTCAAGTTTCATGCGTTTATAGTGTTCGTGCTCCACACAATCCTCACGTTTGCTGTTAAGGTGCGTCATTAGGGAATCTGTTGTCTGAGACATCCTATCTGCAGCGGCAGAGGTCTGATCGAGAGTGCTGCCACCAGGGCGTTTGCGTGATGAAGAGGGGGGGCGACTAGATTGAGGCGAAGCACTCTGAGTAGGTGCACGTGCACAAGACTGCTTTGTAGAAAGAGAGGGTGAACTTGCACTGACTTCCTTTGAGTGAGTTGACACGAAGAGACTGCAGCACTCAGCTAGCACCAATGTCCGAATCTTCCGAGTCAATGGGTGTGGATTAAGGGCCAGCTGATGACTCCTTGAAATCAGAAAAGAAAGGTGAATTGTGGGTGGTGCTTTGATTGGGTACCGGTGAGTGCTCAGGAGAGTTCAGCGATATCATGCTGTGTGTGTTGGAAGTTGTGATGGGAGGAGGTTGGGGTCGTTGGTACCAGTGTGGTAATGGAGCGAGTGAGAATGAGTTGGGCGTGTCGCTAGGACCATGGTCCAAAAATAACAGCGGGGATGGTGCTGACAACGGTGATTTGAATGACTCCATGGAGGGGGGCTGGTCAACCATCATATCATCTGGCGCATCTATAATGCCAGCATCACCTGTAGTATGAGCGCTGATCTCAACTATTTCTCCGTCCTCGGCATCCTCATCTGTGTGAGTGTTGTTGTTGCCTGCGGCCGGTGCTTGTGGTTGCTTTGAGATAGTGAAATGTTCTAATGCAGCAGACGCAAAATCTTGCCCTGTATCCGCCGTAGAGAAGGTGTAATTGAAAGCTGGGTTTGTGCGCCACCAGCCATGAAGCTCAGGCCACCAGGGAAATTTTTTGAGCTTTGTATCTAACAGAGATACGATTAAGACATGTGCAGTTCAACAGCAGCTAAAACTTACCAATCAACGACTTCATCGTTGGATACTCTTGCAGCTCTGCATACGCCTTTCCGGCTCCTGACTGCTTGAGCTCCTTGTTGAACTCGTTATATTTTTTCTTGAGCCTAAAACATCTGATCAGTGATTCTAGTGGGAGGAGGGACAATGCAGGAATGGGATACATACGTGCTGAGATGAGTTGAAACTGGTTTGATAAATGCCTTTGGGTCCTCCTTGAAAAGTCATTGGACCTCCGGATCCTCGTCATTTGAAAATACGGCTTGTGCGACCTGTGAATAAAAGGTATCTCTCGAAGTTCCGCTCTGTTTCTTCTTCCGACCTTGCTCCTTCGCATCCTTTGCAGAATTGGAGAACAGCTTGATGCGTGCATCTTTATTTTCCTTGCACTAGGCAAGGAGACGTTCCATACGAGCGCTATGAACCCCCTCCCAATAATTAGTGCATTTCTTCCCAGTGTCTGTACTGGCGGACACACCTGCTTGAACTCCACCACCTTGACCTCTCTGTCCAGAGCGTGACATGATTCAGGGTGTTTATTATGACAATGATTGATGATCAGATTGAATCTTTGGCACCGTCAATGCCAGTAATGACGATGTCGAGTGACAGGGCAGGGCAGAGTTTGAACATGCCGTACCAGCAATGCAAAATATTGCTGTGAATTTTTTTCTACGTTTGACTTTGAGAACCGTTATTATATACCTTGGCCATGATGGCAAACAATGTCCGGCGGTCACCGATCGGTGGAATTTGTTTGAAGAAGATAAACCCAAAGACCTGCTCGAGCCTGAAGATCTGCCATTTGTGTCCGGACCTGAGTTCCAGCCAAAGGAAACACCATGGTCATTGTCGACAAGTCCAGAGTTCATCGCCTGGAGGTTCGATGCTGTGAATGTCCGAATGCCATGAGTCCGGACATTCAAATGTTTCAACACAGATTTTTCCCTGCATCTTTTAACAGGCCAAAGACTGTGTTCACCTTCAGAGTGCTCAATGATTTTCTACTGGACAGCCTTGAATGCGGCACCTCGGCGATGAACTATTACAGCAAGCTCCGGCGAATGACCTCCAGCATGTTTCCACACCTTGTTCCGGTAATGCCTTACCCTCATCATCTACTGGACATCATATTGACAAAGCACATTGCAAGGACCAATACAGAGAGCTCATGAGGGTCGCTCGACAGTGGAGGCAGTTGAAGACAATGAAATGGCATGGCTTTGGCCATCATTCTGATAACACGAGCACAGGAGAACTTGCATTATTTTGCCTGGCATGTCCTCAGCCTGGGATTAATGTGCTGTTGTCAGAGGATGAATCTCTTGATGAGTGAGTCCTATTCTCAACCTATGTGGCCTTCATAATAATACTAGGGATCCAAGCTGGAAATACACCCGGTCATTTGTGATGGATGGAAATTTCAAAGCCGAACATCTGCATCCCATTAAGCCATTCAATGAAGTTTGGCTGTCCGATGGGCTTGGATTCATGGTAGGAAAGGACAGGTATAAAATGCATCTGGCAGAGGCTGCTGACACAGTGGAAAAATCAAGCTGCAACAATCACCGGGCAGTAAATCAAGCTAATGCTGCTCGGCACAAGCTGGAGTCCACCGGTATTGGGGGAGTTGCCTGTGCCAGACACGGTTGCTTTGTCCCTCACTGCATGGCAGATTTTCAGAAAGGCGAAAGGCAAGCCACATCCACCATTCCCCATTCACGAGTTAACCATGGGTCACTTGCAGACCAATGAACATGGACTACGCCCTTTGCGAGGCTTCCCGGCACAACATGGAAGGCATCACCAGGGCTGTCACCTTCTATGATATTAATTGTCAATACAACAAACACTTTCGGGTTCGGGTGGATCGAAGTCGATTTCTAGAAATGGCACCACAACTAACCATCATTCCTGGAATTGGGTTATGGCACGTTCATGGCCATCAGGACAGCTACTATGTCCGATATGCTTCTAACTTTATTGAAGGCATTGGTCGGATCGATGGAGAGATCATGGAGACACTATGGGCACAGCTCAATCTGATCTCCCCTGCTGCTCGGGGAATGTCATCTCCCCACTGAAAGGAATGCCTTGATTATCAGATGAATGACTCCAATTTCTGCAAGATGATTCACATGAAAAGGACTCTATGCTGGAAATACAAACTGGCTAGGAATGGTATCTTAGAAAGTGGAAAGGCATTCAATAGACTCAATGAAGCAGCACTCTCACATTTGAAGACAGAATGGTTAGCCAGGGAGAGGATAGCTCAGTCAAGCAGATTGAATGATCCTTCAGCCATGGATGAATATGAGATCAATATCAAAAAGGGTATGTTGAGTTCCATTGTCTCCATCAAGGTCTGAATTAATATTGCACTCAGCACCTCGCAAAAAGGAGATTGAGCTTAGATTGTTAGAGGAGGGTAAAGCCTGCAATGCAGCACCCTCTCGCAGATCTGTGGCAACATGGATATCAACAGGGTTAGCAATTGAAGAGGCTCAGATTGCATTGCTCATTGAGGTCCAAAGGATCGGAAGAAGATCCACCAAGACACAGAGATTAGACATCGCCCGTCAACGAGATCGGCTCCAAGGCCAGATAGATGGATTTGCTCGGTCTGCTCTAACACATCTCAGGGAGGGATTTGATGCAGATGATAAACCTGAGGACTTGGAAATAGACATTCTAGATGATCTTGATGATGACCCGGTGGATTTCACAGAGACATCTCATACATGGACAAACTCTCCCGAGCTCACTGTAATCCCATTGCCATCAAACCTGGGGGTTGATAGATGCAGACGATGCATGGCAGGGGATCTGATTCCCCTGGAGATGTCGCTTCGTGAAGGGCAGGCCAATGATGCCCTTCACAATCTCCGCATTTACCTTTGCAACAAGGCCATCCTGTTCCAAACAACCGTTAGGCAGGCCAAATCCCAGGCCCTGAAAACTCGAGCTTGGTCCCAGGTGACGTCGGTGCAGCAGGCAGTCTCCCTCCATGCCAGCATATATACAAAGACAAGGAAGCAAATAATGAAACTTGAGCCGGGGCAAGACCAGCTTCAGAAATACAAACCCCTGCTTCACGAGCAACTCAAAATCAGCACTGCAGTGGGTGACCCAAATGCCCAAGGTCAACGAAATGAATCTTTGGCTTGGTTTTGGTCTGTTGAAGTTGACCTCGGGGGTCCTGATCAATCGTGGAATGAGGAATGTGAGTTCCTGCTTGCATGTCATATCCCACGGTTACCTGACTGGACCCATGCCAAGTTTACCGAGTCCATTTGCTGAGGGCAAAGGCGCTACGGGATCGATGGAGGGAGGAAATGCTATTGGTTAAATTGGAGATGGATTGGACATATAAGTTCTTTTTGTGGAAAACAACCCAATGGGGCGAGCACATGCAGGAATCATTGGAGAAACAACTTCCGGGTCACGGATGCGACGCCGGAAGGCAATCCCAAATGTATTCATTGCTGGCACAGAATGCGCAGGCAGCTTTTCAAGACCTACAAAATGTGTTGATAGAGGCTGGAGATGAATGAACATTGTTTTCTCATGAAGTCCCTTTTTCCATATACATAATTGAGGCCCGGGAATTGTCCGGGTCAGCCCATGTCGAAGTTTGAATTTTGTATCCATCCATCAGTGATTGTTATCTTCACATCTTCACCATCTTTCACTTGTATTGCCAGCACCATAGTCCTGTATTAGCCATGTCTGCATCTCATGCATCCACTTCTGGCACTCTGAATGCTGGAAGCCATTACCGACCCCTGAAGCTGAGCCTTGCAACTATTTCCTGCACATTGGCAATGGCTGGATCTCGCGTCCGTGCATGCATCTCTCAATATCGGATGGAAGCTGCCAACAATGGTCTATCTTCTGACCGGATCAAGTATTTTAAAGCTGGGCTGCAATGGGAGATGAATGTATGTCACCACTGCCCTGATGACTTTGTTGGTCAATGCTAAAAATTTGAGCAGACTTTTGTCACACCACTCCTGCAGTACTCCACTTCACAGAATATCGTGTTGGTTCTTCCGGTCCCTGTCGCTTATATCCTTAAGTTGTATCCCATGCTAACCTGGAACACGGTTCCAGACGACATCTTTTCATTCCACCTCCTTTCATTTCATGATGAGCCAATTGCAGGACATCTGTCCCGGATTGTGTTCGCATATACATGTCCATGGTGGATGGGAAACACCACAATCCCTGATCAACCATGGCAGTGGGATGAAATAATGGCTTCCTGCATCTCTCACTACCAGTATTGTGCGGTAAGATGTTAGCTGAATTACCTTGATTGATGACTTATCTGTTTCAGCTTAATGTTGAGGATGATGCTTTGGTTCTTCCAGAGAAGTTGAAAAACACTTCGACTCCACCACTCATGGGACTGAGGTTCATCAAAGAACACATGGAAGCATTGATGGAGGAGCAAGATCAGGGCATCAAAGCCAAGATGGGAGAGGTGAAGATGTACACTGACATGTTAGAGAAATTGAGGAAAGGCAAAGGAGTGTAGTCCCATTCAGTCTTCATTGTATACAAGATGTAAAATATTCTATGCATTCAAAAATCTCACATCCGAGTCCCGGAAGCCCAGGTCCCAAGTCCTGAATTTTGGAGGTCAGGGTTCGGCGACCCAGAGCTCGGCAACTGTGTTGGGTGTCAGGGTATCCGGGGCATTGGAGATAGCATGTGTCAGTATTTTGCGTTTTATGGTTCATGTTGGGTGAATATGGAATCGGGAATTAGGGACTCGGTATTCAGAACAGTGTCAAGTCCCAGGTCACGAGCTCCGAGTCCTGAGTGCCGAGCCCTGGGTCCCGAGTCCCGAATTTTGGAGGTCGGGGTTCAGCGACCCGGAGCTTGGAAACTGTGTTGGGTGTCAGGGTACTCGGAGCATTGGAGATAGCATTTGTCAGTATTTTGAGTTTCATGGTTCATGTTTCGTGATTATGGAATCAGGCGTCAGGGACTCGGTATTGAGAACAGTGTTGAGTCCCATGTCACAAGCTCCGAGTCCCGAGTCCCGGAAGCCCAGGTCCCAAGTTTCGAAGTTTGGAGGTCAGGGTTCGGTGACCTGGAGCTCGGCAACTGCTGGGTGTGGGTTTCGGGACTCAGGACTCGGAGCTCATGACCTGGGACTCAACACTGTTCTCAATACCGAGTCCCTGATGCCTGATTCCATAATCACGAAACATGAACCATGAAACTCAAAATACTGACAAATGCTATCTCCAATGCTCCGAGTACCCTGACACCCAACACAGTTTCCAAGCTCCGGGTCGCTGAACCCCGACCTCCAAAATTCGGGACTCGGGACCCAGGGCTCGGCACTCAGGACTCGGAGCTCGTGACCTGGGACTTGACACTGTTCTGAATACCGAGTCCCTAATTCCCGATTCCATATTCACCCAACATGAACCATAAAACGCAAAATACTGACACATGCTATCTCCAATGCCCCGGATACCCTGACACCCAACACAGTTGCCGAGCTCTGGGTCGCCGAACCCCGACCTCCAAAATTCGGGACTCGGGACCCGGGGCTCAGCACTCAGCACTCGGAGCTTGTGACCTGGGACAGCTCTGGGTCGCCGAACCCCGACCTCTGAAATTCGGGACTCAGGACCTGGGCTTCCGGGACTCGGTATTCAGAACAGTGTCGAGTCCGGAGTCCACAATGTCGGGGTTCAGGGTTTTGTCAAATGTGTATGGCAATAACAAATGTTAATTCGAGCGTATTTATACATCTTCCCCCAGTCTCAAATATCACGTGCTGAGGTCCGGGTGTCGGGACTCAGTACCCCGGCACTCAGGACTCCCATATGTCAAGTCCTGAGTTCCAATTATCGAATACCGAGGCTTGCATGCAAATTATTCAGTCCCACATATCACTTTGAAAATGCTCAAAATTGAGTATTGAGGTCCGGATAACAATTGGTACATGGTATTCATTTGTTAGAATGTATATATGTCACAATGCTTGCTCTTTGTTTGATCTTTCACATGCTGTATGGACCATCCACACTAGCCTATCCACATGATGGAACACCAGCGTAAATGTGAACAGCATCCCTCATATACCATGCTCAAGCAGTCCGATCCCCTTCCACATCATAAACTCCATGTCTCACAATCCTTCTGGAAAACGCAATCATACAGCTGGAATTGTACTTGAACTCCAGCTGAAGGTTTGGCATTGTCATCCGAGCATTAGAATAGTTCCCCATGGTGGTGAGAATGTCGAAGCATTCAGCAATGGACATGTGGTCTCGATGATGGGGGGTTTCCCGATTGGAAATGACGGAGAGGGTGTTAAACACGGATGCCCAGTACTGCAGGGCCTCCAGCATCTGTGGCAGATCCTTGCTTACTGCTATATTTCCAAGGTTTGACAAGGTTCTCAACCCTGCCCAGTACTGCTCAGGATGCATGACTCTGAGTGCCGTGGACGCGATGGCTGCTGGCCTTGCAATGGCTTTGAGGATATTCTCGCAGGAAGGTCCCTTCAATGATGCAGATACCTCCGGATCGGACACATTCTTTGGGATTGGTAAGTATGACTGCCGGAATCACCATCCCATCAGATCCTACCTCGTGTCCCTGCGCATCATTAGTGAAAATTTCAAATTAAGTGCGCGAAGAAAAGACTCACAAAGGATGTCAACCTCGAACGGAAAACTCGGAGAAGATTTCCTCTGCATCCCGAAGCTCGCCACTGACGGCGAGAATTGGATGATGTACAAAGAGCGACTTCAATGGTCCATTGATGCTTGCGGGCTACTCAGCCATTTGGATGGCACTGAGACGAAGCCTATAGACCCCAAGACGCTGCCTAACAGAGGAGCGTCATGGGTACCTGCTACTCCGGATGAAGTGAAAGAAGTTAGTACATACAAAACAGAGTTTAAGGAATGGCGCACCGGCCAAGCCATAATGAAGCAGCAGATCGCGGGAATGATCCCCGATTCTCTATTCATACAAATCAAAAATCTCGACATGGCTAAAGACATCTTTACGCACCTTGCGAGTCTCTTCGAGCAGCACTCGCACGTAGTGTCTGTGGAGCTATTGCGAAAGCTCCAAGACCAGAAGTGCGCTGAAAAGGAAACATCAGAGAGCATTTTGACAAACTATGCACCATCAAGGAGCAGCTGTCCTTGTTGGGCCATGCGCCAACAGACGAAAGCTTTGCAGCCATCATCATGAGCTTACTCCCGGCATCCTACGATCCCCATTTATCCGCATTAATGGCTTCCACCAAAGTATCAAGCATGAAACTTACCGCGGACGTGCTAATGTCAACAGTCGTTGATGAGTACGACTGAAGAGCTTCGAAGACGAAGCAAAAGGGCCCGTCAGCAGATGACGCGGCATATAACGCAAATATGAACCGAACAACTCGTAAGATAAAGGGGAATTGCCACAACTGCGGCAAGTATGGCCACATGCAGCATGATTGTCGTGGACCTGGGGGAGGAGGATCAGCCGGAGGAAAAGGCAAAGACAGGTCCGACGCCAAGGGGAAACGAGCCGAAACGGCTGCCAGCGCCAAAGACAAGGCAAATGACGACGAGCCTGAAGGTGTTTGGTTAGTGCATGAAACTGCAGGAACAGACGAACAAACCTCGCTCACATACTCGATGCTAACAAGCTCGAGTCATAGCCAAGAACAGTGGATTGAACTGTTCGACTCCGGCGCATCACGACATATGTCATCGTACTGCGACCTGTTCCAGGATTTCGTCAACATCGCCCCAAAACCAATCACAACTGCTGACAAACATACCTTCCAGGCAACCGGCAAAGGCAACGTCATGATCCTGTTGCCAAACGGAAGCTCCAGTACACACATCTTGCTGAAAGATGTCCTATACACACCTAAGATGGGCGTGACTCTTGTGTCAATCAGCCGACTTACGCAGCCGGATACGCCACATGATTCTGGGAGAGCTCCTGCAAGATATTCAATGATAAAAAGAAGCTGTTGGGAGAGATTCCAGTGAATAAGGGCTTATATAGCGTCAAACGACCAAAGACACCATACGCTGGAGCAGCAGCTGCAAAGGAAAAACTCACCATGCAGGAACTACAAGCCAGGCTAGGGCACATGGCGCCAAGCACCATCGCGCAAATGATCCCCAAAGAAGCGATCACTGGAATAAGTCTTGATGCGGCCGAAAAGACGATGGACGGTTGTGAATCCTGCGAGTATGCAAAAGCTGCTCGGAAGCCCATTGGCAAAGTCCACGAGCCCGCGCACCGCGAAAACTTCGGTGACAAAGTCCATACGGACTTATGGGGACCTTCTCCAGTAAGAACTCCTGGCCATAAAGAATACTTTGCGTCATTTACAGATGATCACACACGATTCACTCACCTGTACCTGCTAAGGACCAAAGATGAGACATTCGACGCGTACAAGAAATTCGAAGCCTGGGTGAGTATGCAGCTCGACACGAAGATCAAGTGTCTGCACTCAGACCGTGGTGGAGAATTCACTAGTGAGGAGTTCACACATTACCTAAGTAGCAAAGGGACAGAACGCAAACTCACCGTGCACGATACGCCGGAGCATAACGGAGTTGCTGAGCGCCTTAACCGAACCATCGTGGAAAGAGCTCGTGCATTGCTGCACGCCAGTGGACTGCCCAAATTCCTGTGGGGGGAGGCAATTATGCACGTAACGTGGTTGAAAAACCGAACCGTCACCCGTGCGCTAGGTAATAAAACACCTTATGAAGCATTATTTAACAAAAAGCCCAACCTGGAGAACTTACCTGTCTGGGGGAGTCGCGTCAAGGTTCACACCACGGACGGCTCCAAACTGGACATGCGCACGATAGAAGGACGATGGGTGGGTTATGACCCGCAGAGCAACGGGCATCGAGTGTATCTGCCCGACACCAGGCGCATAGCTGTCGAACACAGTGTCAGATTCGACACTGCAGAGGTCAGAATACATCTAGAAGGACCTGAGAGAGGGGGACACCACATGGTATGAATCGATGATGTCGGTTCAACAACCCCACCAACAGTTAGCCACACGGCACGAATCGATGATGTTGGTTCGAAACTCACCGGCAAGCCATCAGCCCCAAACCCCGTTCCATCTTCTCCTACAGACCACCTAGGCCCTCAATTCGAAAACGCAACATTACCGCACCGATCTGGACGAGTAAGAGTCGAGTCAGCATATATCAAGAGCCTGCGCGAAGGCGCAGGCACCACGGACAGAAAAAGCAGCGACCTACCTCATGGGATGCAGCCCACCCCAGAAGAATCCAATTTGGCGGCCGAACTCGGACTGGAGGGGGAGAATGGAGAGATAGACGAGGATGATGAAGAGGTCTTCGCCATGGTGGCAGGAGTCGCTGAAGTAGCGAGTAGCGACCCAACGACGGTCAAGGAAGCCTGCAACAGAATGGATTGGCCTAAATGGGAAAACACAATCAACAAGGAACTCACCTCCCTAGAAGAAGCACGGACTTGGTCAATCATCGAGAAGCCTGAAGGTGCAAATATAGTAGGGTGCAAATGGGTGTTCCGGATCAAGCGGAACGCAGACGGGGAAATTGACAAGTACAAAGCCCGGCTAGTGGCTAAAGGTTATTCCCAGGTATACGGTGTAGACTATTATGACACTTACACACCTGTCGCACGCCTCACATCTCTCCGTACCATCCTCGCCATCGCCGCACGAAATGACTGGAATATCAATGTCTTCGACTTCCACAGTGCCTTCCTCAACGGTAAGCTGGACGAGGATGAAATTATTTATATGGAGCTCCCACCTGGTTTAAACATCGACAAGAAGTTCAAGCACCCTGTCGCGCTGTTGCACGTTGCGCTCTACGGGTCGAAGCAAGGAGCTTTAAAGTGGTATCAGGAGTTGTGTCGGCTGATGAAGAGCTTAGGGATGACGCGTGCAGAGTTGGACTGGGGGATATTCTTTAAGCACATAGGCACGGACATCCTCATTCTCGCGTCTCACGTTGACGATTGCACTATCACCAGCAGCAACTCCTCTCTCATCACTCAATTCAAGAAGCAGGTTGCTGCATGCTTCAAGCTCACGGACTTAGGTCCAGTCGCATCCCTGCTCGGCATGAAGGTGACGCGTGACCGTGTCGCACACACCATCTCATTCTCGCATGAGACCTACATCGAAGCTATACTCACCAAATACAACTTCATAGACTTGAAGCCGTGCTCCATCCCAACGGACCCCAACCTCCCACTTTCGCACTCGCAGTCTCCTACAACCCCTACTGAGTCCGCACGGATGAAGAATGTGCCCTATCGTGAAGCTGTCGGCTCGCTCATGCACCTCGCTGTTGGTACACGCCCCGACATTGCCTTCGCAGTATCTACCATAGCCCAATTTGGGGCAAATCCTGGCATGCCCCACTGGGACGCTGTCAAAAAGATCTATCGCTACCTTATAGGTACAAAGACCCTCGCACTCACTTTCGGCGGCCGCAGACAAGGCCTGGAAGGTTTCACTGATGCTGACGGCGCGTCACAAGAACACAGACACACCGTATCCAGCTACGCATTCTTGTTGGATGGTGGAGCGGTCTCTTGGGCGTCGAAGAAGCAAGAGTTGGTAACTCTTTCCATGACGGAGGCAGAATACGTCGCGGCAACGCACGCTGCAAAGGAGGCCATCTGGCTTCGGCGCTTCGTCAGTGAAGTCTTTTGCCCGCTTACCAGCCCTACCACCTTACATTGTGACAACCAATCCACCATCACGCTTGCTCAGTCCGGAGCGTTTCACGCTCGGACTAAGCACATTGATATATGATACCATTTCATATGTTTTTGCGTGGACAAAAGTTCTATTTCAATTGTTTATTGTCCTATGGACGACATGATTGCTGATACACTTACAAAAGCTCTTCCTAGTTTAAAGGTTAAACACTTTGCCTCCGCCCTCGGACTTCGCTCAGTTTGAGGGGGAGTGTTGGATTATCAAACCTTCGTCATGGACACTCGGTACCGGTAGCTTACCTCGTACCTATATATTCTCATTCATTCCTGTGCCTCGTACTATCCTCAGTTGACTTTGTACGTCGCTGAGGTTAGTACCATCTAGTATTCAGTATCTACTTAACTAACAACACGTGTAGCTATCTGCTACAGGTATACCAATATGATTAGTTGACTTCGTACGTCGCTGAGCTATCTGCTACAGCTTCCGGCGAGCTTCTGATGAAACAGCAATGTTTCCAGTAGAGAATACAGCGGTTATCGAAGTATAGAACTTTGCGTAGTATGACTAGCGAAGTCCGTCGAAAGACTTAAGGATTTCAATAGCAAAATGGCAGCAGTGAGACCAAACGATCATTCCAAATGAACAAAGATCGATTGCGAAGTACTAAAAATCCAGAAGTGACAACTACTAACTATGACTCGAAGCAAGGGAAGTGAAGTGAAGTCTGAGTATCTAGCGAGCCAGAATATATTCTACGACGTGAAAGTCCGGAATCTGCGTAGGCGAGAAATGTAGCGAGATAAGACATCTGAAATGTAATAAGACTCAAGGCGAGTCGCTATGAAGATATACTTGTAATAATGCATGAGCAGCATATCTATATGTATTAGCAAGGGTTTTCAACATATGTGCCCCTAGACATCATCAATAACAGATAATCAAATGAAAATGCACCAGTGAAGTCAAATGGACAAGGACAGGACATGGTATGGAGGATTGGAAAAGCTGAAAAAGGCCTCGGAAATGGACGGACGACTCGGACAAGCACGCGGAGCTATTGGAAGACTGGAAGTGTGTCGGGGAGTGTAATATGTGATTTCGACCCTATACGTGTCCAGCGCCGACCCAAGTGTTACAACTTGTATTCAACACCAAGGCAATGAAAACCTGCAGCAAGCTGTAGACTGGCACATGCAGACCCTCACTTCATTCCATCCATCTTCACAGACATCATTGGTGACCATTCCTTCCAGCACTGTCATATCTGAAAGCTATTTCTATGAAGAATTGAATGCAACTACTCTCACCATGACTTGTTCAAAAGCTAAAAGTACTGCACCTGATAGCTCAGACACAGGACAATCTCAAGAGAAGCTTGAGGAACCTATTAGTACCTCATCAAATGTCTGTGCCCAAGAGCAAACTTGCTTCATCAAAATCTCGCCTCCTGAAACATCCCTTGATGTTCCCAATAATACTCCCACATTCACTTTCAAGCCCAAAGCAGCCATTTCAGATGCAGTGTCGCATATCCATCAGAACATGCTCAATACCACTATTCTAAACATCATCATCACCAACCTCCCCACAAAACATCCAGACCTCCACAAAAATGCCATAGAACACTGCCACATACATCAAGTTGCCACTTCATCACCTGTCACTCTTGCTATCACTGTTATTACTCCTCCACCTTATCCAAGCATGCCTATACTCTCAGCAGCCATATTGTGTATGTCATTCTCTGTTTCAATTCAGCCACCTGCAGTCTCATACATTACCACTACCTCCCTCATAGAACTGTCATTACAAGTAGCCTTCGACTGCAGCCCTACTCAATGACTTTTAGCTTACAAGAAGGTCACTGATTTAGCCAAGTCTATCATAACAACATCAGCAGCACATATACTGTCTTGCAACAAGTCAGCTCTCGCAGAGGAGAAGGATAAGAAAGGATGAGTTTGTGATGACTATTTTCCACTGTTTTTTCCCTTAAATTCAACAGCTTCACATCCAAGTTCAAGTTTGTGGCCTTGGCCCGCTTTGTCTCATCCCTTACCACCCTTGTTCCCCAACTTCTCTTGACATCACCCAATACCCCAATATCAAAAACCTTGCCAGTACTGTCATAGATGAAGATTACTTGAAGTTAGATGTGATTTCTGTTTTTCTTGACTCCTTCTTTGACCATTTCAAATACAATATGATGTTCATTAACACCATTGCAATATCATAGCCATCACACAACCATAGCCATCACTAAGTCATTGACCACAATTATATGCCCTCATAAGTCTCCAAATCCCCCCATGCTACTAGTGTCACAGCTCGGCTCCGACTCGGCTTTTACTGGCTACACCTGTAGTTTGTAAGTCAAACCACGTTGTCCAGCTTGGTTTGACTTGCTAGCTGCTACAAGCCATTTATCCAGAAATATCAACTCAAGCCAGTTTAAGCTAGCTTCGGTTGACTTCAGTCACATGAAATTTGGACAACATTCTTTCCATGTCATGTGTGGTGTGCATGTTGTATCTGTCACTGTAATTATTAGTCCTATTACATAGCATGAATAAGACTCCAATTCATATTGATGGTAGATTTATGCTGGAAGATGTGTTGGGATCAGGTTCATATGGTATGTTCATATGATGTTGGTTTATACTCAGGTTCTCAACATATATCACTAGCTGTCGTGTACCACGCACATAACTTCCTCAATGATGATGTCAGTTGCTATTAAACTTGGTTTGGCAGGGAGTCAAAATATCATGCTTTGGCCCTCGACCTCCTTGGGCCATCGCTGCACAATCTATTCCTCACATGCAACCAAAAATTTAGCCTTCACACTATTGTGAACTTGGGAGAACAGCTGGTACTTTGGTTCAAATTTGTTGTGGACCACTGCAGATACTAATATATTTTTCAGCTGTCACATCTCGAGTATATTCATTCACATGACTATGTTCATGGTGATATTAAACTGCAGAACATTCTCATGGACAATTCGAGGCAAACTACCTATATCATTGATTTCGGTATTGTGAAGAGGTATTGGAACACTGCAACCAAATCTCACATTCCGTTTCGCTGAGGTCGACATCTCACAGGTACCCCCATGTTTGCATCAATCAACAATCACTTGGGATTGGAGCTAGGTCACCGTATGATCTTGAATCACTGTCTTATATGTTGATTTATTTTTTGTGTGGCTCCCTTCTATGGCTAAATAGTGTTGATGAGAACCTTTTCAGCTTCTCGATACTCAAGTGGAAAGTAGATACCACTATCGCTGATTTATGTGATGAAATTCCTGCTGCATTCACCACTATTCTCATCTATTCATATTCTCTCTCTCATTCTCTGAGGATCCAGATTATGACCATCTCCATTCTTTGCTTCATGATCTTTGCACTGCAGGGCCTGCACCAGTTCCATGCTCCCTGGAATTTGATTGTCCCATCATGCCTTCTCCTCAATATTCTTGAGCTTCAGGATCGGTACCCCTATGTCTGCTGAAGACCATGCCTCTTCGTAGATCAACTTGTGTGTAAGTAGTTTCATTTATCCTTACACAACCGAACTCACAAACTCATTGTCTGCAAGGTTACATCCACGCAATAATACCCTGATGCATGCAACCACTCCCACCTTGTGTCGGATAAAGAAACGAGTTGAATAGTCTGGTATTTAATTTTCTTTTTGTGGCACTATGCCTGCACATGTTTGTGATGTTGTCTGATAGAACTACATATGTGTATATATATAGTACATGGTCTGTGCATATGCTGTGTAATTCCCAAGTATCAATTCTCATGATGCCCATATCACAATATGTACTATCCCACAACCACGATGCTCCAATCTGCCCTTTCAACACTGTTTGTGATGATCACCTCAATTTTATCCATTGAAGTCAAATGTTCGCTTTTTGATCAGGGAATGTCAATTACGACTGTACTTTCTATGTGATCAGCTGTCTTTCCCACTCCTCAGTCTACATTCAAGAACCAAACATTATGATCTGGCCAATACAGCAGGGACATAGCACCAGGAGTTGTAATGCTATTGAGAGTCACTAATCAAAATGTATGTACATGTTTTAATTGTTGTGTTTCGATCTTTCAACGCTAAGGTTCAGGTGATTCCATACCATTGTGCACATCAGTATTTTCCTGGGTCTTCCCAGGACAAGGGTATATATTATCTAGACAGGTATGTTTCTCATTACATCTCCAGCACTGTTATTGCTTAACATGTGTGGCCGTCATTGAAAAACCCTCATATCCTCCAGGTTGAAGCCATTCCTGCTGCTTCTGCACCTATGCCTGTCACTCCTGCTCCTGCACCTTCACTCTTGCTCCTGCACCTGTCGCTCCTCCTGCTCCTGCTCCTGTGCCTGTCGCACCTGCTGCTGCTGCAATTGCCACTACCCTTCATTACCTAGGAGACAATGACAGCCTCCTCGGAGATATAGGCAGGACGATGCAGTTACTCATCCAGACGATGGTGAGTGGATCGACATCAATAATGTCAGTGGCAGTGAAGACGACAATGACCCTCCTAAAATCATAGCCAATTTGCACACACACCAATGCCCACTACAGACAACAACCAGTACTCTCCCCACCAATCCCTTTGCCACGAAAAAGAGGAATTAAGACTACTTCTGATGTACTATTTTTCTTTAGGAAGAACTCAGACACTGGTGAATATATTTGTGTACCATGCGAGTGAGTAACATTTGGGGGTCTTTTTTGCTTTTCTCACCCCCTTTGCTAGGGATTTAAACAAGATCGACTCATCCTGTCCCCTTACTATTTACGGTCTGTGTACAAGCAACACCCCTCTTCATTCCCACATATACAAGGTCCATATCAACCTTTACCTCCAGGAATCTGAGAGGCAGCAATGGCCGATTGGCATACATGCTGTAGGGGACCACCTTAATGAAGGCTGGACCTTTGCCCAGATGCAGGAACAACTCAAAGATCCCACTCATTCAATTGAGACACTCGGACCTCCCCCCAATCCCAGAGGTGGTGGTTCACTTCCTGGTGTTGGGAAGTCAGCATCTTTGGATCATGACTTACCAGACTTTTCTATTGAGGAGATGCATAGACAGATCATGAAATTCATTGTAGCTGACAACCAAGTGAGTACTGTCTACTTTCCCTGCACTCTCATTAACCACCATCTCTAGGCAATCAGTGTTGTTGAGTGTCCAGAATTTTGTCGGCTGCTCTGCCTCTTGTGGCAAGACCTAAAGGATTCCCATATCCCCCATCGTACAAAATTTCGGCAACTGATCATCGATGCGTGGGATGAATATTTCACAGCCATCAAACTCAACCTCACTGTAAGTGTACAGCTGCCAATTGTATATAGTATTTTCATATTCTTGCAGGTCGCCCAAGGACAAATTTCATTCACATCTGATATCTGGTCTGATTCTAAGCTCCGACCCTTCCTTGCTGTGACCGTGCATTGGATTCCGAAAAAAACAAGAACGCAACACTTGTTTTGAAGCCTGCTTTAATAGCTTTTCATCATATCCCTGGTAGTCATACAGGGAAGGTCCTCGGTTCGATTGATCGTGTGGAAGTAAAACATAATGTTAGAGTTTTATTGTACTCTGTCGCATGCTCTCACTTCGTCCAGATTGGACACTATACCCTGGACAATGCCAGTAATAACAAGACTGTGATGGTTGAACTCTTGCAACTATTGCGGAAAGATGGGATTGAATTTGACGTGGTCGATCACCAAATCCCATGTTTTCCACATATAGTGAACATCTGCGTCCAACACATCCTTGATGAACATTCTACTGTAGACTTTTCACATTTGGCTGACACTTTGGTAGCTGGCTTGTAGCTGGCTTTTACACTTTCAAGAAGGTGGAGTACATCAAGGCTCTACAAAATTAAGTTATCAATTGGGCCAGAAATATTGTGTGTGTGATTCGCGCACCAGGCCAGCGTCATGATAGTTTCCGAGCTGCCATTACTTCTGACAATGCAAAGGGATGGTTCATAAATGACAAGAGCGAGCATATGACTCTCCTAATAGTTGAATTGTTATGTGACGAACCTACTCGTTGGGATTCAACATACATCATGTTCAATCATCTGAGAAGCCTACGACAGGTAACATTTCATCTCATTAAAGTTTTCACACAGCCTAACAGTTACCCAGGCCATCAATCATTGGATTGGTCTTCCTGCTCAATGCAGCATAGCCCATTATGAATTGAGCCCCATGGATTGGCAAGTTTTGCAGGATCTCGAGGTTATTCTAGAGGTATGTTCAATATGTCCAAACTGTGTAATACATTTACTGTTTTACATTAGGCACTGCACCACACTTAACAATGCATGTCCAGCAAAACCAGTCCTTTGTTGGGCAGCACCATTCCAGCCTTTGAAGGGTTGATCCAAAGATGGAACCTTGTGGTGGACCTTGTCCCACACTGTGCACCTTTGGTTGGCATTGGTTTAACTTGGGCAGTGAAGTATGATGGCCGAATGAGCCTCACAGATATATATGCCGTTGCAATGTGTCAGTGCCACATGTTTCGATCAAGGTGAATTCTCATGATCATGTATAGTCATCGATCACACAAGACACCCACCGTGGATGAATGAACATTGGACAATCCTGCGAATCGCAGAGGCTAAAAACTACATACTCAAACTGGTATGTCCGCCTGACAATAACATCAGCCAGTCATTGGACTGATATGTCCCAAGATGTGGAACAAGAGAACAACAAATGTCTCCATGCAGTCTGATCAGTCGAGTTCTCAGCTACACCCTGCAACACTGGGCTCAACAATTTATGGACTTCCTGAGATAAACATACTACCGCATCACCAGGGTGGCCCCCAATCAGTTGTTCTTAGCCCCACAGGAACAGATCTACTATCTTTTTGGAGGGTAAGAGTCCTATGTTTTTATTGCAGGTTTTGTTGATGATGAGGCATTGATGAACTAGGTTTTGGAACCAATGTTTCCGACGCTCTACAATATTGCAATGGACTTTCTGCCCATTCAGGCCTCTGCCATTCCATGTTAGCACATATTTTCCTCCAGTGGTGATACATTTACCAAGAAGCACAATTATCTCAGCCCACACTTGATGGAAGCCCTACAGGTGGTGAAATTTGCGCTGAAAAAAGAGCGACTGCATTTCACCAAGGGTTGGGCAGTATCCCAAAGGGATATGGAGTATAACTTGATGTGTGTCATTGGCTCTGCAAGCCGTGAAGATCTCTTGGCATCTGGTGGTGATTTACTGACATCTGCCATTAGTGGAACTACTTCTGGCAGTCATGATCATGAGGCCCTTCTCAGAGTCATCGTGGAGGACAAATGTGATGATGTTCCAGATGATATCGCAACCACTGTTCCTTTCATCTTGCTTTTGTCATTGGACTGACCTCAACTATCAATTTATTTCTCCTCTCAATGTATCTTTCTGATCCATACGAGCTGCAGCAAAGGCACCAGTAGTGACTGTGCAACTGGTTTTAGCATTTTTCGTCAAACCATTGAACTCACCATAGACAAACTTCCAGGTGAGGCAAATACAGTGGCTCAAAAAAGTGTCTCGATGTTTGTAACTTTTCAAGTAATTGCTTTATTATGAGCCAGGGTGTGGGAATATGACTAAACTGTAGGGAGGTGTCATAAAGCTATACTTCTTAGCCTCATTTAAGTTCCTATAGCGTGGGAAGCTGATGTCATCATGTGCATATATGGCTATTTTAATTTGGTGACTCATTGAGATACTTTTTTGACTTTCAGTTTGATCAACACAATCTCTATAATTGTGATACTTTATGTGACCTCCTGTTGCTCTAATCACTTCTGCCACTCTTCTAGACATACTATCTATCAATTTTGAATATTTCTTCCTAGCACTCCTTTCTCACTCTGCTGCAACTCTGTCCTACAGCTGAAATAGCCCCTATGATGAATTTTGATAGGCTGCAAGCAATTTCTTGAATATTTTTCAGGAATATTTAATAGGGCTGATGTATAGGGACTATGCTAGACATGATAGAACATTGATATCATGGTCTTTGAGCTGCTAGTGACTAACTGAGACATATACTTAGGGTCATTATTTTATTGCAACATAGTATCTTCCTCATTAATCTATGATTTCTGTATGCTTCTTAGCAGACTCTCATCTAAAATAGAGACGTACCACTTGGTATTAGTCCTTCACTTTACTTCACACAGAGAATATACACTTTATTACATCTCATATAGTCCTATATCTCTATGTTTGTTACTCTACACTTGAGAGTTTATAAGATTTTTTTTCTTTTAGTGGTTCACCTGTCTTTTTACAGATGTATTCCCAGCCATCTGACCTCATCATATTTATCTTGGTCTGATCTTATAATATAGTCCTCTTCCAGTCCTCTTTCAGTCCAGTACTGGTGCTTTAAAGCTAAAGTTTACTTCCTCTTTCTATAGGCTAGGGATAGGAGAGTCCTCTTCTTCTTGATTGTAGCTTTAATATTTATTGCCTTGCAAGTATTATTGATGGTTTGAGTCCAGTGCCGACCCGAGTGTTACAGCAGGCACGAGATAGTATCGACCGTGAGCTGGATGCCATGAACCAACTACCAGCTGTAGCTACACCTTCAACTCAGCAGCAACAGAAAAAAGCGAAAACCAGCGCATATATCTCTGTTGTATGTCTGACTATATGCTTTAGATAAGACAGTAAAGGCTTGTCAGCAGCCTCAGGCCCAAGCAACTGAACAGCCAGCTCTATCTGCATCTCTTGTCACTGGCGTCTCTCGATCTTCCCTGTTGCCGAGATGAAGAAGGATGATCCAAAGAAGAGAAAAGAAACTAACATGTACTTGAAGCTTGGTCTCAGCGAGCCTTTTGACACATTCAAGACCCAGGTTCTTCAGCAAAGCCACAGAAGATTTCCTATGACAACTACAAAGCACTTTATGCCATACCTCGAGTCTCACCAACTCCAATGTCAATTTGTAATGAAAAAGACTATGAGGAGTTTATCGGACACATCACAAAGGCTAAGGGACTGATTCTGATGAGCTGAAGAGGAAGAAGAAAAAGGATGACAAGAAAAAGAAGACTCAGGGTATGACACTTGTGTTGGCCTCCCACATCTCGCTGGAACTTACATAGTTGGACTAGGCACCAAAAGCTAGTGACATCAATGATTGGAACAAGGCTCTCAAACAAAACCTCTCTATCATCGACACCATCTGTTGGGTCTCTTAAATATATTGTATGTGCTGCGGGGAGAAGAAATTCCTGTTTTTAACAGGTGGTACAACCATTATGACTGTATGCGGCTGGGAATGCGACGAGAAGATGGCACAAGACCATGGATGGACAGAGCAAGACAAGGAGCACGACAAAGATTTGAGGCCAAAATTTCCCATGGTGTGATGAAAACGCGTCCATGATTTTCGAGTATTTTGCTCATATGTCGCCGAGATCTCAATGCGATGATGTCATGAGACCATGGATGGAATGACATCGACAAGGAGCATGGTTTTGGACTCGGACAAAAAAGTGATTAATAAGCGATGACTAAGGTGATGCGCCACTTGGATGACAAGAGTCTATTGATAAGCGATGACAAAGGCGACCACAAGCGACCCCTGCTGAGACGGACGAAATGACCACCCTGAAAGCGACCCCCCCGACGCGCCTGAAGCGGTGGGGACGTTTGTGGGCCCCCGTCCGGGGAGTCCCCTCCCCATAGTTAAGAAGCGTGCGGACTGCACGGTAAACGTTGAACATGTATAATAGGTCGAGAACAGAGAGATACGTACTCAGCTTGATGATCTCTGCCTGGCGGTTGAAGATGTGAATGATCTCGAGTATGATGACTTGCGTTAAGCCGCTAGAATATCTGGAGGAAGTGCTCGAGTACAACAATAGACCTGGCAAGACTTACTTTTGAACTTGATACGTTCATTGAAAGATGTCCGTTGCCATTGACACCATTGACGGGTGGCTGATTGCTGTTCCTGGAACCAGCAACAGTTTTGCGCTCTTCCTGCATTCGTGCCCTGGCACATACATCCGGGCCGTTCTCATCTTCCATAATCTGATCACCGCCTCGTGCACGGCAAATTCCGAATTCTAGATCCTTCACAAGATCCTGTCACTCGACTCGCCTTGTTCACATCAATCTTGACGGGATCCCGTGCTTCCCTGCGGCGAAGCTTACCTCCACGACAAGCGTACTCCCGGACGAAGGTCTCCTTGATGACAAGATAAGGTTTGGGTAAGATTCGGAGCTGCGAGCAGAGGGTCTACTCGGCTGGAGTTAGCAAATGTAAAGACGGTCTATTGGCAAGATTGAGGTCGTTGACAAATGAATCGTGCGCAACGGCGCTAAGACCAGAAGCCAAGGGTGGCAAGTGGCGGGATCCAAAGACGAAAGGAGCAGCACAAGGATTAAGGCCGGCATCAGATGTTTTCGGTAGCATGGGAGACTGGGCATACGCAGCAGCAGTAGAATTAACCGGATATATATTGTCTTGGATGAATCGGACTTCCGGGCGTGAGGTCCCATAGAACTGTCGTTGAAGTGCGTCTTTGGCTTCCTGAGCATCGAAGACATTCACGTATTCGACTAGAGCGGTTGTGGTTCCATTGCCGAGCATAGCAGAATCCATGAGCTTCACCTCCTTGATGGGACCGAAAGGATAGAACAGAGGATGCAAGTCACTGGCCTGAGCAAAGAGAAGAATCGGCAAGTTCGATACCAGCAACTTCGAGGAAGGCGTATTGGGGTGAACTGATGGTTGGAGGTGCGGGTTGGTGATCGAACTCCATTTCCGGAAGTGACTCGGAAGGGTTTGAGGATGCCAGCATCATCGTCCTGTCTGCGTCATCTAGGAAGCCGGATAAATGAGGTAGAGTACTTGCAACTGGTTTTAGCTCGCACCTTGAGAGCGTTGTACGACGGCCCAAGATACATCAAGGGTGTGTCCTCTGTGACGTGTCAGTAAGTTGAGCTTTGAATCGCGAAGCAAATGTTCTAATACTTTATTTGCGTTCGCGAGAGCGCATTCATTGCACGTTTGGCTTCCTCATGAGATGACATTACCACGAACCCGCGACGGCGAGATGCGTTATCGACAGTGGCGAGAATCACAGCGTGCATGACAGTACCAAAACGCGAAAACAAGGCGGAAAATTCGGGCCTAGTGACTCGTGAGCATGAAAGGTGTGACGACTAAGAGTAGGCACACTTGGTGAGATCAAAGGGCAGACCGAGCACGTAGAGGTTTCTAGTACTATGTCAGTCCCGCGGATGCACCATGCGTGTAAAAGTCCAGCAGATAGTGTCATATGAATGACATGCGTAGTGATCCGGGGGGAAACGTACTGAGGAGATATGGCTTGATCTATCAACTCGAGTTGCTTCAACATCTTTGGAGGCCCTTCCAGGTTCCGAATCTTGACATGTTGAGTCTTCAAACAATTTTCCTGACGAGAGAGTAAATACTTCTATAACGCTCGGAAACAGAGCGTTTCACCTGGATGAAAAGTGGGATGGAAAATGGTCGTAGAAGTGCAATTCCATCATGTCGCCCAGTGTCTCTCGAACATTCGGCCCAAACATGTACGGACCAAGAATTTTTGGTTAGTTGCCACGCGTACAACATATTCAAAACTTGTCGAATATCTGACTGAGAGTCAATGATAAGCTGATCAACAACATTGGCGGGAATTAGTCCAACTTACTTGTACGCAATCGTCACTATGCGTGATAGGACAGCTTGAGTCTTGAGCCCGTTGCTGCAGTATGCTATATGTCTTGCCTGTCTACAGGCCTTCAAGATTTTAGACGTCTGAATTCCTATGAACACCTGAATAGAAAGATAGGAAGCAAGCGTCAGAGTAAGTCCAGTGATGCCTGAAGAGTTCGCTATCAATGAAACATACCATCGGGCGCGTAATGTAACCAAGCGATATGCGATGTGAGCATCAAGAACAAGATTGACTCAGAGGAGCTCATGGGGGTGGCGAATCGTGACGAGAATGATGCTATTTGGTGTGAAAGACTGTTGGCAAAAGGAGGTGTCGATTTGAGAAGAAACGAGATTTGCTGGATGGATCTGGAGGATGACATGTACACGACACGAGTGTGAGTGATTTGAAAACAAAAATACTAGCGCAACACAGAAGTTGAAACCAGTCGACGATGTAGCGACGGACGTGTGTGCTTAAGATGAACATTGCGATGGTGGAGTAGAAGTGAGCTGGCATGGGAGAGGTTGTCCACGGTGAGGTGATGCAACCGAGAAAGGTGTGAGTAGTATACGCGCACCATGGAGTGAAGTTGCATACCTACTGATAAACAAAAGTGTTCGCATTGGGATGCAGTTGAAACTTGCCAGACCACAAGCAAACTTTGGTGTCACGGAGAATGCGTAATGATGATAGAGCGAGCATAAACTTTGTTCCATCTGTGAAAGTGCATCAATGGGTTAGTTGAGGTCGAAACCCATTCTTGTGGGTGGATCAATCAAAGGAACTGTTCTTACAGCTGGGGTGATCCAAATGCATGACCTGCTAGGGCTGTACACGGAACATCTCACACAGATCCAGCCTGCATTGGTGCTGTTAAGAGAAACAGAGTGGGCCGGTCTGCTTTATCGTCTGGCTGATTCCAGGTATTGATGATGTTGAGATTTGTGCTCAGGATGTGTCTGAATCCTTCAAGGTGTGGGTAGATGTTGCGTGAGTGAGCTGCATATTCATAGGACAAGTTCCATGACTGTCGCAGAAGTCGTCGCCGGGGCTGTAAGGCATGAACAGAGGTGCGGGGAACATGTAGTATCAGTAGCATAAATATATATAAGGTAGACGCCATTGGAGGCGCACCTAGGGTGTATTCTCCCTCTTGCAAACTTAACGGGCCAGGTGAAATTGACGCGGCCAGGGTCCAGAGAGGGAGGAAAAGAAAATAGTGATTGGCTTATGTATACCTAGCTGTGCATGACTCTGAGGCAAATAAAATAACAAAAGAATGGTCGTGAACTCATCCAACTTGATCTGGAAGTTGGATATAGAATATAGGAATGGCGCGTCAGTGGCCGCGTCAAGGCTCGTCACGGCCGTGTCACGGCCGCGTCAAAATAGCTACGCCCAAACTTAACTCATACTTATACAGTTCCCGATCTTTTGACCTCTTTAACTTGAAGGTCCGAAACTTGCCACCACATCTCCTCTGTTTAGACACCCCAAATTCTGAGAAGAAGGCCAGGCAAAAACTTAAGTACACGCAGGGTTTCGCCCGATTCCCGCTACGGCAGTAGTGGGTTTTGTGGTGCCATGTGGATTTCGAAAGAAAGGGTGCGTAGCTTCAAAACCCCTCATCTTAATACAAATGACGAGTATTGATTGAGACGAGGGTGTTGCCTGAATGTTCCCAAAACTCATAGCGTTCGAAACTAGGCAAGTTTTCTGTGTTCCTGAAATCAGTATCCTAAATTGTGGTCCAGTGGCGTGCTTGTCGGGACATGATAGCAAAGTATTGTTGGTTTTCATCGCTGCGCAGTGGTAAGTCGTGACATGCACTGAATTTTATTTTTCAGGTGGACCGAGTGCTATACTACTTCCATGTCACCGATTCAAAGGATAACCAACAGAAATCCATCATAAAGATGGTAGGATGTCATTACTTGCCTCTCAGAACCACTGACGCCATTTCTCCTTCGCAGAATCCAAGACCAAGCACTTTAAGCGCATCCAAGATGGAGCAAATACGCATACGAGGACACGGTATGATCTTCTTTTGTCCGGTTTGCACGTATCTAAGCTCCTGCGTAGGTCTACTTTGATAATGAATTCGCTTCTGACCTGTCGAAAGAGGGTACGCCCAGTTGCTTTAGATGAGCTATCATCGGCTGAAGACCGTTTTCAAGACGTCCTTGTCCGTCACACAGATCCAGGAGGGCTCACTTGGGAGCAATATGAACAAGGGATCAAGGTCTGGTGCGCAGAGCACGATGTTAAACCTGTTACACCGCCTCCAGGCAACGAGAACGTACTCGAGATTGCGCATTTCAACGACATATACCAGGTTTCTAACCAGAAGCTCAATGTAGTATTGATTTAACTCGTGGATATTCACAGGATTAACAGCCTTTTCCAGGTCAACGGCAAGGAAGAGAACATCGATGTGGCGAAGTTCACCACTTTATGGTCCAACGCATCCAGGACGGATTGACCATTTTTTTCCGGCGACACCTTCTCCCCGTCTTACCAAAGTTCAACCGCCAGAGGAAAGCATATGGTGATGGGACATCCGTTCTATGCTTCTTCAACAATGCCCATAATCCTAACAGGCGGCTGTGATGAACGCGCTGAACGTTGAGATTAGCGTTGCAGGTAAGGTTTTGTCGCTTGTCGCTTGTCCCGTGTCCGAACTCCCCGTCTGATGTCCGCTTCCAGGAAACCACGAGTTTGATTTTGGTGCGATCATCTCAAATTCAATAAAAAAAATCAATGACTTATGTAATGGCACACAGGCTACCGTCGATTGGCGGAGCTTATCTCTGATACAAACTTGGTGCGTTTTCAGCTGCATCCAAAACGTTGCATGCCTGATCTGGTTTCTCAGCCCTGGCTTCTTAGTAACATCATTGACACAGACGCCGGCGCCGTTCCCGAGCCTCTGAAGGCCTTCCATGTGATCGAAAAGGGGGAGAGCTAGACAAAACCCTCCTCCACTACCGTGGGAGTCGGGAAACCCTCACAGACGAAATCACTTTCATTTGGCGTCGTCCGAAAGCCCTGTCTGCAATGTCATTTCTTATCAGCCGCTATCTCGCGCTGGTCGGCAATCAATATCTATGGCTTATACGTTGATTTCTCATTCATTCCAGATCAGGTTCAATTCACAACTTATTTCCGCGGAGGTTTGATCTCCTAACTCTTGGATATTTGTTCTATCGTTTAACAAACACTTAGCTGTCCGAAATACACGACGGCCAGACAGCTGTTTGTTTTTCTGCAACAATTCGTCATTTGCGGCGAGTTCAACTTCTTTTACTAGTAGAATTCATAGACTGAAAAATTTCAGTCATATCAATCATCCGCACTTATGCTCTCTCTACAGTCGTGGCCAACGCCTGCTTATTTGGGTTACATTCATTCTCATGGTTCTTGCGGGAGGCGTATCTGTACGTGTTCGATCTAATTTTGGACACTTCTATTTGAAAAAGTAGAGATGTACGTCATGGTCTTCCATCCTGCGACTCTGCTCAAAAGTCTTTGCAGATCTTCCCGTCGGTGGATTCTGAGTCACGCAACTTGAAGTCATGACTTGATCCATCTGCAGGTTTGGGGCTAGCATGGGTGGCCATCCTGGCCTTCGAAGCACTCATCTTTGTCCTCACAGTTCATCGGACCTGTAAATCTAGAGGTTTATCGCGGTTAGGTGTGATGTATTTTGGGTGAGGGCGTTAGTGAACCCGTGATTCGAGTGGGTCTAATTGATACATTCCTTCAGAGCCATGACACTCTGTAATATACCGAACATTGTGATGTACTACGTGAGTCGACATCCTAGTGGAGTTACAAACCGCTCGCAACTTGAATCAGTATGGACCAGTGAGCATCTTGTGTGAAAGTTAAGTATTTCTTAACAGTTGGCCGGGCAGTTATTAGAGGCAATGTGGGTCTAGCTATATTCACTAGCTGGTGAGTGGTTGGTGCGATGAACATTGATCGGGTTTTGACTATACCCCTCAGCATGTCCGTTACTCTCATTTCTCGGCTGATGCTTAACCTGCACAAATCTGTGGACTCTGGCATTTTATCCGTCCCTGCCCGGGACGACGACTACTGCCTCTCAGTCTTTACTACTAGTATCAGCATACAGTCTGAGATCGCCTAGATCTCGCCATTGCGAAGGTGACGTCAGGCTCCCTTTCTGTATGCCAAGACGTAGATATTTTTGTCATGTGAAGAACAAGTACATTACACCAGTTAATACGTATATGTTGGACTAAATAGACCCGTAGCCCTGAAGAGCAGCAATGGACATGCTAATGTTATATGGTGATGATCATGAACTACTGTACGCTGCAAGACGCCTTCGTCATCTGTCAGTGGCCCTCCACTGTGACTGAGCCTGCTACTCGTAACATCTACACGCCGGCTCTGGCTCCGACTACCCCCTACATACACAGCCGGGGCGATAACAAACGATACGATTGTTGTGATAGACGAGGGATTCGAACAGATGTTGCTTTCATTTCCGTATGATACAAAGCTTCTCATGAGCCGGACCGGCGTTGGCGGTGATACGCCGAACTCGCTGGGTGCAAAGAGCTTCACACCCGCCTCCTTTGCAGCGTCCGCAAGAACGTCCTGTACAACTACGCCTTCGAAAAAAAATGTAACGGTAGAAATGAGGACGTCCATTTTGTTTTCACGAAGGATTGCCGAAACCTCAGATGCAGATGTATAATCTGCGCGCACAACCTTCGGGTTGGGGTCATCGTTAGGGAGTGCAGAGGTGTTTTTGGAGGTCGGTCGGGCGATGACGAGAACTGGAGTGCCAATGGCCAGGAATGCCTGACAGAGATCATCAGCTAAGGACGACACTCAAAGATGACTATAATGAATGCTTACCTTCACGACAGGAATCCCGATGTGAGGGCCTGCGCCGACGATAGCAAAGGACTTGAAAAGCGCTTCGGACATGCTGCAATGCGTTGCGTTACTGAATTCTGGATTTTGCAATTCTAAATGTCATCAGTTTATATATCTTTTGCCAGGTCCTGCGTTCCAAAGCGTGCTGTAATCATATGGGCCAGTTGCGCTGACCGAGTCCTTTGGCATTTAATTATGAGTTTACAAAGCTGCACGTTTATTAGTACTTAGTATGTCATGGGCTATGACGATGCATGAGTAAAGTATTACGTGAACCAGAGGCAACCTGTCAGCTTACAAGTACCCTTCAAGAACGCTACTAGTATCGTTACTCTCCAAACGTTTTATACGATGAGACTCAGAGACAGTCCCGAAGATTGGGAGCAGGAACTTGAAGGGAATAGCACTCTGAGCTGATCACTATGTTGACATAGTATCCCCTCGCCACCGACCGAAGTCGTAGATGCTGGACGAGTCGTCAGGCTCGCAACAAGTAATATCAAACTTGTCCTGAGTATCTGAGAGTAGTAGCGGGCGTGGTGCTTGGAAGCCATTTATGGATGCCATGAATTCGGCTGAATCCAGCTGAATCAGCCAATGAAATCTAATACCTTATTCGCTTGCCTGCAGACGGAGAAGTATTGTTCATATTCATAGCGAAGAGTAAATGATATTTGGCGTACCTTTTGCCTTATTCCTCGATGACCACACCGTCTGAATGTCGTGACGTTTCCGAACTCGGTAGAAAAGTTGCGTACAGTTGACTATGTGCATATGCGTCTGTGCGAAGGTCGAGCGCAGCGCGTTGGAGAGACAGACCTTATGAGGCACAAATACGTCAATTTTCCAGAACTGCTTCCTGTCAGCATAGAAGTCACGGCACACTGGTACAGGGTCCAAGTCGTCGAAGATGCTGACATCCCGGTGAAGCACGCCTCCCTTTCAGAGGGCGCAATTGATTCTCTCTTGTAACTTTTGCGACCTTCAGACTCTCTTGTAACTGCGTCGGTCGATATATAACATAGCCTCGGACCCTTGCTTACTGATACTTCCGTTATCCTCATAGTATATAAACTCGTGTATATGTCCTGTAGTACCTCAGTTCGAATATCATCTTAGTTTGTCCTCTTTCTGTCCTCCGGACTTGAGTTCTCCTTACTCTTGTCACTCTCCGAGACTTCGGATAGATTCCGATAGTCTATATCCTCGGCTCTACCTTCGGGTAGTCTTTACTCTGTTAGTTTCTAGTTCGGATACGTCCGGATTAGCCTTATACGCGTTTCCGATATCCGGAAGACTTCCGGATATACTACGAGACCCGTCCGGACCTTCGGACGCGTTATCGTTAGTACTTTGAAATAAGGGACAGTACTTGGGAAAGGGGCACAGCGTACGAGCTGAGGCCGAAGTCCTTCGGATCCGATCTTACGAGAGTACGACCTTAACATATACCGGGAATGAAGAAATGACATACTTTCGCTCCCTGCAACACGAAGCTCCGTCAGACGTTTAGGAATAATAGCCTTTTGCGTACGCTCGAGCCAAACTGTAACAAAACAGTTGCGGTGCGTTTCTTACGCGGCCAATGCGCAGCGATGAAAACCAACAATACTTTGCTATCATGTCCCGACAAGCACGCCACTGGACCACATAGACCTACGCAGGAGCTTAGATACGTGCAAACCGGACAAAAGAATATCATACCATGTCCTCGTATGCGTATTTGCTCCATCCTTGGATGCGCTTAAAGTGCTTGGTCTTGGATTCTGCGAAGGAGAAATGGCGTCAGTGGTTCTGAGAGGCAAGTAATGACATCCTACCATCTTTATGATGGATTTCTGTTGGTTATCCCTTGGATCGGTGGCATGGAAGTAGTATAGCACTCGGTCCACCCTGAGAAATAAAATTCAGTGCATGTCACGACTTACCACTGCGCAGCGATGAGAACCAACAATACCTTGCTATCATGTCCCGACACGAGCGCGATAGATGCCCCATTCTTCAACGCATTTTCGATTATTCTCGGAATGTCGGGACGGAGCGTTACTTTATTTTGATGGTTACTACTGGAGATCCATGACAATACACCATATCCAAAATCCTATGAGATGATCTTTTGTCTTTTGAAAGCCAAGTATCAACCTTCTTGACGTCAGAAAGTCAGGGTATTGGGAAGTCTGTGTGAGGTCTGCGCAGACTCCGCGTCCAGGTCTGTGTCTAGGTCTGTGTCAAGTCTTTGTCAGCGTTACGCGGGAGTTACCGGGGGAAGGTTTGTCAACCACCAAAGGTCTGTCTGCCCGCCGTCTTACATAGCCACTGATCATCTTATCTCGTCGTTTGCCCGCCACCTCTCTCGTTACGTGCCACCTCTCTCGTTGCTCGCTGTCTTTCTCGTTGCTCGCTGTCTTTCTCGTTGCGTGCCACCTCTCTCGTTGCCCGCCATCTCTCTCGTTTGTGCACCACCTTTCTCATTGGCTGCAGTCCCTCCCGCGTCTCTCTCGTTCATTGCCTGCAGTCCTTCCTGCCACCCTCTCTCGTTTTCCCGCCGCCGCCCTCGTTGCCCGCCACCTATACTTGAACCGTGGGCACCATGTCGGGTGCCTCAGACGCTCAGGAGCGTTAAAATTTTAGGTTGGCTCATCGTGCTTCTCCCGCGTTGAATCAACGCTGATATCTAGAATTAAGGGTAAAGCCACGCTCGTTTTGAGCTTTTCCCTTCTTTCAATTTTCCGATTTTCATTTTCCTCACCACCCCGTAATTTACAGGTCTGAGATCTGACCTCCCACCTCCCAAACGCTCTCACGCTTAGGTCGACCCGCGGGCAGCGCTCGGGCATGACCCTGGTTGACCTATGTCAGGCCTTATTACATGTCTGGGGCGCGGATTCAGTATTTATCGCATATCAGCCTCCTTTAAAGTAGTCAGTTGTTTGGTCGTATTATTTCCAGCCGCTGCATCTGCAGTCACCGGCCGCTGCATCTGCAGAACCAAAAGCTGCATCTGCAGAACCAAAAGCTGCATCTGCAGGACGCAAAGCTGCATCTGCAGTCACCGGCCGCTGCATCTGCAGAACCAAAAGCTGCATCTGCAGGACGCAAAGCTGCATCTGCAGGACGCAAAGCTGCATCTGCAGGACGCAAAGCCGCTGCATCTGCAACGCAAAGCCGCTGCATCTGCAGGACGCAAAGCTGCATCTGCAGTCACCGGCCGCTGCATCTGCCATACTCCAGCCGCTGCATCTGCTGGAAGCAAAGCTGCATGGGCAGGACGCAAAGCCACTGCATCTGCAGGACGCAAAGCCACTGCATCTGCAGGACAAAAAGCTGCATCTGGCGACTCGTCATTTTTTATTGAGCGTAAAACCTAGAGGGGCGCCCCCAACTGACATCACTGAAGCGCGCATTTCTCGAGGGTTGAGATACGAGATGTAGTCCCGTCTGTGAGTCCAAATATACAGGACCTCGAACTCCTGGACGAAAAAAACAGCGAAGAGCATGCGTCAACCTCTCCCTCTCTCGCTTTCGCCTCTCTCTTTGTCTTTCCTCACGTTCCTGCTCGTCCATAGCGCCAGCGCCTTCGTCTTCATCTTCATAGTCGTTGAAATCGACCCCGTCCACCTCCAGCGCACTCATCATCCCAAATCCGCTTAATATCCTGGACTGGCGGCCGGTCCTCGTTATCTAACTCATCTTCTGACGATTCCACAACTGGCTGGCGCTTAGAGGTCGATGGAGCGGGTGGAGACCACCTTCTGAGAATAGACATCTCTATCCCGGGCGTATAGCTACTTAAGATCACCTTGTAAAACTTATAGCCAGCAATCCAGCTGCATGTGCTGAGCCGCCCAAGGGGTCTCATTTAGCAACTGCAGGAGCGTTGCACTGGGTCCAAGAAACAACTTGTATTTAAGCATAGTATGAAATAAAGAACCTCGCGCAGTTGTCGCCTGGTGGCCTCAAGATGACCGAGGAAGGACGCCACCAGCGGTCTTTTTGGACCAGCGAGGACATTGGCCCTCCAGAGCCTGCAGGGAATCCTTAGGACTAAAGAAAACATTCCCAACGCGTCCTGGAGTAACGCCTCGCGTGGAAACCCCTGTCGTTGGTTTCCACTCGCCGATCGCGTGATACAAGTCCCCTGATAAAAAGATCAAGACGTCCCCGGGACGATAACTTATGACGATTAGCAACCTTCTAGCCCATTAAATTTCAACACTCACTGGAGTTTGAGACGTAAATCTGGCAAATAGCATTCACCGCCGGTGAAACTGCCGAGACAAAATATGGCCGTAGGCCCACCGTCCAGGCCATCGCGATGAGGAAGAACTTGCAATTTCCACACAATGGCCCTCCCCAGCCAGGGTCCAGGATCGTCTTCGACCCACACACCTGCTTCGAAGGCCGCTCGGTACTTTTCATAGTATTCGGGCCATGATACCTTGAACATTTCCTGCAAAGTGAGAGCGAGCGGCCGGGTGTACGATAGGTACCACTGCACAGCTTGTGCAACTTGTGCGTTCCGCACCATGTCAGCCGAAGGCTTCAAAGGACTCTGCTTCGTATGGTGACCCTGCATGTGCCATGCATGTACAAGGTGAGTCACGCCTGTGCGCTCAGATGCTTCGTGCTCGTCGGCAAATCTATAGGTAAGGCCATCATGAACAAAATCCCACTGTCCGTGCTCCTCACGTGCGCATTCTTCCCCCGCTTCATCTGGCCTTCGCCGATATCTCATGAGAAAATCCTCAAAGTCGTGCCGACCGTCCTTTCGCGACTTTTCTGGGTGGCAGAAGTGGTGCAAGACCTGCGTCGCAAATAGAGCATCTCCTATCAATTTGTCCTGCAACTGCATGAGCACCACCTTCGCCAAAATTAAAATAACACACCTTGATACCGTCGTTGAGCACTTTGTGGCCCGCAGCAGCGGCCTCTTCAACGGCCGCTGCTGTGCGACCGAGCGCAGTCGGTGCCTTTGAGCCGCTGGGATATATTGGTGCTTGCTGAGTGCAAATGGGTGAGTGCTGCAGCTAGCAAGCGTAAATAAGATACTTACTGTACCGACTCTGCGTTGGCCTGCAGATCGGCGCTTAATGCGTTTTGCGAAGTATGCCGCCAGTGGTTGGCCCTCATTATCACAAAATTTAGCAGAACAAGCGTCGGACTCCCAATGCGCCATGGCATCGATGGTGGCCTGCGCTTTTATTTTACCCTCGCTAGATGGCTTGGGACGAGACGACAAGGGGCCGATGTGGGCGCCCGAGATGCGGTAGGTCGGTGCGTGTTTATGCCATAGCTGCGCATTATATCGGACATTGCGTATGAACCGTTTTTCGCGCTTCGCAGACCATTTGCGCGCGAGTGCGGTGTCGTCAAGGGCAGGAAGAGGAACCGATGCCGCTTTCATAACGCGACTCTTCGCTGCACCTCGTAGTTTGGCAGCGTTTCGAGCCACTTCGCCAGCCTCAGTGACAGCAGCCCATGTAGGTTTCTACAATGTTTAATTTAGCAAAAAAAAAGCCCAGCGTTTGACTCGCAAACGTACCTTATGGCTTTTGGGCCGATTGTGGTGAGCACGTGTCTTGACCATTGTCGAGTAGAATGATGTTGAGGGAGCGCACACAATACTGTGACTGTGAGGAAGTTATGAACGCATTAGTTAGAAGAGTGCTGGCATCTTATGTATGCACCTTTGGCCAGCGGCAATCACACGCCTCATATGTGGTATTAATTTTTTTCCGCACTGTTCTCCTCCGATTCGCAAGTTGCTTGCCAATATTTGTATCATCACGACCCGCATCGCAGTCTTATACACCCTTGCATCCACGATCGAAGGTGCCGGTGAAGGCTATTCCCGATGTGTGTGTCATTTGCTAGTTAGCGAAGCTTACAGCTATTTGCAAAATGGTTGGCACCATCAGACGCGAGGCAAAGAATAGAAATCAAAATACTTCGCACCAAATATCGCAATTGAGATTCTCCTGAGAGGCCGGGCGCGGCTCTGCGGCGCATCAACTCTTTTGTTAACCTTGGTCCTTCACTGGCTTCACCATCCCAAATGCACCAGAAAGTTCTTTTAGAGAAGTCCTAGCCGCAAGTTTCACGTTGCGACTGATCTTGCGGAACGATATCTAAGGATGCCGCGCGATCGCCTGAGACAGACTTCGGTGCAAGGTAACAGACTCACGCATTAAAGACTTCTCGCGACTCAGATTAACTCCGCAGACGTTTTTTATTGATGCGAAGATTATATCAAACCGCGCGCATCTGTGGAGGGGTACGCACCCCTCCACAGAATGGAACATTTACAGACGAGTGCGAGAGCGACGGGTTGAGGCATCAGTGAATTGATGAGTCCTCGATATTGTAGCCGTGGGAAGTATAGCACGATGTAATTCTGCTGCCGCCAAATATTAGCTTATATACTGCGAGCAATTTGAGTTGCACATATATACTCATGTATGCTTGTAAATCCAGCTTAACATGAATGATTTATAACAATCCTGGGACATTCCGCCCCAGTGAAAATCGACAAGAATCGGGTAGATATACGTATATAGATATCTAAAAAATAAAGGCCCATGAAATCTATCGATGTATTTCGATGTATTTAGACAAATGAGACTTTTCGAGACGGAAAAATAATGACATCGAGAAACAATTTAGACGTTTAGATACGATTCTCGATCTGTTTAGACCTACCGATACACATTTACATACGAAATATCACTCGATTTGATCCAAAAACAAATCTAATGAGAGCAAATGACATTATCTATAGGTATGTCCCGGACAGAACTGACAATCGACAGATGCGAAGTTGAAAGTCCGCTAATCCCGGACTATCCCTTTCGTTACAGAGGCCGAGAGATGCATGGTGGAACCCACTATATACACCGTGACAACCGCGCAAATTCTCCCTGGGAGCGCAAATGATATCTGTTAAAGTTGACTCAATACACACATTGTCTAATGCTGATTATAAACCTTGTTTACTACATGGCCAAGCGTTCAAGTTCGCCTTCTTCCATGCTCTTTCAGCCTCCTTACGGCCTCAATGGTTCTCGATCCCTTGTCGATGTGCTCCGAGGAGACGCGTGAGGCTTTCCGTGCACTGCTACGAAGTCGTTGATGTTGACAGAATCGTCAGTATGCGTTCAAATGAACTTAGAATGATTCTTTTTTGCTTTATATTTGCCTGTGGCGGCTTAATGTATGGGCATGAACAGCCTACGAATGAGTTCGAGTTCCCAGTAGCATCGTCGCATCATGCTGGAGAAACGTACCTTGTTCCAGAGTTGTTAGAGAAGACGTGGGTGAGTCTTTCCTCTGGACCTTTAAGACGGCGGATCACGCCTAGACTGACGTGCTTTGATGCGACGTGGAGACAAGGCTTGGCTTAAGCCGAGCGCGAACGATGGAAGCGTTCATAACCCTCTCGATGGAGATCTCCCTGCCATATTGGGTGACGCGATCATGAGAACATCAACCAGACAGGCTCATGTTTGGTGGTCAGAAGGTACCTCGGTCTAACCAGTGAAGCGGGCACTTGACGAATGCCACCCTGTTACAGCTCACTCTTTTCAAGACGTCTAACCAACGCCGAGCGTAACACACCCCTTAATGTGAACTGAGATGTCAACTCGTGGATAGGTACGTGAATACTGAATGCCACTCATCTACTTAACCCTCACACTACGCTTTTGGTTTCTCAAGCTCTACAATAATCACGGGCCACCGTCAGACCCAAACGCCATTCCTATCCCCAGACATCTCACGCTGTGGCCGTCTCCGATCCTACGCGAACTAAACTTGCTGCCTTTGCAGACCTTGTGGCCTTTGGTTTCTGGCCTCGAAGGATGGCTTACGCGCTGGAACAGGAAGATGTGATGTAAACGTAGAAGAGCAGCGCTGCCCCCTCCATACGAGACGGGATATCCACTTGCCCTTAAGTTAACTTTGCTGGAGATGTACAATCAGCATGTCGACAAGCGACGAGAAGGCAAAGCTACTATATGTGCATTCGACGCCTTCTCTTGGAATACAAGATATGTCCAAGACCGCGTGTAATACGCGCGCCATAAGCTCACTTCTTTTTTCAGATGATGCAAGCCACCCGCAAGATCCTTTCGAAGGAAGAGACGGTCATATCCAGCGACTCCGACCGTTCACTAACTTTAGGCTACCGAGGATTTTATAGTTTTCGCCGTTGATGTTCTCTGTGAGGACTTCTGGCATGGGTGGTGGATAGGCGCTAATGATATTGCTGCCGTAGACGACACTATCATGTAATGGAAGAGCATTGCTGACAAATGGGACTCACTACCTCCGACATTGATAACTTCGAACTCGGCTCCATTGGCCGCGTAAGAAACGCACCGCAACTGTTTTGTTACAGTTTGGCTCGAGCGTACGCAAAAGGCTATTATTCCTAAACGTCTGACGGAGCTTCGTGTTGCAGGGAGCGAAAGTATGTCATTTCTTCATTCCCGGTATATATCGACCGACGCAGTTACAAGAGAGTCTGAAGGTCGCAAAAGTTACAAGAGAGAATCAATTGCGCCCTCTGAAAGGGAGGCGTGCTTCACCGGGATGTCAGCATCTTCGACGACTTGGACCCTGTACCAGTGTGCCGTGACTTCTATGCTGACAGGAAGCAGTTCTGGAAAATTGACGTATTTGTGCCTCATAAGGTCTGTCTCTCCAACGCGCTGCGCTCGACCTTCGCACAGACGCATATGCACATAGTCAACTGTACGCAACTTTTCTACCGAGTTCGGAAACGTCACGACATTCAGACGGTGTGGTCATCGAGGAATAAGGCAAAAGGTACGCCAAATATCATTTACTCTTCGCTATGAATATGAACAATACTTCTCCGTCTGCAGGCAAGCGAATAAGGTATTAGATTTCATTGGCTGATTCAGCTGGATTCAGCCGAATTCATGGCATCCATAAATGGCTTCCAAGCACCACGCCCGCTACTACTCTCAGATACTCAGGACAAGTTTGATATTACTTGTTGCGAGCCTGACGACTCGTCCAGCATCTACGACTTCGGTCGGTGGCGAGGGGATACTATGTCAACATAGTGATCAGCTCAGAGTGCTATTCCCTTCAAGTTCCTGCTCCCAATCTTCGGGACTGTCTCTGAGTCTCATCGTATAAAACGTTTGGAGAGTAACGATACTAGTAGCGTTCTTGAAGGGTACTTGTAAGCTGACAGGTTGCCTCTGGTTCACGTAATACTTTACTCATGCATCGTCATAGCCCATGACATACTAAGTACTAATAAACGTGCAGCTTTGTAAACTCATAATTAAATGCCAAAGGACTCGGTCAGCGCAACTGGCCCATATGATTACAGCACGCTTTGGAACGCAGGACCTGGCAAAAGATATATAAACTGATGACATTTAGAATTGCAAAATCCAGAATTCAGTAACGCAACGCATTGCAGCATGTCCGAAGCGCTTTTCAAGTCCTTTGCTATCGTCGGCGCAGGCCCTCACATCGGGATTCCTGTCGTGAAGGTAAGCATTCATTATAGTCATCTTTGAGTGTCGTCCTTAGCTGATGATCTCTGTCAGGCATTCCTGGCCATTGGCACTCCAGTTCTCGTCATCGCCCGACCGACCTCCAAAAACACCTCTGCACTCCCTAACGATGACCCCAACCCGAAGGTTGTGCGCGCAGATTATACATCTGCATCTGAGGTTTCGGCAATCCTTCGTGAAAACAAAATGGACGTCCTCATTTCTACCGTTACATTTTTTTTCGAAGGCGTAGTTGTACAGGACGTTCTTGCGGACGCTGCAAAGGAGGCGGGTGTGAAGCTCTTTGCACCCAGCGAGTTCGGCGTATCACCGCCAACGCCGGTCCGGCTCATGAGAAGCTTTGTATCATACGGAAATGAAAGCAACATCTGTTCGAATCCCTCGTCTATCACAACAATCGTATCGTTTGTTATCGCCCCGGCTGTGTATGTAGGGGGTAGTCGGAGCCAGAGCCGGCGTGTAGATGTTACGAGTAGCAGGCTCAGTCACAGTGGAGGGCCACTGACAGATGACGAAGGCGTCTTGCAGCGTACAGTAGTTCATGATCATCACCATATAACATTAGCATGTCCATTGCTGCTCTTCAGGGCTACGGGTCTATTTAGTCCAACATATACGTATTAACTGGTGTAATGTACTTGTTCTTCACATGACAAAAATATCTACGTCTTGGCATACAGAAAGGGAGCCTGACGTCACCTTCGCAATGGCGAGATCTAGGCGATCTCAGACTGTATGCTGATACTAGTAGTAAAGACTGAGAGGCAGTAGTCGTCGTCCCGGGCAGGGACGGATAAAATGCCAGAGTCCACAGATTTGTGCAGGTTAAGCATCAGCCGAGAAATGAGAGTAACGGACATGCTGAGGGGTATAGTCAAAACCCGATCAATGTTCATCGCACCAACCACTCACCAGCTAGTGAATATAGCTAGACCCACATTGCCTCTAATAACTGCCCGGCCAACTGTTAAGAAATACTTAACTTTCACACAAGATGCTCACTGGTCCATACTGATTCAAGTTGCGAGCGGTTTGTAACTCCACTAGGATGTCGACTCACGTAGTACATCACAATGTTCGGTATATTACAGAGTGTCATGGCTCTGAAGGAATGTATCAATTAGACCCACTCGAATCACGGGTTCACTAACGCCCTCACCCAAAATACATCACACCTAACCGCGATAAACCTCTAGATTTACAGGTCCGATGAACTGTGAGGACAAAGATGAGTGCTTCGAAGGCCAGGATGGCCACCCATGCTAGCCCCAAACCTGCAGATGGATCAAGTCATGACTTCAAGTTGCGTGACTCAGAATCCACCGACGGGAAGATCTGCAAAGACTTTTGAGCAGAGTCGCAGGATGGAAGACCATGACGTACATCTCTACTTTTTCAAATAGAAGTGTCCAAAATTAGATCGAACACGTACAGATACGCCTCCCGCAAGAACCATGAGAATGAATGTAACCCAAATAAGCAGGCGTTGGCCACGACTGTAGAGAGAGCATAAGTGCGGATGATTGATATGACTGAAATTTTTCAGTCTATGAATTCTACTAGTAAAAGAAGTTGAACTCGCCGCAAATGACGAATTGTTGCAGAAAAACAAACAGCTGTCTGGCCGTCGTGTATTTCGGACAGCTAAGTGTTTGTTAAACGATAGAACAAATATCCAAGAGTTAGGAGATCAAACCTCCGCGGAAATAAGTTGTGAATTGAACCTGATCTGGAATGAATGAGAAATCAACGTATAAGCCATAGATATTGATTGCCGACCAGCGCGAGATAGCGGCTGATAAGAAATGACATTGCAGACAGGGCTTTCGGACGACGCCAAATGAAAGTGATTTCGTCTGTGAGGGTTTCCCGACTCCCACGGTAGTGGAGGAGGGTTTTGTCTAGCTCTCCCCCTTTTCGATCACATGGAAGGCCTTCAGAGGCTCGGGAACGGCGCCGGCGTCTGTGTCAATGATGTTACTAAGAAGCCAGGGCTGAGAAACCAGATCAGGCATGCAACGTTTTGGATGCAGCTGAAAACGCACCAAGTTTGTATCAGAGATAAGCTCCGCCAATCGACGGTAGCCTGTGTGCCATTACATAAGTCATTGATTTTTTTTATTGAATTTGAGATGATCGCACCAAAATCAAACTCGTGGTTTCCTGGAAGCGGACATCAGACGGGGAGTTCGGACACGGGACAAGCGACAAGCGACAAAACCTTACCTGCAACGCTAATCTCAACGTTCAGCGCGTTCATCACAGCCGCCTGTTAGGATTATGGGCATTGTTGAAGAAGCATAGAACGGATGTCCCATCACCATATGCTTTCCTCTGGCGGTTGAACTTTGGTAAGACGGGGAGAAGGTGTCGCCGGAAAAAAATGGTCAATCCGTCCTGGATGCGTTGGACCATAAAGTGGTGAACTTCGCCACATCGATGTTCTCTTCCTTGCCGTTGACCTGGAAAAGGCTGTTAATCCTGTGAATATCCACGAGTTAAATCAATACTACATTGAGCTTCTGGTTAGAAACCTGGTATATGTCGTTGAAATGCGCAATCTCGAGTACGTTCTCGTTGCCTGGAGGCGGTGTAACAGGTTTAACATCGTGCTCTGCGCACCAGACCTTGATCCCTTGTTCATATTGCTCCCAAGTGAGCCCTCCTGGATCTGTGTGACGGACAAGGACGTCTTGAAAACGGTCTTCAGCCGATGATAGCTCATCTAAAGCAACTGGGCGTACCCTCTTTCGACAGGTCAGAAGCGAATTCATTATCAAAGTAGACCTACGCAGGAGCTTAGATACGTGCAAACCGGACAAAAGAAGATCATACCGTGTCCTCGTATGCGTATTTGCTCCATCTTGGATGCGCTTAAAGTGCTTGGTCTTGGATTCTGCGAAGGAGAAATGGCGTCAGTGGTTCTGAGAGGCAAGTAATGACATCCTACCATCTTTATGATGGATTTCTGTTGGTTATCCTTTGAATCGGTGACATGGAAGTAGTATAGCACTCGGTCCACCTGAAAAATAAAATTCAGTGCATGTCACGACTTACCACTGCGCAGCGATGAAAACCAACAATACTTTGCTATCATGTCCCGACAAGCACGCCACTGGACCACAATTTAGGATACTGATTTCAGGAACACAGAAAACTTGCCTAGTTTCGAACGCTATGAGTTTTGGGAACATTCAGGCAACACCCTCGTCTCAATCAATACTCGTCATTTGTATTAAGATGAGGGGTTTTGAAGCTACGCACCCTTTCTTTCGAAATCCACATGGCACCACAAAACCCACTACTGCCGTAGCGGGAATCGGGCGAAACCCTGCGCGTACTTAAGTTTTTGCCTGGCCTTCTTCTCAGAATTTGGGGTGTCTAAACAGAGGAGATGTGGTGGCAAGTTTCGGACCTTCAAGTTAAAGAGGTCAAAAGATCGGGAACTGTATAAGTATGAGTTAAGTTTGGGCGTAGCTATTTTGACGCGGCCGTGACACGGCCGTGACGAGCCTTGACGCGGCCACTGACGCGCCATTCCTATATTCTATATCCAACTTCCAGATCAAGTTGGATGAGTTCACGACCATTCTTTTGTTATTTTATTTGCCTCAGAGTCATGCACAGCTAGGTATACATAAGCCAATCACTATTTTCTTTTCCTCCCTCTCTGGACCCTGGCCGCGTCAATTTCACCTGGCCCGTTAAGTTTGCAAGAGGGAGAATACACCCTAGGTGCGCCTCCAATGGCGTCTACCTTATATATATTTATGCTACTGATACTACATGTTCCCCGCACCTCTGTTCATGCCTTACAGCCCCGGCGACGACTTCTGCGACAGTCATGGAACTTGTCCTATGAATATGCAGCTCACTCACGCAACATCTACCCACACCTTGAAGGATTCAGACACATCCTGAGCACAAATCTCAACATCATCAATACCTGGAATCAGCCAGACGATAAAGCAGACCGGCCCACTCTGTTTCTCTTAACAGCACCAATGCAGGCTGGATCTGTGTGAGATGTTCCGTGTACAGCCCTAGCAGGTCATGCATTTGGATCACCCCAGCTGTAAGAACAGTTCCTTTGATTGATCCACCCACAAGAATGGGTTTCGACCTCAACTAACCCATTGATGCACTTTCACAGATGGAACAAAGTTTATGCTCGCTCTATCATCATTACGCATTCTCCGTGACACCAAAGTTTGCTTGTGGTCTGGCAAGTTTCAACTGCATCCCAATGCGAACACTTTTGTTTATCAGTAGGTATGCAACTTCACTCCATGGTGCGCGTATACTACTCACACCTTTCTCGGTTGCATCACCTCACCGTGGACAACCTCTCCCATGCCAGCTCACTTCTACTCCACCATCGCAATGTTCATCTTAAGCACACACGTCCGTCGCTACATCGTCGACTGGTTTCAACTTCTGTGTTGCGCTAGTATTTTTGTTTTCAAATCACTCACACTCGTGTCGTGTACATGTCATCCTCCAGATCCATCCAGCAAATCTCGTTTCTTCTCAAATCGACACCTCCTTTTGCCAACAGTCTTTCACACCAAATAGCATCATTCTCGTCACGATTCGCCACCCCCATGAGCTCCTCTGAGTCAATCTTGTTCTTGATGCTCACATCGCATATCGCTTGGTTACATTACGCGCCCGATGGTATGTTTCATTGATAGCGAACTCTTCAGGCATCACTGGACTTACTCTGACGCTTGCTTCCTATCTTTCTATTCAGGTGTTCATAGGAATTCAGACGTCTAAAATCTTGAAGGCCTGTAGACAGGCAAGACATATAGCATACTGCAGCAACGGGCTCAAGACTCAAGCTGTCCTATCACGCATAGTGACGATTGCGTACAAGTAAGTTGGACTAATTCCCGCCAATGTTGTTGATCAGCTTATCATTGACTCTCAGTCAGATATTCGACAAGTTTTGAATATGTTGTACGCGTGGCAACTAACCAAAAATTCTTGGTCCGTACATGTTTGGGCCGAATGTTCGAGAGACACTGGGCGACATGATGGAATTGCACTTCTACGACCATTTTCCATCCCACTTTTCATCCAGGTGAAACGCTCTGTTTCCGAGCGTTATAGAAGTATTTACTCTCTCGTCAGGAAAATTGTTTGAAGACTCAACATGTCAAAATTCGGAACCTGGAAGGGCCTCCAAAGATGTTGAAGCAACTCGAGTTGATAGATCAAGCCATATCTCCTCATCACATCAACCACTGTGTCAATAATTAAGTCGGAATTTGATGAACCGAGCGGTCAAGGTAAGCCTCCAAACGTTGTTCAAGCGATATCGTTTCTAATATATCGCTTGAAAGTGCTAGATGCAGTGATCAAGCCCAAGAATGAACTTTGCGACGCTGGCATCGCATAAGCGCGGTGCAATGTCGCCATTTGCAGCCGCCAGTCGATAAAATGGATTCCGACCTTGGCCCTGATGATATGAAACGCGTGTCACACATTTTTATTTCCGACCAAACGTGGAGGCATCACCATGCAGACTAAGTCATATCATGCGCAAGCATGAGACGATCCAGTGCTTATCAGATTTCCCTTACATCGCTGTCCTTCTCGACCTCAATGTGGTCATGGACCCCCGAACCTTGATACCACATATCCGAAGAGGATCCCAGGCCACCGCGAAACAGACTGATGTCTGCGGATCTATGCTTCTGGAATGAGCTTTACCCCATTTCCATCTTAAATCAACATCCCGGCCTTGCGACAGGATTCTTTCGATAGAAAGAAGCACCATCGCGGACGACTCTCAAAGGCCTCGTCAAATCCGGGAGTACTGCTTACTAGGTTGCGCAACTCGAGGTGGGAGGCACAACAAGAGTCGCCACTCGAACTATGACTGTGAAGGGGGTTATTGAGTATATGTTTCAGCTGATCAGATGTGCGTATCTTGGCAAGAGCTTCAGGAGTGCTCTGAAGATTATCCTGGTATCACAAAAAAAATGGAATAAAGTCGTTCAAAGTACTTGCGCGCCAGCAGGAAGTACTCTCAGTAGATCCAGAACCTCAAGCGAATTCCATAGATCGAAGAACTGCAGGAAATGATCATACTATGGTCGCCTCGCTAGAATTTGTCTACCCTCTCGTCATCAGCCTACTGAGTTGAAACAGCATACGGCTCTTGTTTCCTATCTCAAGCTCTTCGATTTCGGCGCTGTATGGTGAGTAATAGTCGTTCACGTTCAGCATACCTCATACCCTGATTTGAATAACCGATGTTTCAAAACCTTCACTTGGGATGTTTTCTCTTTTGGTGCTTATATGTATCTCTATTCGACCTCTAAAACGGCTCGCCCACCAGTTGAACACTATCCATGCAAGTCTCCCGGATTCGGCAGTCAAAACCGATACCTCTCTTGGTCGCGTAATTCCCGCCACCGCTCTGACATCACCCTTTGAACACTTCAAAAAAATTTCACCCAGCCGCCAGTGGTACTAGTGTGGGCCTCAGGTAATACTACTCGCAACTCACTGATATTTTCTTTCTTTTAGTGCATGGCGTGAGCGGAGGGTACAATGGCTTTGTATGATCTGGAATGACGCTTTCTGTGATCTCAAATCCGTTCAAATCACACACATTATGAGCAGCGAGCGGATGCAAAGTCAAAAGACTGCCTAGCTATGGAACGAGGAGAACAAGAGCATCTGAAGGTATTTGAGTCACTTCTGATGCTAGATTTGTCCTCTCCTTAATGTATTCACACATGCCTGGATCTACGGTCGACCTTATGTTACAATTTGTCCTAAATTGTCGGCCAGCAGTCCGTGAAGGCACCCGTCAAGCAAAAAAATCACTGTGGCTTTGAGGTTCGAGCGAGCGACATGGAATCCTCGTCATGTTAGAGTCGCACTCATGAAAGTATCTGTGAGTGTTAGCGCTGTCAGGCCCATATTATGATTACACGCTTTCACCACTCTACTATTCTGGCGATCGGCTTCTTTCGTCACTTTGACACTGATAATGGCCCTTGCACTAATAATAATGCACATAGATTCTACAGATATCATCATCCGCGGGGTTTAGGCTTTAGATCCACTGCACTGGCTACAGACGAGTAATACAAATACGTGCTTTTACTCGCTACTTGGTAACCACCAGAACGGAACTAGTGCAGGTAGGTCACCTTTAATAATTATTGCCTGTATCATTTGTCTACATCGCCGGCGCCAAGTCGACCACGGCAGCCTGGGCCGGTCAGGAAGCAATGGCACGAACAATGGGTCTATGATTATTTCAAATCACGGCAATAGCCATACGAGCTGTAATAAGAATGGCACACGTAGCGACAACGGTGCATACTACTAGTTGGGCAGTTGCTGGACCGCACCAACCGCGGACTCCCACCTCCAGGGACTGTGCTGGCATCTGTGATGCCGTACTAGATACCCCTTCCCCTTAGGTCCAGTTGATAAGCTGAGTTAGCATGATTTTGCGTGTGAAGTTTTCTTTCTGGGCGACAACCACTGTCACCCCATTCCTTCGGTAAGGTTGTACGATCGACGATCAAGCTCCAGGGGCACCTTTCCGAGCACAAGTCGACTACATCGCAGGAACAGTTCATGGGAATGTAGAAGGGTAGAATTTCAAACCAGAAAGGCATCAATTACAGTCAGCCCCGAAGTCGTCTAAATATCCCTTGTCCGAGATCTGCAAGAATCACCTGAAGGACATGGGCATATAATCATTTCGTAAATACCAATAAGCATCTAAAGTTCGTTTCAATCTAACCCCTCTTTCAAGCGTAACCACACACTGAAAACAGAGTCAGTGTTTACTGTAATCTGCAGCATATGAAGGCGAAAACTGACCGCTAACGGACATCCTGCCTGTCGCCGCTGTCACTTCGTCTCTGAGGATAGCCCGGAGGTCGGCCCTTTGATGTGCGAACTTGACTGACTCTATCGCGAAAAGGGAGTCATTGCTTATTTCCATAGCTTTTCCATCCTGCAACTCGACCACCTCAGAGCGGGAGTCGTCGCGCACAGGTTTGACGTCGTCAGTTCGACTATACGATCGTGGCAAAGTCTCAGTAGTTTCTGGTGTGTCGGTAACGTGAATGTGGATTGAAATATATAAAGGAGGTGCAAGCTGTAGTGCCCGGATAAGCACATCGTCGATCCAGTGAATATGATCTGAGGAGCATAGACACATTAACCTCGCCACAAGCCTCGGATTAACGATTCTTACCGACACTCCGAATTGACCAAATGAAAACAACACGACGGCACCTGCTTTCACCGTTGCAGACACGCCTGAAACAAAAGAAATCAGGTTGAATACGCAGAATCGGTAATTCAGTCGACATACTCTATTGTATCCAACAATACCGGTAGTGTATACGAGACTCCGGATCCACCTGAAAGCGGGACATGCATGAGCAATGTTCGACATGTAGAAAGTCCAGCGACTAACCAGCAATGAGCACAGATGTGTCATATGAACCCAGGTTAGGAGAAGGCCCGTATGGCCCATCGACAAAGACTTTTACTTTGTCACCCTTCAAGGCAGCATCTTTCAAGTGGGCCGTGAATCCTTCCCTCACGTTTATGAAAAAATACGAGCTCTTTCCAGAACGGAGCACTAGAACCAAGATTCCCTTCTGCAAGGCTCATCTCAGCATATTTTTCACTTGTTGGTTTCTGTTCCTTAGGCACATCAAAAAGTGTCGAATTGAAGCTCGCAATGGTGAAAGGGTGGGCCTCGAATGGCAAGCGTGAGACGGACGGCATGATAAGATAGGCAGTTTGCCCAGGTGTCCAGTGGAAATGAGACGGGCGGTGGAAACGCAACCGAACAAAATCATCTGATAGTAGGAGTTCAGCGATCGTGTCCATCGTAGACCCTGAGCTGAATCCGAAGTATGAGTGGTTGAACACCACTAGACGAAGGGTCCGAATGAGCCGGTCCAATCCCCAGATTACGAAACAGGGGTAGATCCAGAAGGCGACGCTGGCGATTATCAGCGTGGAACATGTAAGTTGTGTATTTGATGAAACTCACTTAGAATCTTGTGTGTGGATGTAAGCGCCGATGAGGAAAATGCTGAAAAAGTTTGTCAGTATCACAAAGCAATAGAACTGGAATGGGCTCAAGCAACCATAGCGAAATGAACGTAGAAGAAAAGCCCGTATGCTTGGGCTCGGACGGGGCGCAAGGAGACGATACATAGAATGGTAGATGCGACCATGACAACCAAGCCCCATAAGAGCCACGGCTGCGCAAAGTATGGTTGGAATCTGTGTCGTGTTAGTGTATTGAGTCCTTTATACATGTTGCACGTACGGTGCATGTCGGACAATCTCACCGCCTACATGAACCCAGAGCAAGACGAAGACAACTCTAGACATCAGATGAGAGTAGTTGAGCTTGAAGAAAAATCACGTTAGAATAAAGCAACGGCGAATATCGTGAATAGATTTACCTTGTCATAGCTGATACCGGTTATTACTGCAGGCAGTCAGCAAAGCAAGTTAATATGCAAGCACAGAAGCCGTACAGGATACTATGTTGTTTTTAGTTCCAAGTGCAGTGATCAGCGGGAACTGGCTCGACGCCAGCATGCCTGAGCGGTTGCACCAGTATGAGATGTCCAATTTTTGGCTCTCGAGGTCGGTTGCTAGAAGCTCTCTCAGAATGTGCGAGTGACATAGCCAGGAAACTCACTGTTGATAAATGTCCATACAAAAAGAAAAACAATGTACGCCACCGTCACAAAAACCTCAGCCATGTTGAGGGTGTATGACTTTCCAAATTCGAGTGTCCAGCGGAAAGAAATGACACGGTACGCATTGACGAGTCCCAATGGAATGCGGCGCCAAGAAAAAGCGTGGTGACGACGGTGCACAGAAGCATGTTCTGGGTCGGAGGCGTTGGACGTTTGACGCCTCCCGGCAAACTTGGAGTGAAAGAAAGGGATCCATTGGAAGATTGCAATGATGAAAATGAAGAGTCGAATGCAATACGATGCTTGTTGCGGATACAGCTGGTTTCGGGTGGATCGCAGAGACTTGTCGGTGACAGTCATGAATGAAAAAGAGAGCCCAAGTAAACTCACACCAAGGACACCCTCGAAGCATGGCCCCCTTTATAGTCGACGTCTACATATAAGTTGTATGTTACAGAAGTGCCTGGGGAAAAAAAAGAACTATCAGATACTTAATGACCCAGATGGTGTTATCGTGCAAACCCATGTTTGGTCGTAAGGTTATAAGTCCTCTTTCGCACGGTCGTCTGTCACATGCCTGTACCAATCATGTCACGTGCCAATCCACGTTAACCTGGTTGGGAAGTCCTAGTATTATCCGCATCCCTCAACTAGGGAATACCATGTGGTTTTCAATTCAATTTACATTGCATGATTATTGTGTTTGGTCTTCATGGCGTTTGGACCATTCATCACTCCTGCACCATACGAACATTACTCCTTCAATAAACCTGAGATAGCTTTCACGCTTTCAACCCCAGAAACTACACAAAATGCTCACTGTCTCAGGATACCATTGACCCCGACACCAGTTCTGCTCTCCTCCATCTCTCTTATGTCCAGAATGTCGATTCGGTTACACACCTAGCTCTTTCTCAGTTGTCGTGCGGCAGCCTGCAGGTGTGTTGTGTTACGCACTGTTTAATAATACCACTTATCCAAGGGATGTCATCTTCCTCGCAATCCATTAAGTCGTGCTTCTTTCCTCTGGTGTGTTTCACCACCAAGACATTGCCCACCACGTCGTCTTCATTTGATGTGATCCCACCTATCTTTCGAACAAGCGCGTTCGGAGGACCATATACCAATGGATGTTCTCGAAAGAAAGTGTATCCAGGAGGAGTCTCACCCTCAGGCATATCTGTGATGACATTATACGTCTTCCGGCAGCGACCAGCTGAGGACACGAATTTGTCTGGCCCAAACTGATCCACCCAGTGCGTGACTTCCAGTTGGGAGACATCGACAAGACTCTCCACACCATCTCGGAGTGGGACAGACACCAGGTGGGCTGCATCAGCCTTTGTTGCATACAGCACGCCCTGCAATATCGCCTGGTATTCCTGTTTTCATTTTCTGTCAGTCAATTCCTCCATCTTCCTTCTGTCTGATACTTACTGGCCAGTGCTGCGCGATGCGTGCCTCCTGCACCTCTCTTTCTGAAAGCATGGATGGCGTGGGCTGTGGTGGCAGTCGCACACTTCGTGAGTTGTTCTTTGGGTTATAAGCACAGAAAGAATTCTGACAATGGACCGCCAGACGCCATATTGCCTGCGAACGCGGGATGGCAGATTTGATGGAGAATCTCTCGTCCCATTCCAACACTAGCATCTGTCTTCCGCTGTCCGATACATTGCGCCAGAGCGTGGGGCATGCCTGCCCGCACTCTTTCCCTAGGAACTCTGTTGTTGCCTCAACCCTGAATTCATCCTTCGCCATACAACCCACGTTCTTCTGCCAGTGCGTCCCTCTCGGCTCTCGGTAGCATGCATATCGCCTGACCGGGTGCTCGCATAACAAAAATGCGAGCCACGCATGCGGCTCTGTCAATGGTACCGTCATACGACCAGTTTTGTAATAAAGATGGACCAATAAATTTTGATCTGCTTGGCACGATTGATTTAATGTGGGATCCGATCGAAACTCAATTTTCAATCGTTGTACTTACGGTGAGACTTGGCCAATTTGAAAGCGAGTGAACCGTAAGCTCTTCATGCGATCGTGCCGTCGTCTCGATGCTGACACGCTTCACAAGGACATTGTTCGAGGATTGTCGTATCATCAATATCCAATTCCAGACTGGACAAAGTCGGAAGAACGATCGGGTGTGTGCCTTGTGAGAAACTATCATTGCCGGAAATGTCCTCGATCGAACGCCCAGAGCCACATCCACCAGAGTCAATACGACGGCTGGTCTTCGTACTCTTACACATTCGACTCATCATGGCTCATGTAAACTGTGACCTTCCAGGTGTTTATCTTGTACTACGTGAGTTCGCGAGACACAAGTGAACCTGCCGATATAACTCTTTGTACAGAACGGAGCAATACAGCCTCATACCGTTTCTCCACCTTTCGCCACTGCACATGTGTCTTCGCAGAGACCATTGAATACCCTATCGTGGACATATCAGACGTAGCCCGCGATATGAACAATCGCGTCAGGTTGAAAGGTCTGTTCATATATGCGGCAGTGAGTGGATCTGACCCGGCCGCTATGCACACAGAGTTCATGGCTTTTCTCGTGCAAGAGGGCATCATCATCTTTTTTTTCGACGATGTGGTGGAAGGGTACGCGATGGCAGACTCGTTCAATGACAATTAGATTGGGAGGATGGTGTCATGGGTCCGGGGTTTGGTCGATGACGTTTGGTTAGAGAATGGGTCGGCAGGAGGGAGGACGGGGGGATGTGACGGCAGACTCATTCGACGTGGATTAGAATTCAGTGGTGGTGGCAAGGGCGCGGTGTTTGGTCCAGGAGAGAATATCTTGGGATAAGGACTGGCAGATCAATATAGGGATGTCTGGGAGCTACTGTGTTTTTGGTAGGCGCTGCTGGCGCGTTGTCTGGCAGAACAGACGCGGCGTACGGGATATCATATCATTGTTAACACTGCAACTTTTGTTTTGTTCACTGTACAGTATGCTTTCGGAAACTAAGAGAGCCTCCATGCCATTGCTTGGCCATCACGTCCCGCGACACTAAGATTACTGACAAGTTCTGCCTCTGGAAGATTGTCGGATCAATGTCGTTGTTACCGGTGGGCACGTGAACCTGCACTTGCCCTGTCCCATTGTGGCAATACCTCAAACAGAGTCCAAGAACCAGATCCGCTGCAACGTCATCAAAATTACCGAATCCAGAGATGGTCATATGGACATTGCTAGAGGACTGTAGGAGGCTAATACACAGTTCGCTGTCACATTGCAACGACCGTCTGACATTCTGCCCCTTTTGAATTCGTATAAATTGCTTGAAGAAAATCATGGGTGATTCATCAGTGAGGGAGGATTCCGTACTGAGACACGACAAGGCTCTGAATTCGCTGACCGAAGCTATTTGGCACTCAACGACATAGTAGCATGTGCTGGTGAGGCGCCAGGTAGCCCTGTCCCTCCAGTGTCGTGTGTCTTCTCTTTGCTCGTTGGCCTTGGTGTCATCCTTTTGATCGTCCTTTGCGCAATCTTTTTATCTCGTCATCTCTGTTTACCCATTCTGGCACGCTCGCTCAAGGCATTCGCGCAGCTTAGACTCATAGAGTCATCCCAATTTCACGCCATTCATCTCCATTGTGTATCGGTGCTTCTTCTACTGCAATCGACTCTATACGTGGGTCTCGTCAGCTCTGTTCATGCCTTGGGATGAATTCGCTGACCAAATCTATTTGTCACTCAACCCAGTCTGCAGCCACGACCAACACGAGTTTTGCGCGCACCATGAACAATCCTGTGAAAGAATGTACGTCGCCCGCACCATCTATGAACTAAGTGACTCATGCGAGGGACTTACAGTCTTCCACCAAGCCCCGCTCGTGCAAATGGTTTACCATTGCCTCCCGCTTGTAACTGATATGCTGGCCCTGCAAGGGACAAATCGTGAGGTCAAACGTGTCGGGACAGATTGTATCATCGGCCGGTTCGACAGAATTTTGCGGCCATTCGTGGAGGAACACATAGCCGAGTTTCGTTTCATGCTGCACACCACATCAGCAGTGATCAACGGCTCCTGCGCAATGCAAATGTGGCGGGATGACGGTCGCCATGCAACGAACCTTAACATTGTGGTTCCCTCTGACTTTGGCCCCTTGCTAGCGGATTTCATCATAGACACCCTACGCTACGACAAAGTGGCTGATACACCCATAAACCATGCCTACACCAAGGTCATCCGTTCCCATAGCGAATTTCAGCGTGGCGGCTTGAAGATCACCGTGTCTGAGGCCTTGGGTGAGGGTGTCTTCAAAGTTATCATGGCCTCGCACACCACTGCAGACATGACATTGATGACTGCAGGAGGCATGACCGTATTCTATCCGTTGTGGACCTCGAGGGGGATCGCTGTGACCAATGGTGCAGTATTGCGCCCTGCGCCAGAACCGACCATTGGCTGTATGTCGCAGGAAGGCTGGGAGGTCAAGAGCTGCACTTCCTTCATGGACGGTCCATGTGGTCTCTTATGCCCTGCTCTGTGGCGTAATGTGGCAGATGCAGGACGCAATGCACTGATCTTTGAGTGGGATCATAGATTTCCGATGAAACGCTTGGCCGAACGTTCAAATGTGATATGGCGCCTGTCACAACGTTGCGCGAATCCAGAATGTCCTTACAACAGCATCACTAATGGGAACACGTGCGATCTGCCTCCTAAACCAATGCCGCACGACCTCGTCAGTATTGAGAGGCAGAAGGAGATTATCGAGCAACACATGCCCGTTTGTCGCTTGCCCTTTTTGTCTCGACATAAGTACTGACCCTTCACTGGTAGAAATACAAGGAGACATACCTGGGTGTCCTTTATGCCACTGCGGCTGCGACACCGCAGATTGTGCCCATCCCCCTGCGTGACGGGCTTGCCTCTCTCGCCTATATTTCGCATCTCCAAATCCTGCACTGGGTCGATTTCCTAGGTCGCAACAAGCATGTGTTAGGTGCAGGCCGCAATCGCAAGACTTACAACGTGATTTCTGATCCTGACTCTTCCCCTTGGGCGCATGCCTTCACTTTCTTCCGCGAAGATCCGTTGGTGTATGCCCCACCCAACGCGCTCATCCGAAACATTGCCAACATTGCCAGCAACGACGCTGACGTGACTGGAAATGTGTTAGTGGTCAAACACGTGCACGGAGATAAGAATAAGATAGTGGACTGCAATCAACGAGACATCAATGCCATCAATGTACTTATGACAAGGTCAGTTCGTGCAACGATATGCGAGATGATCCTGGCTGAGCATGCTACAGGGCACTTGGAGATGCCGAGTTTTGGGCTTAAAAATGTACTCAAGATGGGGTGTGTGACTATGGAAGAGAACAGGGACCGTCGGATGGCGAGAGTATGACGATGATATTGGCCTGCAGATGTACAATAGGGACATGGTGTGTAGAGACGACACAGAACTCAAAGTCTTACTGCGTCGATAAATGGAACCATGCCTGGGCGCCTCGTGTTTGATCGAAGTCGTCAGTTTGGTATCGAAGGGCGTAATGTCTTGTGCGATGCTTTAAGAATGGACAGGCGTGTTGCGACTTCAAAATGTGCTACATGTGAGAAAGACGCGTTGCCGGAGGAAGCGATCACCTGCAGCTGTTCAGCGCGAGACATGCAGAACGTCCTGCACGGTGACGCAGAAGATGCTAGAAACGCCCATGAGTTCTGCACCTCCAAGTCAGAGAGATGCTGACCTTGAACACAGCGCTGGCACCCACAATATATCCACGGGACGACCCATTCTGGCGAGGATAGTGATGAACCTGATGAAACCATGGAGTTAGAGCGTTCACGACACGGCATGATGATGGGGGGGAAAAATTGATTAGAGCAAGGAGACACAAGCAAAGATCGCGTGTGGCATTGTTGACGTGTTGTTTGTGTGAATGAACACAATCATGCGGTTCGTACTGTTCAAAGTACATCGCTGCAGATACAGGCTTTTTGTCCTGCAGATGCAGCTTTTTGTCCTGCAGATGCAGCGGCTTTGCGTCCTGCAGATGCAGCTTTTTGTCCTGCAGATGCAGGCTTTTTGTCCTGCAGATGCAGCGGATTTGCGTCCTGCAGATGCAGCTTTGCGTCCTGCAGATGCAGCTTTGCGTCCTGCAGATGCAGCTTTGCGTCCTGCAGATGCAGCTTTTGGTTCTGCAGATGCAGCGGATTTGCGTCCTGCAGATGCAGCGGCTGGAAATAATACGACCAAACAACTGACTACTTTAAAGGAGGCTGATATGCGATAAATACTGAATCCGCGCCCCAGACATGTAATAAGGCCTGACATAGGTCAACCAGGGTCATGCCCGAGCGCTGCCCGCGGGTCGACCTAAGCGTGAGAGCGTTTGGGAGGTGGGAGGTCAGATCTCAGACCTGTAAATTACGGGGTGGTGAGGAAAATGAAAATCGGAAAATTGAAAGAAGGGAAAAGCTCAAAACGAGCGTGGCTTTACCCTTAATTCTAGATATCAGCGTTGATTCAACGCGGGAGAAGCACGATGAGCCAACCTAAAATTTTAACGCTCCTGAGCGTCTGAGGCACCCGACATGGTGCCCACGGTTCAAGTATAGGTGGCGGGCAACGAGGGCGGCGGCGGGAAAACGAGAGAGGGTGGCAGGAAGGACTGCAGGCAATGAACGAGAGAGACGCGGGAGGGACTGCAGCCAATGAGAAAGGTGGTGCACAAACGAGAGAGATGGCGGGCAACGAGAGAGGTGGCACGCAACGAGGGAGACAGCGGGCAACGAGGGAGGCGGCGCGCAACGAGAGAGGCGGCGCGCAACGAGAGAGGCGGCGGGCAAACGACGAGATAAGATGATCAATGGCTATGTAAGACGGCGGGCAGACAGACCTTTGGTGGTTGACAAACCTTCCCCCGGTAACTCCCGCGTAACGCTGACAAAGACTTGACACAGACCTAGACACAGACCTGGACGCGGAGTCTGCGCAGACCTCACACAGACTTCCCAATACCCTGACTTTCTGACGTCAAGAAGGTTGATACTTGGCTTTCAAAAGACAAAAGATCATCTCATAGGATTTTGGATATGGTGTATTGTCATGGATCTCCAGTAGTAACCATCAAAATAAAGTAACGCTCTGTCCCGACATTCCGAGAATCATCGAAAATGCGTTGAAGAATGGGGCATCTATCGCGCTCGTGTCGGGACATGATAGCAAAGTATTGTTGGTTCTCATCGCTGCGCAGTGGTAAGTCGTGACATGCACTGAATTTTATTTCTCAGGTGGACCGAGCGCTATACTACTTCCATGCCACCGATCCAAGGGATAACCAACAGAAATCCATCATAAAGATGGTAGGATGTCATTACTTGCCTCTCAGAACCACTGACGCCATTTCTCCCTCGCAGAATCCAAGACCAAGCACTTTAAGCGCATCCAAGGGTGGAGCAAATACGCATACGAGGACATGGTATGATATTCTTTTGTCCGGTTTGCACGTATCTAAGCTCCTGCGTAGGTCTACTTTGATAATGAATTCGCTTCTGACCTGTCGAAAGAGGGTACGCCCAGTTGCTTTAGATGAGCTATCATCGGCTGAAGACCGTTTTCAAGGCGTCCTTGTCCGTCACACAGATCCAGGAGGGCTCACTTGGGAGCAATATGAACAAGGGATCAAGGTCTGGTGCGCAGAGCACGATGTTAATCCTGTTACACCGCCTCCAGGCAACGAGAACGTACTCGAGATTGCGCATTTCAACGACATATACCAGGTTTCTAACCAGAAGCTCAATGTAGTATTGATTTAACTCGTGGATATTCACAGGATTAACAGCCTTTTTCAGGTCAACGGCAAGGAAGAGAACATCGATGTGGCGAAGTTCACCACTTTATGGTCCAACGCATCCAGGACGGATTGACCATTTTTTTCCGGCGACACCTTCTCCCCGTCTTACCAAAGTTCAACCGCCAGAGGAAAGCATATGGTGATGGGACATCCGTTCTATGCTTCTTCAACAATGCTCATTGTGACGTATGTCAGACTGGTCACGAGTCTAAGGGAGGTCCCCATCGAGAGGGTTATGAACGCTTCCATCGTTCGAGCTCGGCTTAAGCCAAGCCTTATCTCCGTAGCGCACCAAAGCACGTCAGTCTAGGCGTGATCCGCAAACCAACCTTCTCTATAGCGACGAGACTGAGCCATCATTTCGACTCGTCAAATGCGAGATTGAATTCGCTGATCTTATCGCGATTCAGCTTTTTCCTGCGGCTCTGATGAAGCCAAGGCGCCTTCAATAGTGTTGACTGTGACTCGTTATCATAATGCAAAACCTATGATGTATGGCTATGGAAATTGGAGTGAGGGGGAAAGACTAATGTATTCTGCTCTCTGCTCATTAGTTATTGTTACTGCGCCACTAACGATCAGGCTCTCCAGCGAACACCCCGACCGTGCCAGGAATGCCATGAATGCATCATGAGGCCAGGTTAACAAGCCATGAATTTCCAGTATGCATAGATTGGGGAGTGAGAGAGCATCGAGAAGGTCAGATAACGTGTCTACATGAAGGCATAAGAATCTATGGCGGCCGGAAAGGGAGAGCTGAGGGACAGCATTAATGTAAGACCTGAGCGGGCGACGAAGCAAGTGCAAGTGGGTGGGAGGCCCAAATCACAACATCTAGTTCTAATTAGACAATTAGATTCATCTTTTATGTATCCTGCGACTGCGAGCATGACGTACCAGCGTCGTATCCTTGCCTCACCAGAACAAAACCTGTATCTGATACTGTACATGAATTGTAAACAAGGTTCCTGCCGACGAAGTTCGGCCCCACTCTAGTACCGTATACATGGTCAAAAAAACACTGGTTGAAACACTCGGAATATCGGACTGAGAATGATATGATGGCGAATGAAGAAATGGCTAATCAGTGCAAAGCGAACCGGTTTACTTCTTTCGGCATACGTCTTTGGATCAAGCAAAACTAATATCTTCAGGCCAGTTGCCTGATGGACGGTCTCCAAATGCGCCATCTTCATCCATTGCTAGTCCCAGAGCTGCGTCATCCTTGCTCTTGACGGCCTGAATATTTATTAGCATCCGTCCACTAATCAATTCGATCCCCAGACGTCAAAGTAACGTGGTCGAGCAGAAAATAGTGTCGGAGCCGACAGGGTTCGTACGTCGAGGACACACCTTTGTCAGATATTCTTTGTTCCTTTCCATTTCTTTTTCAAGCCTCACAAGAAGCTGCTGTGCCTGTGACAATACGCGGTCGACATCATTCTTCTCGAATTTCACTGGTGGGTCCGAGAATGACGCAGTCCCATCTGCAGACAGCCCCGTGGGGATTTCTGAGCACTCACTCTAGCGCAAAGCATCAGTTATTCATACGATTCGCCAAGGGAAAGAAATCCACCATGCTCAAAATCAGAGATTTCACTTGATTCTCGTCCGAAATTCCCACTTCTCGTCCGATATCGGATAAATGTAACGTCAAATAAGTGGGTGTGAGTTTCTTTATGGCCCAACGAGGCGCGCGGTCGAGTGCCTGAGTGATGAGACCAAGAGTTCTTTCCTACACGCGTGGTTAACGATACACAGATTCAGGCGCTTTCAATACCTTACATTGGCGAATAGCTGCTGCTCGTTTTCAACTATCGTGCGAAGGTAGTCGCGTTGTAGAGGATATGCATTCGTAGTTTCGTGCGACGCGTATACGATGATGTCTTCCTGTAATAAAACGTAGTAAGTAACGGATAGAACTCTAAATTAGTACATACCATCGCGTCCCCTCCATCGACCTCGTCTTCGTCGCAAACGTCCATCGGTTCCTATAACAGACAAACGTCAAACAAACGGACTAAAATACGCATCGTAACGCATACTAACCAGGTACGTACCCCCCTCTTTGTCTTCGTCAGAGTCAACATCCATCGGGCCCCACGAAGCGGTGATGACCGAATGCATCATAGTGTGGATCGTAACGTTCGGTCAGTAAATTACAGATATTAGTAGTGACACTGTGACCATCATCACCTTTCGGCTTCGTCCTTCAGTGCCACAATGCGACAAATAGCGATGGCATCGGTAAGATACTAAAGTCGATGATTCAACAGTCGCACGCCTTTCATCCTGCGAGGGCACATCTCGAGAGACATCTTCGTGTGCTGTGCGAGGAGGCTCTCTCCATCCAGTAAAGCGGTGCAAGTGCCTACCTGGAGAATTCTGCCACGCAGGAATCTCAACATTGTTCACGGCTGCCCGAGGGCGTTTGGAGCGGAGCCGTCGCGATCCTCTCGATAGCGTTGACTGTGCAAAAGACGCTTGTTGGCGTAACTGGGGACAAAAAATATAAATCAGCAAATGGTTGTCTAGAACAGAGACATACACTGCATAGCGTTGCCAAAATCTGGTTCAGCAGGAAATCAGCGAACGCCGAATGTGACCGCATGCTGAATTTACATTCAAATGTCAAATTCATCAGTTCTCTGCAAATAAGAGCGCATTACTCACAATTCAGTATCTCTTCTGCAAGCTCACTGGAGTAGAGTAATTCAATGGTCACGAATAAACAGGAGAGGTCCTCTTCAAGTTTGGTCACTGGCCCACAGGTGACTCGGAGGTAAGACAATGCGAGAAGTCTCGGATGGCACGAGCGCCTTGACAGTTCGACGGTGACAGTCCTGAGTGAGTGGTTCATAATAACAATGCGATCTGACTCAGCCTAGCGAGAGTGCATCGTTTATATTCATTTCAGCGTTTCAACAATTCTGGGTTGATCCCCATCCTGAGCTCCATTAATGCACATTTGAACGAGTATTTCAAGTGAATGCCTATGACCAAAAAATTCAATCACATATCTGCTGAGCGGCGAGTATCTAAGGCTTCCGAAGCAATGTAAATAACAAAATGTGGCAGAAGTCGTACCAGTGGGACAAGCGTGCCAGTCAGCTAAACATCGGCTGATGTGCCAGGCTCGACTGTCACAGACATTAGCCAGCCAGACCCAGGTGCGAAACGGCCCTTCTGGCTTTGAGAATAGAGTATGGTTTTCGACCCCTCCGGCCTCGTATATGCAAGGGTATGACCGCAGCCCGGGTGCTGGCAGATGAACCTACTTTCATTCGGTGCGCTGAGGGGGTTGGAGACGATGTGCTTCCATGGACGCACGCACATGCAGTTCGGACATTGGTAGGGCAGGGCGTTCCCGAACGGATGGTTGGCGTCGTGGAAGAAGGTATATGTTGAGACAGTCATTGAGGCCGTAGCGGTTGAGATGTGCTTTACTCCCTGATGGTACTCTATCATGGTAGGCTGACGCCGGCGGAAGGCAGTCGGGTTGTGTATGTGTACGATGGAGGAATGCACTGCAAAGCGAGAGCATGCGTTAAGCAGGTCGGAAATGACTTCTTGTGCCTCGAAACCTTCAACAAGTACGCGGCGGACATAGGTGGTGACAAGCGGTATGGTCAGGCATGCGTGAAACGATGTAGCGCCAAAAGCAAATGCATGTTCCACCTGATACCTGTAAAAACAGTGTTCATCGCTAACATGGCACAGACAAGTTACTCACTGTTTTATGCAAGTTTTCAACAGCTGGAACGAGTCGTGCTTCCGTACCGTGTGCCCGCAAATCAGCATCCATAGCGTAGCCCCCCTAACATAATCCTCTATTCCACCGACAAAAAGCCCTGCGAAGAACTGCGAAGGGTTATGCACCATAAAGAAGGGTAGGTCTAACTTACATCGTCCACAGGGTACGCAACAGGATCGCCTAGCGTTGCGACTTTATTTTTCCCCCTTCGCAAAAAATCGCCATCCTCGAACCCACCCCATATGTCACCCCGGTCAGTCTCTGAATGAGTGTAGACGAAAATTTCAACACGCTCATACTCCAGGGGTTTCAGGCGGGCTACGAGTGCCTTCATGGACTCCACATGCCGGTCAGCTTTCGCATTTGTCCCAATGTCGAATATAATCTCGTGAAAATGTAAGGCGTTGTTGGGCCTATAAGGCCGTAGCTGATGTTGCATTACGGCCGCAGGCGATCCAGCAGGGTCGAGGGCGGTAAGGACAAAGTGCAAGACAAGGATGGGATTGCTAGATATCTCCGACCGACTGGCCATTTCGATACGGCCATGAATAGTAGCGGGGACCTTGAATACCGGGGTTCCATCACAGTCCTCAAATCCCTAATTAAAATCATATATATATATATTTGAGAAACAGGAAAAAAACTTGCGAAGTATGGCCTGATGCTACTACTCCTGGAACCCTTTCCACGCATTTCATGACACCCAGGGCACACGAAGTGAACATCGGGGTCTTTGGTACGTTCTTGGAACTCCGCAGGAACAACGACACACTCTACACAGACTACGCGTGGGCACACGGAGCATTCATACAGAGAGCCCCCATCCCAGCAAAAAACGCAGAACTTATTCAATTTCATGAGTTGTAGACTGAGAAGGGGACAGAGGTTTGCAGGCTTACGATGTTATGCCACAAAGGCTTCAGCATGGCCTTTCCACCTGACGGTAAAGCTGCCTTAGATTGTATGGTTTTGATAACCTGAATACCGCCATGGCCTGTAAGCTTCTTGAACTTCGGTACCATACCACGCTTGGCAGGCCCTCCTGTCGTCTTTTTGGAAGTCTGCTTTGTCCGCGCCATAGTAATGAGTAAACGCAGAAAGCGAGAGAAAACTCAGAATTCAATCATTGATTCGCTATTTTTCAACCTCCGCTCTCCGATAAGTGATTATTCAACGTCAAGAAGGTTAATACTTGGCTTTCAAAAGACAAAAGGTCATCTCATCGGATTTTGGATATGCTGTAGTGTCATGGATCTCCAGCAACCATCAAAATACAGTAACGCTCTGTCCCGACATTCCGAGAATCATCGAAAATGCGTTGAAGAATGGGGCATCTATCGCGCTCGTGTCGGGACATGATAGCAAAGTATTGTTGGTTCTCATCGCTGCGCAGTGGTAAGTCGTGACATGCACTGAATTTTATTTCTCAGGTGGACCGAGCGCTATACTACTTCCATGCCACCGATCCAAGGGATAACCAACAGAAATCCATCATAAAGATGGTAGGATGTCATTACTTGCCTCTCAGAACCACTGACGCCATTTCTCCCTCGCAGAATCCAAGACCAAGCACTTTAAGCGCATCCAAGGGTGGAGCAAATACGCATACGAGGACATGGTATGATATTCTTTTGTCCGGTTTGCACGTATCTAAGCTCCTGCGTAGGTCTACTTTGATAATGAATTCGCTTCTGACCTGTCGAAAGAGGGTACGCCCAGTTGCTTTAGATGAGCTATCATCGGCTGAAGACCGTTTTCAAGGCGTCCTTGTCCGTCACACAGATCCAGGAGGGCTCACTTGGGAGCAATATGAACAAGGGATCAAGGTCTGGTGCGCAGAGCACGATGTTAATCCTGTTACACCGCCTCCAGGCAACGAGAACGTACTCGAGATTGCGCATTTCAACGACATATACCAGGTTTCTAACCAGAAGCTCAATGTAGTATTGATTTAACTCGTGGATATTCACAGGATTAACAGCCTTTTTCAGGTCAACGGCAAGGAAGAGAACATCGATGTGGCGAAGTTCACCACTTTATGGTCCAACGCATCCAGGACGGATTGACCATTTTTTTCCGGCGACACCTTCTCCCCGTCTTACCAAAGTTCAACCGCCAGAGGAAAGCATATGGTGATGGGACATCCGTTCTATGCTTCTTCAACAATGCTCATAATCCTAACAGGCGGCTGTGATGAACGCGCTGAACGTTGAGATTAGCGTTGCAGGTAAGGTTTTGTCGCTTGTCGCTTGTCCCGTGTCCGAACTCCCCGTCTGATGTCCGCTTCCAGGAAACCACGAGTTTGATTTTGGTGCGATCATCTCAAATTCAATAAAAAAATCAATGACTTAATGGCGCACAGGCTACCGTCGATTGGCGGAGCTTATCTCTGATACAAACTTGGTGCGTTTTCAGCTGCATCCAAAACGTTGCATGCCTGATCTGGTTTCTCAGCCCTGGCTTCCTAGTAACATCATTGACAACAGACACCGGCGCCGTTCCCGAGCCTCTGACGGCCTTCCACGTGATCGAAAGGGCTGGAGTCCATATAGGTTTCATCGGCTTGGTAGAGAAGTGAGGGTTTCTCGCATTGTATCCAAAACAGTGTTACTGATATCTCGCTTAGGGAATGGATCGCGACTATTACTGGCTGGCCAGACACTTTTGAATGGAAGGATATGGCTGAAGTGGGCAAGAATCTCTCCAAAGTCCTTCGAGAGTCTCCCCACAATTGCGATTTGGTCTTTGCTTTGACGCATTCGAGGTCAGTGCCTCCTGTTGATGAACGATTCCTGTTGTCTCAGTAACGCTTGCAGAATTCCGAACGTAAGTCTCTATGATGATGACGTCGACATCGTGCTCAAAGTGAGCTAGGATATCAAACTTGCTGAGGAACTTCACGCCCTCGCTCCTCGGGCGCAAGACGGATCCAACATTGCTTCTGAGCACGGTGTCGATCTGTTACTCGGAGGGCACGACCATATCTACTGGATTTTCAAAGGTCTCGGATCGTGGGATGGCTACAATGTCAACCTATCACTCCCAGATGCATCGAATGACATCGGAAACGCGCTAATCGTGAAGAGCGGTACTGACTTCCAAGAGCTCAGTGAAGTTACTCTTACACTAAAGGATACACCCCCGGGATCCGTCAGGAAGAAGCTTATCGAGTCCATCAGTGGTACGTCCAGCGTGCGAGGTGTGGTTAGTAAGACGCTGAATCTTGATTGTTAGGCATCCGACACCTCACTACCGGCGACTTGGCCGTTGAACCGAGATCGTAAGTTCTAATGTATTAGTCAGCCAATTAAAGATCGTTTATTTATATATACAAGTGCTCAATCCGATAGGACTCCAGTGGGACTAGTATTACCCCAATGTAGTTTATTTCGGTTCACTGACCCATCCTGTGCAGACGAAAACGAAATACCAAGCACACATGGGAAATATAAAATGGAACCATGCATGCCGTTCCTTTTCACTCAAACCTGACCCCGTCCTCCCTCCTCATAATGCGCGATCTACCCATCGAAATCATCAACACTGTCATCCAGAATGTTTCATCCGTAACTGATCTCCTCCAGTTGCGCTCTTTAAACAAAGCGTACCGAGAGCTTGTCACACCCATCGCATTCAGCAAACTTCACGTGAAAAATAGCATCCAGAGCGCACAAAACCTCCAGCAGATCATTGCTGCCGCCAACCTTGCTCCCTATGTTCGGGAAGTCGTCTACGATTCTCGTGACGATAAATGTTTCCAATTCCCCCCAGAAAACATTGGTGAGTTCGATTTACTTTTGTCTATGTATAGGAGCTAATTATAGAATGTTCCTGCAGAAATCGAGGACATGTTGGAAGTCGCCGACCTTGAAGAAGCCTTGACTGAGGCTTTCTGCGCACTTGATAGACTCCCCAGACTTGAATGCATCGCCGCGAATTTTTGGCCAACATTCATCTCCCAGTCTGGGAAGGAAATCCGCGAGAGCCCACCCATTCTGGTTTACGAGTCGGCAGCTCACGGTTATTCATTCCATATATCACGCCATGAAGACATCCCGCATGACATCCCTCTCTCTCAACAATGTAGTCATGATGCCTGTTTCATGCTATGACTTTGTCTCTACCCTCACAAACTCGCCCCTGTCCCATCTTTCGCTATCCGTCGTGCCAAACGCCGATATCAGTGCCTGATCGGGATCCAAGGAGATTAATGGATCACTTGGCGCACTCCTGCCAATTTCCAATCCCACACTCAAATCACTCGAGCTACGTAGCCCCCAGGGCCCCTACCACAGCCTGGAAACCAAGCTTTCATCATTCCATTATCCGTCGCTCGAATCGCTCGTGCTCGAAAATACCGTCTTTGATCAGATGTCCTCTCCTGATGGCGTCGAAGAGTTTGTCATCCGCCAAAAGAATCGCTTGCATCATCTGGAGCTGCAATCATGCGCAAGCAAACCCGTCAGTCGATGCCAGGCTGTGGTCAAGCATCTGGCAACGATGGGCAGCTGAGCTCACCAGTTTGAGAGAGCTTGTGGTGGACGGCGACAGTGGATATGTCGTACTCGATCCTGAGTGGGGCTACGTCACTTATAAGCCGATCAGCACCACAGTAGCTGAGGGCGACTCGTCGAGCTTGCAGATGTTCCAGGATGCCATAGTGTCCGCTTGTAAGGTTGTAGCATCATCAGGGAAACGTAACTCATTACACATGATTACAGAGTGCTACGAAGCACTCCGTAGCACTCTGTAGCACGATCTAACCCGCTGATGATGAACGTGTAGTTGTATCATTTGATTTACTTGGTCGAACGGTTTGGGTGGTTTCGGACACATTGTATAGCATTTGCATAGGGCCCTATCAGGGGCGTTTGATGCCGCGGAAGCAATTTACATCATTGCGCCAATGGAAATAAACAAGAATGTACATTTGAAGTTTGTTGTTTGGCGTCTGAGCATCTTTCCGAGGTCACGGCTCCATATCCTCGACTCCCACAGGACCTTTGTTTCATCAAAAACGTGGACTTATCTCCGTTGTAACTTTGTCAGAGATATGTAACTTTCCTTTCCTCTTCTGACAAACGAGTTCACGCTCGTGATAGAATCTTAGTCTTGACTCGGAAGTCATTTGGCAAAATAGCCTGAGGGACTTCAAGTTGAGGCAGTCATGGCGATAACAGGTGGACCACTCTGTTAACTCAAGTAGCATCGATTAATTCCAAAGCAAACAACTTGAATACAAAAAGTTCACTTCCGGGCGAATGATGTAATCTGAAACGAAGTGAGAGTCTCCCCGTGATTTTATTCTCGCCATCAAGCTTGTAGTTGTGAAGAGCATCTTTGGCAACCCCAGCGCTGCCTTCGTCCATGTATTCCACGAACGCGATGTCTTTTTTTGGAATAAGCCGAGCCTCCGAGTCGTGGAGGTTTGCGTACCTGAGATATTAGAAGCTGGGCATCATAATTTCGAAGTCAGAATAGATCTTATCTTGTCGAATAGGTTGTAGGTCGAGTTTCTCGAGCTGACGGACCACCAGCTTTCGAAGTCTCTAGAAGGCCACAGATTTCAGTAACGATGTCGGTGGGCATCAAACGAGTGCGCTACGACTCACTCATCGTAAAACACCGCTGCATCTGCAGGACAAAAAGCTGCATCTGCAGGACGCAAATCCGCTGCATCTGCAGGACAAAAAGCTGCATCTGCAGGACAAAAAGCCTGTATCTGCAGGACGCAAAGCTGCATCTGCAGTCACCGGCCGCGGCATCTGCAGGCGACTCGTCATTTTTTTATTGAGCGTAAAACCTAGAGGTGCGCCCCCAACTGACATCACTGAAGCGCGCATTTCTCGAGGGTTGAGATACAAGATGTCGTCCCGTCTGTGCGTCCAAATATACAGGACTTCGAACTCCTGGACGAAAAAACAGGGAAGAGCATGCGTCAACCTCTCCCTCTCTCGCTTTTGCCTCTCTCTTTGTCTTTCCTCACGTTCCTGCTCGTCCATAGCGCCAGCGCCTTCGTTGAAATCGACCACGTCCACCTCCAGCGCGCTCATCATCCCAAATCCGCTTAATATCCTGGACCGGCGGCCGGTCCTCGTTATCTAACTCATCTTCTGACGATTCCACAACTGGCTGGCGCTTAGAGGTCGATGGAGCGGGTGGAGACCACCTTCTGGCCTACGCCGTAAACGAGTCAGTCGATTCCCGAATGAAGCGCCCGGTTTTTACTCTAGCAGCTCAAGGTCGTCTTCTTCCAAGGCCTCCTCGTCTGAGAGAATAATTAGAACGTTGTAATAATAAGCCCAATTCATATATGCTTACTGCGCCTCCGATGTCTCCTCTTACGCCGCTTCCTTCCTCGATGCCTTGCCTCGTCATCGTCATCGTCTTCCTCCTCATCCTCATTTTCATCTACGATAAAGCGTTCTCTGATTCTTCTCGCCTCTTCCTCCACTTCCTCAGAGCTATCGTCCGAAATGACCTGGGGATCTGCCATAGTTCGCGCCAGAATCAGACGTTTGCTTTATAGGCGTACGAGAGCCAGATGACTTTGTCAAATGCGGCGAGCAAGAGATGGAAGATGATCGCTCATCTCGACAATTTGGTCAATTTGCGCGTCGCCCAGGTCCGCGAGTGGATATAGTCCAACATCGCTTGCTTCCAATTTCTAAAACGCGCAGGCAAGCATCGACGAGCTCATGAGAACGTTTGAAAGCGCCGCGGTAGACATCAAGAGCGACTTGCAGTTGTGCGATATGAGCGCACGAAGGTGAGATGGATCCTCTTTACCGTTGCGTAAGAGGTCACGCAGAGGACGACCATCTGTGAGCTGCTACCGTACTTGCCTGCGGTCAGGTATCTTGACCCTAGAATAGCCTTTTTATGTGCTTAAATGGCCTCCAGCCCTGCGATCTGTCAAAGCTCAGGTTGAGTTTCGCACCAGTTTCTGACGCCTAATTTGCCAGCGACATGAATCATGACCAACGCCTGGGCGATGCTCGACTTGGCTCTTTCCCATCTTCACGGTTTGGAAGACGGTGCTATCCATCTCTGCATGTTCGTCGACCATCATCCTGCGTATCTTTGTACCCTGACAATTAAACCTCAAATAGGGAGGAGCGTTCGCGTTCCATGCAATACCCAGCCGAGGGAATCCGCGAATTTGAGACCGCGCGACAATCGATCAACGCGACGTTCACAGGAAGGCACCAGACGTTCCGGTACGCAGAGGTGGCGGGTTGTTTTGGTCCTGGACATTATTTACTCGCCCTCAACAGTGGCTAAACGACTGACTATTGTACATGGCCGCTCGGTAGGTACATTCGGCGCCCCTTCGCAGTCACTTTTCACGAATCATTACAGAAGATACTGGGCACGATGAATCAATAATATTAGTATTTATATGCACACACCAAACATGGTACGGAAGATACGGGGCCTCCATCTGTTTGTGGGTAACGTTGAATACCGTGCTATGGCGGAGGGCATGTAGGAAATGGCCGCAGACTAGTCTGTGTCTGGGGTGTGTTTTGTCGGCAAGTTCCGGGTTGTCTTTTCTGACTCATCAGCACTCCCGCCACGATCTACGTCAGCCACTGTGACGCCGATCCCAGCCTGATCACTGAAAACCAAGATCTATGATAAACCCTTATATACACATTATAATCCCCACAATGTCTATGATCGTATAAAATATAGCAGTGCAGAAGCCATAGTCTTGTATAGAAATATATTGTTATCCCTTGCGACCAATCTTTATCATGATTAAACTCAAACAGATTGATAAACACGCTAATTGCTGAAAACAAGATATATATGCGTAGAACGCTATCCCCTATGACGGATAGTCGATAATTATCAAGATGGTTTTCATTTGGCATTGGCTGCATGAATCATGTTGTGACAGTACTAAAACTGTACTGAAGTGATGAAGCGCGTTCGAAAAAGTGTCTCTCATTGGGCCTTTCTAGCCCAAAGGCTCTCCCGTCCAATAAGTAAAGAGATAGAAATTCTTGCCATCTGTACCATCATATGGACGGTTGCTTCATTGGCATCATGGTATTGCGGGTTTTATACTTGATTGGCCAGGAAGTCACATTGGGTTGTATAGGATTATACAGAGACGCTCGGTACGATACGCGTAGTTTATCAATGCCTCGCCAATTCTCTACCCTAATCTCATCATCAACACCGTCTGCAGGAACAATAACATGGGTTGAACCACAACAGATATCGTTCGTGCCTTGAAGTCCAATGAAAGCAAGGCGTCGCGATTTGCACTGCTGAAGTGGTTGACTGAGTTTGGCGGCGCCGGCGTACTATCAAGCTCGGCGGTGCCGGTATAGGATCGAGTTTGGCGGTATATAATTGAACTCGTTGTACCATAGGATGTAACAGGATCGAGTTCAGCCATAGAGTCGAGATTTTGGCCATGGAATAGAAGTTGGTCGCAGGGATCAAATCCAAATATGAGATCGAGTTCAGCCATATCATCGAAGACCAGTCATCCTTAGACAGAAACATAGATCACGATATGACATATCCTGTTGCCAGACCATGTAGTACAGTGCGACTTTCTGGATGGCGTCCCGTCGAGAAACTTGCAGGAAGTAGCGTTAATGAGTGATTGAAGCTGAGTCGGATCCTTACTTATCAATGACCGGAAGATATGCTCGGCCGGTGGTGACTGAGGTCTTGACCCTTCTCAAGGGAGTTGTACCTCATTCGTTTTGAGATCCGGTGGTCAAACTATTTCAGAATAGGAAAAGAGAAGGAGCAGGGTCGGAGCCGGGTAAGGCTGCGAGCTTCGGCGTCAGTTGCAGACAGCTAAAACCAACAGAGATCCGACTCGGATATCAGCGGCAGTTTCTTTGAAGAAAGGCCAAAGTGCAGAATAGGTTTCAAGTGGGATTCAGGGATCATCCAGACCACCATTCACTACTGCCCGATCCCAACAACCGCCAGTGCTTAGCGCACATGCCCAGCGCATGTCAGCAAATGCTGACGTGGCTCGAACATATGCGAACCACACCGGAAGGCGCCAGAATGAGAGGAGTAGAGGAGGGCGAGAAGGAGATGAGGGAGAGGTAAGTTTATCTCTTGGGTGCCTATGTAAATGAGGTAGTTAGCTCCATAAAAATGCGCAATACATATTACACGCACCTCTGCAGCTTAGAGGAAGGTACCCACAATCCCTCGGCCGCGTTCAACACCATCAACCTCCAGTAAAATGTCACAGTTCATTCCAAGCACCACATCCCTTCGAGCTTTTGACAGACCGGCAGTGCCTGTTCGAGAAGTCGGCTCAATGTCGAGTAAGACATGTTAGGACCTCAGAAGCGAAGAAGGATGACACTGACTGCGTCTTGAGATGAATTGTTGAATCAGAAAATATGACAATGACGAGCAAATGTAGCGAAGCCATGGAGGACGAGTGCGACTCACAGTACTTGGTGTGTGCTGTCGAGACGTATTATCGTCGATGATTGTCGCGAGGGATGCTGACGTTTTTGCATTCCGGAAGGCCGCACCTCGAATAGTCCATTCCATACCCAATGTCCCGCGCTCTCGCGCTCGAAATGATATCGATCCCTTCGTCGCGACTACGGGGCTCGCAAGACCACGGTCAGGTCTATAGAAAGCGAGCCGCGCACGGTCAGCGCGTCTTTTCAGACCTGAGAAGCTAGGAGGGGTCGTATATGGTCTTTCGGCTCCTGATCGCGCTCAAAATCCCTTCGTCGCGACTACGGGGCGTGCAAGACCACGGTCAGGTCTATGGAAAGCACGTCGCGCACGGTCAGCGCGCCTTTTCAGGCCTGAGAAGCTAGGAGGGGATCGTGAAGCAGAAGAGAGGCTGATCTCACCTCTTATGTACCTTTGGAGAGCGGCCGATACGTACTTCGCATGTACGTATTATTGGCCGCACAGTCCGCATCAAGGTCGCTTGAGGCCGTTTTAGGTGGTCTGCCTCGACGAGATCTGCCCTGATTCGCAAGTTGCTTGCCGACAACGGTATCATCACGGCCTGCGGAGCTTCGATCGAATCCTCGAGGACGCCTCGTGTTACGGACGCTCTTCTCAAAGCAACGCCTAGGTTGCTTCAGTGAGCTGGCTCTATCGCCGCAGCTTTCTACCTCAGTCAACGAGCCTGATCACTGCAGATGTTCTATCAAATGTGGGATGAGCATCATTATACTCCGAACGTTATCCCAGGGTAGGATGCTTCCGGTTGATACGGCTTGATCATTGATGACACGGACAACCATCGAGGTCCGCGCGGCAGATGCGGAGAGCAGCCCACCCGATCGGCTCTGATCATGCCCTTTCGGAATTTTATGTAATCGCAGCTGACACCCAAGGTATTACGATCGACCTGATGGTCGAGTTTCCGTTTTCTTGTGGCGGAAATCCGACGGTTGCGAAGCTTCCTGAGGCTTTCTTTGATAATCCTCTTGCGTCAGCGTCACAGACGCGGGTGATTCACGATTAGGTTGAAGATAATCCATCGTTTCTAATCGATCGGAGGTCGGCAGGCCTCTCTGGTTCACCCTGGATTTTCTATCTTCAGACAATTCAAGGAGGAGTAGGCATCTTGGTGGCAGGCGTGCGGTGGTTATTCGAGTATCTCGGCATGTGGCGCTGCGGCGCTAGTTTCGCTTTTGATTAATTTGATTCCCCGACTCCTAGGAGCCTCGGCTTTGTTTTGATGATCGGGGTTTTCCCTGTCATCCTCGTGAGGCGTATACCCCATGAGCTTCATTCGCCATCGGATGTTTCATTTTTTGAGGATCTAGATTCGTTTTCGTGTCTGTACGGGAACAACTTTATTTGGCTAAACGCGTCCAAATATTGCTGTTTCTTTCTTTCTTTCTTTGTTGATGGCGTCTTCTCTATAGCTACTCATCAGCACATTGGTCCTCGAGGACAATTAACATCTGTCTTTCACGACGTTCGTGGTCGCAAATGTGTTGGTTACGTGCAGGGACGAATGATTAGCTCACATAAAAGTAGTTCTGAAAAAATTGCGATGACTGTCAGAAGCCGCATGAACCGCGAAGGAGTTGACTTACCCATCCAACCTGGACAGCAATCAATTAGCGATAGCGCACTTCAATCGAGAAACTTGATACTTACTGCGAAACCAAGTGCAGGGTCGACCCATCGTGCGGCTGAATTGCGTCGATCAATGTCACATTTCAAATGATACGAACTATCCCACATACCAAAATGGGGGAATCTCACTGAAATTGGGGCATGATGCATGAGACGTCATTTCACCGATGGAACACAGCGATCTAAAAAGCATTAGAAAGGTTTGATGAAAGGGTGTGCGAGCGTACGAGTATGCCACTGAGCCTACGAGGGCGTATGCGATAAGGGCACTGAGGGGGCCTGCGCCACTGAGAGCTTTCCCAGAACCCAGGAAAAGTCCTGTACCGAGCGTTCCAGCTCTCTATACTCTTCGTGAGTCAACTTGTAAGGGCGATACCGTGACACGACATATAGCAATCCTAATTAAATCAATGAGCTGGCTATAACAAGACAAAGATAGACGCACATCTGAACAGAAGCGACGTCGAACTGGTGCCTTCCGTCAGTAACGACATAAACTCCAACGTCGGGCTGGTTCTTCTCGACGCTATTAACATCATACTTGTGGTCCTCGCTGCTCATGATGGGGTCAACGAGGGAAATTGTGCCGTAGGATAGCGTACTGAGATGAAGGGGGGGGGGGGGGGGGGGTTCAGAGGGGGATATTTATATTCGGCTCGTGTGCCATCAAGTATGGTAGGGAGACACAGCACAGCGTGGTGTCAAGTGGCGCCTGATACGGACCAGAAAATATTAGATAGGAACCACAATGGTGGACATGTTGATAGGAAGTTTTACTGCAATTTGTTTACCGACACTTAATAGCCATGGCAAGAATGCGAACACGTCCGACATAACGATCAATACGTACACAGGTAACGCCGAGTCAATAGTCGAAGATAACGGTGATGCAGCGTCAATCTCGAGAAAGTTGAGGAATGGATTGGTTGAGTGGGAATAACGTCGACTAAAAGGTTGCAGGCTGAACTAGCGATGCATGAATATGACGGCATAACCAGCTTTGAGGAAATATTCGGCAGATGTTGCACCTCGGGTACCTACATCATGATTAGAGGAATATAATGAAAAGAACATTAGCACGTACCTGCGCTGAAGTTATCGAGGAAGCGGACGCTGCACATTTACTGAACATGAAGTCAGTAACCCTGTACGGCTGTGGGTGGTTGATCGTTCTTACACATTGAGCTCTAGCGGTACGGTGGTCCCTCCGCTCTGATTCGAGTTCAGAGTGAATCACGCGAGCGTCTGTGATAACGACTCTCACCGTTACAAGCACGACGGATCGGTTAGCCTGTCGTTGCCGTTGGATAAATTCGTGAACGCCCTGTATGTCGACGTCAAATGAAGGAGGTTGTGATTGTGTTTCAAAGTACGTACGATTCAGCAGAGAATGTCTGCGGGTTCGTGTTTTGTATTAGACATCCTGTATGAATCCAGAGCCTGCGATATCGGAATCCGGATGGCCAAATTAAGTAATCAATCATGCCATTTACATTAACCAATCACGGTCACCCGTTTTCATCCAAACGGTATCCAACCCGGTCAAGTTCGGCGTCAAATTTGAAATCCTATCTGTGATATAATCAGTACATCGATCGTATGTCTCTCACACATGTGCGATACAGTCGATTGATATACGCATGGTCAGATAGGTAGCGGGCCTGACAAAAAAAACAGCATGAAGTCTACACTACCTCTAATAATGAAATAAAAAAACATCTGCCCTGCAAGTCATCGCGGTATCGTCGTTAACGGGAAAATAGTGAAAAAGAAATATGTCATCAACGAAAGTGGTCGTCTAAAGGAACGCTCATCAAAAAGAACCTACCCCTGTAGATTCGCTAGGTCGGCTTTTTCGATCATGGTCACGTTCGCGTCATCGAGCTTTTCGTCACAGTCCGTGCTCCGTCGAGCAGGATGTCTGGGGTCGCCGTGTTCTGGTTGGGGTGCGTGGTCCGTACTGCGGTCATAGAATATGGATACTGAATCTACAGAATAGAGGCAACTGTCAAGAGGAACCAAAATACTGCGGCTCGTCCTTTATACTCATGTGAGCCCCCATGGATGGCCTCCACGGATGTCTCTATTGAACTGGCAACAGCGAGACCAATTGCTGATCCAAATTGAAGAGCGCCGTTAAAGATGGCACCAACTGTGCCTGCCATAGACGAAGGTGCGACTTGAAATATAGCAACGCTGTAATTACAGCGATTGGAATGCGTTAATGAAACCAAGACAATTTGAACTTACTTTGCGTACGCATATGTCAGCATGACTCTGCGCTCCCTAGAGATAAAGCTGGGAATACATATGGCCAATAGGTTTCCCCCCGCCCAGCGCCAGCAATACGGTCGCGATCATGCAAAAAGACACGCCTGTCAGAATAATACATTTCGGACTGAAGATCCGAGAGAGCGATCCGGTGAAACTCATAATGAAAGATGCGACACCGATCGGGAGCCTGGTAAGTTAAAACGGTCTGAATGACGGGAAACGTGGAGTGACAGTCGAGATCTTACATGTGCACAGCCGATGATATTGCGGACCACTCAAATACGTTTTGCCACAGGACGGTAAAAATCACGAACACTGTGAACCACCAAAAGAATGGCAAGAGCGCCACGGCAAAAATAATGGAGAAATTGGGATAAAACCGGTGGTCTGGTACCAGATCAGCCGATGATCGGTGGTAGGTGGAAGTATCCCTGATGACGTACATGGAAGCTGTATCCACGTGTATGAGTGTTTCCCAGTAGAAAAACCCGATGATCATCACGATCGATATGATTAGCGGGACAAGCACGGCTGCAGATGCCCAGCCGTGAAAATTTGTACCGTTAGGATGGTCAAGCCGAGTAAGTCAAGACTTTTCCATTTCGTTGCTGCCGGTTCAAGATTGTCTTTGGCTTTTGCAATTTCTGGCGGTATGATGAGGGCGCATACAAACCAGAACGCCCAGTGGTAAGATGCCCATTGGACGAACGTGGCACCAATCATGAGACCGAGGGCTATGGAACGGGAACGGGACCATGAAATTATTCATGGATAATCACTGGGGAAGATTCTCACAGCTAGCGACGCAGGTGCAGCCTCCAAATGTTCCTATTGCGCGAGCTTGTTCAAGCGGTTCCGGAGATACTTTGACCAAGAGTGCCATGGCAGAGGGGATTATCATCGAAGAAGCTGAGAAACGATCCTCGTCAGCCAAGACCGTCAGACCGGCCGGAATGTTTACCTATTCCAGTCAACGCTCTGAGAATAATGAGCGGAATGGTATCATCAACAAATCCAGCGCACAGTGAGATAACACCAAGACCAAATACACCCCCAACGAACCCAGTTTCTGTGAGCCCATTAATGTCGCTATCTGACAGGTACGGCATAATACTGACTTGGGTTGTACACGTCGCTAATGCGGCCGCTCTAAACAATGCGTTGAAGTGCAAGGTCAGAATCAATGGTATGAGCACGCACGACGAGCAGAAAAGATGCAAAGGTCAACTGGAATGCGCTCATAATCCAAGTGGATTGACTTTCAGTCATACCCATGGATACTTCGAGCACAGGGATTGCGGAGAAGAGAGCTGAGTTACTGAAGGCATCTAAGAATTGGGCGGGACAGAACATAAACAGTAACACTAGTTTGCGAGTAAGCGAAAGTTCATGATGAACTGGCGTTTCAGCCTGGGAGAGAGGCTGGAGTGGCAGTATCTAAACCAATTTGTCAGTTCAGGAGCGACCAGCTGATGAAGGAGAGGTTGGGAAATTATCTGTCAAAACGGATGAACGCCTCTACATTATAAGAGATATCTCCATGACCAACGTGAATCAGACACACTGTGATGCATCTCAACACCAGCGAAGATCTCCTCTACTCATGTGAGTACGTGAATTCATGTGTAGTATCATAGTATGAGCTTAGTATGTAAAATATTTTTGAAGAGAGTGGGCCTTTGAGAATTTGAGGGAGGGGCGTACGACTCGCATCATGTTGGTGAGTTTCCCGGAAATCTTTGCACCATCACGGGAAATTTGTATACTTCATCGAAAACTCTTCCAATATCACAACACGTAACGTCAACCTGATTAGGAATTGTGAAACGCCTTTGATTAATAGCAAGGTGCCGGAAAACGGAGCTTGCGGAAGTTCCCGGCACCACGCGTCCAGTTTTCCTTTCTCCTCCCGGCCACCCAACTACATACATCTCCTCAACTGTAACGTATCGCTCAAACTCCCTTACGCTCTTTCTCGCTCCGGACTTCGTTCTTTTACCCCCATCCACCTCTCCCTTAGTATTCCGTTAAAAAACAATAGTTTTATTCATATCCATTCAAGTACATGCTATCATTTAGAAGCAATACAATACGAGGTCCATCTGTGACACGTCCGAATTTGCGACCAGTTGTCCCGCCCTCCCAGCGACTCCAGCTGCTCGCGTCCCACCCCGAGCTACGCGGCTCAGACCAGCCCAACCACCACAAGGTCGTTTCACCGAAATCGCAGCGAACCTAGCACAAATGAAGCTGGATCTAGTATTATGCATTTATGACGCATGTATGCATGCGTCATACAAACATTACACATTAGCTCACATGGGATTTCCTGTATCTAAGCAACCTCGAATTCACCTTGACCGGGCAGTGCAGGAGCGTGTGAGAGCGTTACGCCAAGCGCCAGATCATGTAGATCTGGTTGATAGCAAATGGTGAGTATTTTCAAATCTAAAGTCCGTCTTCATGATGTCATCAACACCTCTCTTGTTCCCTTGCCGTCATGTTTCCCCATACAACAACACCGCAGGCAGCTAGCAATCCACTCGAGCCCTGGTCCTAAAACTTAAGTTTCCTCAATAGCAGCGCCCTGCCTCGGAGCGTTTGCCTTAGTAAGTTCTGTCAACAATATTCAAGCCAATATATCATTGAATACTATGGGACTGGGCGCATATATGCTCAATTGCTGCTATCTTTCTAGTACTCCTACGGGTCAGGTAACAATACAGGTGAGTTATTGTGATATCTGCAGCGTCAGTCACTGATTCTCTTTCGCAGGTGTCTACTGGAACTCGACATAAAGCAAACAATAATGTTATTATACCCAAGTTCTCATCGTGATATCGAGCTCGATTCTCTGGTGATATTAAGAGTCTAGAGTGACAATTCGTGAGCGTCGTTTCTTGTATTTGCAGCAGCAGCGCTGAAGGTAGAGTTCCGTTCTACTAGGATGCACTCGATACCTAACAGCCCATGTGCGTCGACACTTTTTTCTCACCGCTAGTACCATGCTGATCTTACTCTTCTGTTAGTCTTACTCTTTTGAAGTCATTCAATTGGTGAGTATTGCTGCAGGTTGTATTTCCAGTATTGATCCAAATCTTCGTTTCCTCGAACGTCTGGATCAAGAATACAGTTAAGGCAGTCGTCGACGGTACCTCGCACTCAATGCATTAAGCGCACGTGTTGCGCGCCGCTCAGACTGCTTTACTGCTTTTGTTCCATCGTTTTCATGCTCTGTTTCGACTGCTTTCGTTTCATACCATTCCAACGCATCATATTTGTATTTGTACTATTAATAGTAATGATAGCAACTTGAAGCGATATGATATAAACCGCTCGAGCTCGTAAGGTTAATGCAAGGGGGTGCCACATCGTGTAGAAAGAACTTGAACCACTCTCGCACGACGACGCACGATATGAACTCCTTTTGCATCGTGTATTCGTCCGGATTTCTTGTTGAAATCGTGCAAGGGCGGTTTCAGCTAGCGGCGCACGATGTGGCATGCTCTCACACGTTCCCGCACTGTCCGGTTTTCACTGGTGCTCGTGCGGCGCTAGTCGAAGTAAACATTTGAGTACTGAGTACCGAGTCTCCAGCGTCCTCATTCACGTCAAAGAGACGCCTATCGGTAAAGCTGAATTGTTGATCTGGAAGATTACGAAGTGCTCAACTTTCTCTTACTTAAAAAAAACCATCAGCCGACGTTTCAATTGAGGATGCTTGGAAGAAAAGCTAATTGGACCGGTCGTTTACTTGAGGAAAGAGATAGATCACATTACCTTGGATGTTATTTAGATCCGACGGAAAGTTTCAAATTGATCGTTGGATATCACAAGCACGTAATACTTGGTCCAATGCGCAAATACATCTAGAGCAAAAGCCCAAACAAATAAACTTATAGTATACATGTGCCAGCACGTACGTAGGAATCTACGATCGCAAATGTATACAGTACATGGACAATGGGACTTGGTTTCTGTGGGCGAATGGTACGTCAACTACCTCCATTGCGGTATCATGACGGCTGAGTTACTAACGGGGTGCATCAAGAACCTCGGTACCAATGAGGCGGTCCATCCTTTTGTAGCAGCGCCTTCAAAGCCAAATATCTAGCCTCTGGTGGCATGTGGGTGGGTAAGCCCTCATAAGGATCGTTCGCGGCAAAGGCAATGCACCAAAAGGACCTCCCTTTGGTGGTCGTTACTCGACGCAGTCGTGTGTAGCCATGAACGCCTGCTACCTCCCTGACATCCCTCAATGCCAGATGGATGAGCTCCCGCGCATCCTGCGTCGTCTGGGGGTGGTCATAACCCATTGAAGTAATGGCGTGTTGGAGGAGCCAGTCATCTCCCGCCAGGTATCCATAGAATTTAACCATATTCTTGATGCTTGAAGGAGAGCCCATCAGAGTAGAGAAATGACTCCAACGAGCCTATGTACTTACTAGTGATTGGTTGAGGATCGAATAACTTGGTGGAAACCAGTTTCAAAGGCGTTTTATAGGCAGTCATGTGACCCACGCCGATGAGTTCGGCCATGCTATAAATAACTTCCCGGTCATAGCCGCTATCATGAATCATCATATGCGCATTCAGTACTCCGAGAATTCAAAACAATGCAAGGATCGCACCGTGCTTCCAGTACTCTGAGAATTCAGAATGATGCAGGCATAGCACAAATGGCATTAGTCTTCCAAAGATTTGTGACCATTGCCAGCTGTCAGGCTACCCTGGCATCTACAAGATACGTCTCATATATATCACCCTGCTCAAAATTTATCTACGTACGAATTCACCATGGGTCCTAAGGCCACCCCTGCACAAAAAACAAACACAGTGGTGCCATACTCTGCTATATTACGAACTTCTCTTGCTTATTCACGTACGTTTAACCCCCGGAACTTAGAATATCACTGGTACCCACTATGGGACTACGCCTTGTCCAACCTCGTCAGAAAAACACCCAATCTCATTGTTTTCCCACAATTCCCACTGTGGTTCATTCCTTCCGATGATGACGGTGAGGTTGAGGAGGCAGAGGATGGCGACAATCTCGAAGAGATGGATGCAGTAGAGCCACACCAGGCGCCAGCACCCATATCTCCTGCTGATGATGATGACTTCATTGATGAAGGAGTGTCTTTGGCTTCCACAACAGCAGAACCAAAAGCCAGGGGTGTCCTGGTGGATTTCGCAATCATCAGCGTGAAGGCAGGGAAGGAGTCGCAGCATAAGGAGCGTTATGGGGGTTGGAGGATTACCGGAGTTGATGTGGGCCTTCTGGTAGAAATAAAAAGGTCGGCGAGCAGGAGTTTAAAGGGAAAGGCATTCGAGCGTGCCCTTAGTGAACGGTTGGGAGAGGCTATCCATGATCTGTTTGATCAAGCGGTGTGCCTATTTCTTGAAAACCCAACCAAGCATTCGGTCATGGCTATGGCAGTGGCAGGTAATTTATCTGTTCGTATCTCATATTAGAGATCATACTCATCATCTTGTAGGCCCATATTGGTGTAACACCACAATTACCCGGGCTGCTGTCAAGAATGCCATGGAGCGCCGTTCCACCAAGGATCCATCTTATTCAAAAAAAAAAAACAGCATTCCCTCATTGAGGTGGTCCAGTACGGTTCGTCTTTATAGTGCACTGTCAGACCAGCGCCTGCAAAACATTCGTGGAATTTTGGCTAACATGGGAGGGTCCTGACGTGCTTCTGGAAGCTAGTACCCCATCTGGTCCTACTTAGTATGATGTTAGCATCTATTTCAATTGAACGTAACAAGTGAAATGCAGTCAACAGATTTTTTTTAAACCCCTAAGGTCAAGTTGAAGATGCTTTATTGAAAGCTACATAAGTGAGCGCACCATGCCTGTCATGTTCATGCCGTTTCTGCGCAGATTTTATAAAGAGCATAGGCATCGGTCCTAGCATCCTTGCTGTAGGACGCCAGTAGTTGTATCTACCATTGAATTGATACGTTGATGTGGATTTGAGTTTCCTACTAGAAGACACCTACTATGGCGGGCATCTTCATTCATTGATCATCACCTCAGGCGGCTAATTGACTTGGACCTGGTTGTTCAACAAGAAATCACAACTAACTTTGTCATCTATGGCATGAAAGCATGCGTTGAGAGCCCATGCCAGTATACATTATGTAGCCTTATGCCAAGAATGCGTAGGGCGCATGCCATATTATGATCTAAAAATAAGATGCCTAAATGATGGGAGAAGTTGTACGTGCTCATGGATGTATTACCACTTGAATAGACACATAAACTTGAATGATGCGAGACTCGACAAAACTCAAAAAAAAACAGATGGGCAACCCAGTCCCCTACCTTCTGCTACTAGTAGGGTTTAAGGGAGCAGGTGTTGAAAGTTCAGTGGCCACGCTTGACCCTGGAAGAAAAGATGCTAATGGATGGCCTGGGTTCTGGGAGGACGAATCATCTGTGATATGAAAGACGTTAGAGGTAGGGACCAACTACTGGAGAAATTTGCACTCACTTGGTAGAGATTTAAGGAAAGCGTATAATCGATCAACTCCTATGCCGTGCTGCTGCATATCTGCAAGAAAGGTGGAAACCTCATGATTATCTCCAGACGTCAATTTGGGTGCTTTTGATACTTGATTCTCCAGACTGGAATCTGCAGTGCGCTTAAGAGGCAGAATTATCTGGGAGTCTTGGCCTCCCTGGGATCCCTTGACTTGGGTAGGGTTAGCTTGCTGAAAGTCTTCTGCGCTACGGTTGGAGATTACAGCCTTAGAGGAGATGTGGGTCTGATAACATTTTTAGCAGGTAGATAATCTGTTGCTTACCTGGACTTCTGACTGCGTAATATCTTGGCCTCCCTGGGATCCCTTGACTTGGGTAGGGTTAGCTTGCTGAAAGTCTTCTGCACTACGGTTGGAGATTACGGTCTTAGAGGAGATGTGGGTCTGATAACATTTTTAGCAAGTAGATAATCTGTTGCTTACCTGGACTTCTGACTGCGTAATATCTCCCCTTTCGGCCGGATCCACTATCTTAGTGGGGGCAGGTGGAGACTTCTGTCTTGGAGACGCTGCTGGGCCCAAGTGATTCTTGACTTGGAGCCCCTGAGTACAATTCTACATTGCATTTGTTATATTAGGATCGCAGAAAAACAATACTAGAGCCTTACTGAAGAGCCTGATGGCGAGGGGCCAATCACGGGGCTAGTAGGAGGGGCTAGTAGAGACTTCTCTCCAGGTTTCTTGATGGCAGAGTCTTGATCGAGCGGTTGAACCGCTGGTTTCCCTGATAACCTTCCTGAAGGTGGCTTTACTCCCTTACCTCGAGCTTTGCTTGGTTTCTTTTTTGAGGAGCCAGCTTTGGACGTCTTTGACTTGGTTTTCCCCTTCTTTGAAGGCGCATCATCGGTATCAGAAAGTGCATTCATTTCATCTGCCTCATCATCATGACGGAACAAAGAGCCTGCATAAGATTGAATTAGATTTTTAACCATCATGAAGTTACTAGCTGATACGTGCGTAAACTGGGCGTTGCACCTGTGAAGGCATCAAGGATAGCTGCTTTACTGAAGGATATGTTATTCAGAAAGACATCCTGAGTGTCAGCAGCCACAATTCGATAAACGTGGACAGTTTTGGGCTGGGGAGGACGATAAATACGTCCAATCAGTTGGCCTTCATCAGTGGCAGACCAGAGGGAGTCCTACGTTTGAAGATGTGCCGACCCAAGTATCAGAAATGAAAGGGTAGAAGGCATGAAAAAAAAACACGCACCACAATTATCAATATGTTGGCGCAAGGTAAATTGAGACCGGTCAGTCCAACATTGGAGATGATTAAAACGCGAGGACCATCACGTCTGCTACTTTTGAATTGTGCAATGATATCAGTTCTTGCAGACGCTGACAATTTGCCATGGATCTGTAAAGTCGAGATGTGGTTAAGCTCCAGAACCTGCAGTTCAAAAAGGTCAGCGTTACAGTTAGAAGTAAATCATAATTATGAAATACCTTGAGCACCTGCGTATAGCTAGATGGGAATGCGCAGTATACGAGCATTTTATCGCAGGGCATAGAATCAGTAACGCCAGCAGCAGCCTCAGGATCAGCTGATGATACCACTAGCGCATCATTCAGAACGCATAGAGGTAGACGTCCATCATACTCCAGATGCCAACAAAGTACTTGGGCAAGAATGTCGAGCTTGCGAGATGGGTCTTTCTTCCACTCCTCCAAAGTGGAGGGATTCGCCCATGGATATCCTGCATTGCAGCTAGCATGCAATAACGCCCTGCGGACGCCCGTATAAAAGTCCTAGAAAATTGTGATTCATAAACCATTGAATAAGGATGGATGAAAATTCGTACGGAGCCAGAAGCATACTTTGCTGCGCTAGCGCCGCCTTGCTCAACTATTTCCTGGGCAATGCGCTCAAGATTAACCACCTCATGGGGGTATAGCTTGACAAGGAGATTGTGCTCCAGGAATGGAGCCAAACCTGAGATTCTGTCACCATGATTGTCAACTGAACGGACCGTGCGCCGTATGACGATGCCAGTAAATCTCTCTCGGATGACGCTGATCCAAGTCAGCATCTGATTACGGTATAGACTGGGAACGTCAAGATCAGCATCACCCTTTACTGTTCCCATGATTATTTTAGCCGTGCGGTCGCCTTGTTTAAAGCGCTTCCGATCCTTGGCTGATGCAGCCCGCAGTTGACAGACCATTTTTTTGGCTTCGTCGTCATAAGAGCCACCAAATAGCTCCAGACCCAGACATCTTCCGATGTTCCAAATGTCCTGTTCAAACAAAGAAGGTCAACTGAATGGAACAGTAAAAATATATGAGCATCAATCACTCACCAGAGGTCGAGAGGTGATGGGTGTGGCCGTCATAGCCACCATAGCATGACATAGAAAGCGAAGGCAAAATATCGCCCAGTAACCCTTTTTGATATTTCTATAGTTGTGCGCCTCATCCACTATGCCCAACAAGAAATCTCGCCCATAAGCCGTGCTGGACACATCCGTAGTATAATTAGTCTTCCGTCGTGGATGTTTCGTTGGCGTACGGTTATTAGTTTCAAAAATGCGATCACAGTCGGATTCTAAAGCCTGCCACCACAACTACTATTGAGCTTCGCTAGCTGAAAATAGAATCATATCTGTACCTTGGGAGCAGTGATGATTATCCGCCGCCCTTCTGGTTGCTTTGACTGGCTCCATATGTCTTCCCACCAGGTTCGTCGACTGCTCCAAGTAGCCAGATATGGTAGAACATCAAAAGTACCCCGTTGAAGAAATCGGTGCAATTCCGAAGTAAACTGCATCACCAGATTGGCTGGGATAACCAGCATCACTGGAAGATTCGGAATGTTGGGAGAGTCACTCCTCCACTGATCTGCAGCTAATGGATTTTAGGTCAGATCTATCGCCCTGCAGAAACTTCAACAAGAGAGACGCACCTATTTTACCTGGAAAGCGGTGGTGCATAGTATAAAATTCACGATAGAACGAAAGTACGGCAATTAAGGCGGTGACTTGGATGGTTTTACCTAAGCCCACTTCGTCCATGAGCAGGACGGGCTTTCCGCCAAATGTGTTCTTGACCATCTTAACAAGACCCACAAGCTGGTGCCAGCGGAGAGAAAGGGGTTCCCCATTTTCTTTTAACCAAGTTTGACCGTCCTCTGTCCAAGGATCACAATTGCCATACGGGTCTTGCAAAAGGTTGAAGAACGGTATTCGTTTTTCTGGAAGTCCCAGGATAGACCAAATGTCATCCTCGGACAAATTATTGTATTCTTCTACCCCTTCAGACCACTGAAAGTCGCAATCAGTAGGGGCGTCAGGGTCAAATTCGGGTATGGGTTCATCTGGCATCGCATTTGGATCGCAAAGTTTCAACTGGTCATGGATGGACGCAGTGAGTAGTGTTATATCCTGCTGAGTGGCCAGAAATGAAAGCGCTTGACGTAGGGGCTTAGGTAGACCTATCCCCATAAAATAATAAGAAGATAGCTGCCAAGAGAAGCTGAGGTTAACGCACGGTACTTGCTTCCGCCCTTCACTTCTATCCCTAAGCCTTGAAGAAGGTCGCTAAGGGTTTCTTGCTGTTCTGAAAGCTGCTTCAGTGACTCCTGATCGCCATATCGAGTGAGAATTTTGGTAAGTCCATCCACATCCTTCAGCCAGGTTCTAATGCCTTCAGCGTCCAGACGTTGGCCATGCTCAGCCATGGATGAGAATTCTGAAATAATAGTGTTGAGTATTAGAAAGGCCAAGTACATAAAAAATGGCACACCTTTCCACGTCTGGTCTATCTTGCTCTTTAACTTTCCGAGCCTCTCCCTTTCACGTCCAATGGACTTCCTATTCTTTGCCCAACAATGGGTCATAAGGGCATCCAGGAAGCGACGGACCGGCTCCTTAAGTGCTATGCCATCCTCTGTCAAAGATTCTGGGCCAAAAAGCGCCTCTGCAATGCCAGAGTAGGCAAGCGCAACCTGTGAAGTGGCAAGATCTGGCAGCTTTTTTACATAGTCAATGAGGGAGCAGTATAGGGACCAAAGTAAATGAATCTCACATTGGCAACCTTGAGACGCTTCATAACTGAATAGGCATCGAGGCCACGTTCTGCCAGCACGGCGTCAACAGTATGGTTGATTTTCCAGTTTGACCAATTGGCATGGCAATAGTCCAGCCAATGTTGTCGACCTTTGTTGTCATTATCAGATCGATCTTTTTTGATGTAATCCACTTGGGCGGCATCATCAACAGCCCAGAAATTGCGAGCAAATGTCAAGACGGCCTGGTTGACCTCAAGGGATTTCCAAGCGCTGGGAGTGTCTTCATTGACAGTGGCCGATAAGGGAGTTGAACTAAGTGTAGTGCGCTGTTGCCATACGGGCCAACACCAAGGAACGTGGCCAGCCCCAGGATGCACAATAGCGTCCACTGAGGAATCAGCTTCTTCAGCATGAGAAGGGGAGCTGAGCGCTAGAAGAGCGCCGGGCATAGTGATGGTGGGCATTTTCTAGAGAGGAGATTGGCTGTGGTCGTACTATGGAGGAAGCCTCCAGTTATTCACCATACATATAGTTTCATGTATCCTCAGAACTTAGGCCAGTACCAATGGGCTGGGAGCGAAATAAAATTATCAGGACCCTGAATAATCCAACCGGAATTTAGTCTGCCAGGCCCATCACGGGCAGAACATTGCAATTTCTGAGCTCAACATCACCTAATTACTGGCGGTCCAGGACTTCCTCTGAGATATAATCTTCGAGTCTGCTTGTGAATCGTATGCTCATATCCTAGTTCCTGGCGCTGGCAGTCGTCCTGTTGATGCTATGATCAGTAGTATTCCAGCCACCTGTGATCTACCGTTAATAGGATACGTGGACCTAACGTTGTACAGCCTAACGCCCCCCCAGTCCCTTCCCTGACTCTCCTTAGCGGTCAATCTGTGATGTAGACTCTCACCATTTGTGGCGAACATCGATCAAATGAAAATTTCATACTTAGCCAACCAAGTCTACGATCGACGGATCAGAACTTTCACCAAATAGCGGCCAGGAAATGAGCGTCAAAAACTGTTGGTGCGATTAGAAGAGCAGAACTAGACTAACCCTCACCAAGAAGAAAAGGATTCGAAGCCCATTAATAATATTAATCAGCTGACGGATGACCTTGAGGAGTAATCCCGCGCTAGAGTTCAATTTCACCGTGTTAGCAGTCGGTCCGCACGCAGCTCCTTTCAGCCTCTAGACCTAAACCTAAACCGACCAGTGACTTCGCATCGGAGCCCCATAACGGAAGGCGTGACCTGCGAGATAACCGAGTCCTCCATCTTTTTCTGGCATGCGGTGATTCGGGCACCAGCGAGTGGCGCCCTGTGGCGCTTCGACGTCCTGGGAAGTAGGAGTGTAGGGGTGTGAATAGCGAAATTGACGGAGATGGTGAATTTGAGAGGTCGATCTAGCGTGATTTTTTTTAGGAAGGACTGACGTATGACTCATTATCGCGTTCACTGCGAAGAAAGTAAACTGCGGCCCGGGCGGTCCTTTATGACTTGCGGCGGTCACTAGTACAGCATGTCGCTGGGTCTGCAGCGCAAAAATTACTTCCTGATTTTCTGATGGACCGAGACTCCTGCGCACCTCGTGGGAGTCGGGGATTCAAGTCAAGTCAAATATGACGAATTATAATATAAAGCGCACGGCCGTACCTTGGCGGTGATTATTGGACCCCTTGAGTATACATGATAGGTGCCTGTAGCCCCAGTATGTCAAGAAAACATCAGCTTTTAGCCTGATCATGCTACGTAATGATCAAGATTCAAGAATAACGACCCACAAACTTTTTTTTCGAGTCATTATCATATTCGTCTGTAGTCGTAGTCTCAATGTAGTCCTTGCAGGCGGTCAATGCGCTCCTGCGTAACCGGCTGCCTCATCTTCAACACCAGTCCCAGAATAGTCCGCGTAACGCTTTACGTGGAAGCGGCGGGTGCGATAGCGAATAGCTATGGGTTATGGTCGGTCTGGTCCTTGGGATCACAGCCTGGGATGTCAAGTAACCGTGATATACAGACCGAGAGTTGCTCTTGCTCCATCTACGCTACGCAGTTGATGTTGATCAATCCTTCCTGGCGCGGTAGATGATGCTGTCCTCGTAAAGCCGACCAACCGTCTCAGTAACAGCTTTTGATAGTGACTGGTACCACCATTAATCCAAGATGGGTTCTTAGTAGCTCACGGCATGTAATCTAAGTTTTTCCAGTACAAGATGATGAAATGATGGCTTGGGTCTCGCATGTAAACGCTGGACGGAGTCAGGTAAATCAGCATCTGTCCGCCATCGTTTTAATCGGTTACTCACAAGAGGCTGGTCCATGGGACTCGCTCAGACTTCATCCGATTTTTTTCATGAAGGGGCACACCAGCTACTACCACCTCATAGAAACTGAGAGACGCCTTGCCTACATCGCTACGAAAACTGCGCGTTCAATTGGCGTCGGTGAGCAGATAAGGATCCAGAGCCAATTATATCAGGGCGAACCACAAATAGTACGTAAAGACGCCTTAGAGCATTGGCGCTGCCACAAAGGAAGTTCACATAAACAGAGATACCATACAAGTTGAATTCATGCTGGGGTATACAAACGCAGCGCGCCATATTTCACTCTTCGTCTGGTATTCTCGATGAATCCGCGCTGGTTCGAAGGGTGGCGAGTTCAATCAACAATGAGGAGCGCGTAGGCGCTGACCCCCTCGTAAAGCGCCCTCTCATGTTGAGCAGAATACGGTTGCAGAGCAAAGACGGTAAAGCAACAGACCAACTGTCAATCAGCTTTAGTAATGCAACGCGCGGGAAGACAGACCTACGGCATGAAGAGGTCGATATAGGACGGGTACCGAGCCCAGACAATAGTTGATCCCACGAGTTCCACGAATATCCTGTAGATGCTAAATGGTCGAGTACGCTGTGACAGAAGCGGACGGACATACACGAGAAAGTATAATAAACTTGAGTGGTCGTTAGCATATCTCATCACAGAGGACAATTACCAACCTATCACAGGCTAAAAACGTTGCCAGTTCACTGCGCCGTTGCCGATCCACGAAAACTTTCTTGAGGACGAGTATACAAATGATAGGTTCAAGGATCAGCGATGGCGTCCAAAAGATCGCAGAGAGGGGGGGAAGACCCTCAAAGAGACAGCCCACTGGAGTAGAAACTACCGGAAATCCTGGCGGCGGTTCATTCAGTCGATTCTACAATGAAAATCGACAAACTTACTTTCCACGCGAGCGATTGTCCAGCCAATGAGGAGCGCCATCGCTGCGACCTCAAATATACTCAGGAAAATCATCCAAGAGAGTACCCTACGACTTCGGTCATATATCGCCCACACCTTGAAGGATGTTAGTGGTTGAGTTTTCGCATGAAACCGCTGGACTCCCTCTAAGCTGCAGTATTACTGATAAAAACAAAGGTTCAATGAATGACCGTTGCACATGACGGTGGGCTTACTTTGAACAGAAATGGTGGTAAGGAGGGCACTGTTGAATCATGGGTAACGCAAGAAGAGAAAGTCACGCGCGACTTACGCGATATTATTGCATAACAGGTAGGCGACGCAACTAGGCCAGAGGAAGTCAACCTCGTGAATGTCATAGTAATATAGACATACGTCTTGATGAATGGTTAGCGTAAGACGGCGAAGAGCGAACCAGAAGAATTACTTTGGATGATACCATATTGGATGGATTTTGTCGCACTTTGAATGCTTTGCTTGTCAAAAGAATCAGCCGCGATCAATACTTCCTGCTCACTTATGTCAAATGTGAGCCACAACGCTGGAAGCCAGCGGTTCTCGAGAGCGCATTAACATAGTGCCCATTCTTCTCTATCATGCAAACTCACAAAATGATAGAGAATTGTCACCCAACTTTTCTTCTTTAACCAGATCAGATCAATCTATCAAATCGTACCTCAACAGCGGCAGTCACTGGAATCAGATTGACTCTTTACCTCGTCCTCGATGGTAATGACTACGCGAAACGAGAGTCAGCAAGTAAAATACATCAGAAAGACTCCTTACCGTATTCATAAATTAGAAGTCCCAGCGCTGCAGCTCGTGACTGCTTCCCCATGTTCACTGATTGGCATATATGCATCAGTAAATAGTCCAGGAAATGAGTCGCAGTCACCAACAAGCTTTCCAAGCAGACAAAGAAATCAAGGCAGGGTCCAACATGAATTAAGGCCATCCGTAGCATGACATGAAGCAGAACCGGCTTTAAGACTCGGTACTCGAAAAACTGAGCTCAGCGCTCAGCGCTCAGCCACGAGGTAAAATTATGTGTCACTGCTTGATCACAGCCCCAATCCGGTTGGACGCCATGTATAGGATAAAACGGACCCGATTACATAGTGAGTTCTAGAGTTCTCGCTTCAAAAGTTCGAACTTGCCGGCAGGAAAATCTGCTCAGGCTTGACTAATACGGTTCATGCTGAGTCCTCGAGGTAGGTCGCCGGCAATGACCGCGTGGTGGGCGGAGAAGTGTACCCCGCGGACCTTGATGACATTTGCTGTGCGAGTTTTGGAAGCATACGATTGTAGTAATCGATCAAAAAACTGATCGACTATTATTGGCACCTGCAATGCTTCTATGTAGGACCGTGACCAGGAACGCGGCGTAACGCAATCAAATGTGGCCGTGGGCGCATGCGCTGTTCTGTTGATAATTGACAATCGGTTCAGGATTAATTGAACGATATCCATGATCCAAGTCCCCGCTCCGCCACTAGTTCAAGTTCAAGATTAATATTGCTGCTTTACTTTTTCACTCTCCTATGTAGTAAGGCAGTTCAATGCATGGATAAAAACATTCTCACTGACTCACTCTCACTGATATCCATCCCGTCATCTTGTTCTCTTCTCAAAATAGTGGAGTCCATATCCGTCGCACCTTCATCGAGTCTCAAAGGTTATCGAGCCCTGAATGAGGAAGAAAAGACGTACTTCCGCTCCCTCCAGCACGAAGCTCTGCCAGACGGTTCTGAAGAACGATAGCGGCGAGATAAATTTATGTTCACTTGAGTCAAACTGTAACAAAATCGTTGCACTGCATTTCTCGAAGAATAATGGTCGCAAGATTGATTTGATTTCGCGAGTCGAGTTCAAAGTTATCGAAGTCGGAAGGAGTAGTGAATCCCATTGGTCAATAATGCTGCAGTTCGTTCCGATGATCTCTTCCTTTATATGATGGCGTCCTATTGTAGGAATATCATTAGTACATATCCACCACACTTGCCAAACGTCCTTACCGAGAACATTAATGGCGAAAACTATAAATCCTCGGCCGCTTAAAGTCGAGCGAACTCATATCAGATCCCGGGTGGTATGGTTCAGGCTGCTATTCGGCGATTAAACAAGTGCCATAATGGGTTATTAGTAAGATTGAGAGGGCAGCTAGATGGAAAGGTTAGCCATGGTATGATACTTTGGATGAAATTCACGAACATGGTCAGCGGTCTGAAGGACCTGTTCCAGCAGGGGTTCCAAGTTTCGCAATTGATTCTCTCTTGTAACTTTTGCGACCTTCAGACTCTCTTGTAACTGCGTCGGTCGAGATATACCGGGAATGAAGAAATAACATACTTTCGCTCCCTGCAACACGAAGCTCCGTCAGACGTTTAGGAATAATAGCCTTTTGCGTACGCTCGAGCCAAACTGTAATAAAACAGTTGCGGTGCGTTTCTTACGCGGCCAATGGAGTCGAGTTCAAAGTTATCAATATCGGAGGTAGTGAGTCCCATTTGTCAGCAATGCTCTTCCATTACATGATAGTGTCGTCTACGGCAGCAATGTCATTAGCGCCTATCCACCACCATGCCAGAAGTCCTCACAGAGAACATCAACGGCGAAAACTATAAAATCCTCGGTAGCCTAAAGTTGAGTGAACGGTCGGAGTCGCTGGATATGACCGTCTCTTCCTTCGAAAGGATCTTGCGGGTGGCTTGCATCATCTGAAAAAAGAAGTGAGCTTATGGCGCGCGTATTACACGCGGTCTTGGACATATCTTGTATTCCAAGAGAAGGCGTCGAATGAACATATAGTAGCTTTGCCTTCTCGTCGCTTGTCGACATGCTGATTGTACATCTCCAGCAAAGTTAACTTAAGGGCAAGTGGATATCCCGTCTCGTATGGAGGGGGCAGCGCTGCTCTTCTACGTTTACATCACATCTTCCTGTTCCAGCGCGTAAGCCATCCTTCGAGGCCAGAAACCAAAGGCCACAAGGTCTGCAAAGGCAGCAAGTTTAGTTCGCGTAGGATCGGAGACGGCCACAGCGTGAGATGTCTGGGGATAGGAATGGCGTTTGGGTCTGACGGTGGCCCGTGATTATTGTAGAGCTTGAGAAACCAAAAGCGTAGTGTGAGGGTTAAGTAGATGAGTGGCATTCAGTATTCACGTACCTATCCACGAGTTGATATCTCAGTTCACTTTAAGGGGTGTGTTACGCTCGGCGTTGGTTGGACGTCTTGAAAAGAGTGAGCTGTAACAGGGTGGCATTCGTCAAGTGCCCGCTTCACTGGTTAGACCGAGGTGTCCAACCGCTCGGAAAAAGGTGTAGGCATTATAATGCGTTGGTCGCCACGCTCTCAGTAATTTGTCAAAATTGGATGTTTCTCATCACAAAAAAACAGTATACGTAATTGTACAAGCCACATCGTCCTCCTCACGCCAAAAATTTGTCTGACTAGTGACGCAAGTCTTCTCAACAAGTTTGAGAAGTCCTAGATTTCATCCTCCAGATCAGGGTCGCTTACTGATAGGACATGCTCGTATTCTTGGAGCTAGAATGCGGACGCGGACGTGGCGCACAGGCGTGGCGACCGATCAACAGGGAAGGTGAAACCGGGAAATGAAGCACCGTCTTTTAGTGCTGCAGATTAGACGTGCACGTACTTCGGCCCATAACTTCGCTGAAGGTCGTTCTGATGGATTAGAATGATTAATGAGGGCTACGCATAACGAATTAGGAAGGGGGAAGGGGAAGGGAGAGGTCACAGAAAGTCCGAGAATTGGCCAGTGTGAAGTCTGTACGTGATTGCCCCGATAATAGTAAGAGAGAACGAAGGTGACTGCGATTCCCACGGTACCATTATCGTAGCGCCGCCGACGCGCCAGTTCCCGACTCCGCCGGCTCTTTCCATTTCCTGTTTTGCCGTCAGTTATGAACTAGGGTTCGGCGTTGACTTGCTTGCCTGCATGGTCGAGTTCCAATCGTTTTTTGTATACCCAATTTTATTCTACCGATCTCTCAGTTTCTCACGCACGATTTGGTAGAGATCGGCACGTTTGTTGCAGACAAAACCCTCCTCCACTACCGTTCCTGAGACACTCGACATTTAGACCAAATTAGGTTAGGACTTAGCGCTTAGGTACCGGTTGGCTTGCCATTTTCAAACTTTTATGTATAATTTACTGATACATTTTTTTTTTGAAATGACGGTTCTTAGATCAACGAGCTCCTGGCAATGAGCCTTCGTTATCATTTGGTATTCAAACTCCATGCGTTTCCTTAGCGGAGGTCACGATGACGAGATCTTGAAGTGGACAGTACCCGTCGACGCTAATTCAAAAGCGAGGTTCTATCCTTGACTCTCATAACACAAATCGAGCTTCCTTCGTGAAGAGCTACTCGTCCAAGCGATTCACACTGACGCTAACGCCTTTACTTCATATGCCGATCGGTCATTCGTTATGGCCCGCCAACACGCTTGGGACTATGCCTTTGGGGATGCAATCGAGGTGATATGGACCGACCTATCACGACCCTCTCAGGAAAGACTGAAGTTCATCTGTGAGATAGTCCATCGGTATTCAGCCCACATTGACTGGCTATATCTCCGAGGGCATCTCCTACTGCTAAAAAGCTCAAGTCTGGGAAGCCAGGAAAACATCTGATGTCGCATCCATGTTCATAAACCAAGATTCAACCACCCACCAATTTCTCCTCTTGATAAAGGTAGGTCAAACTGGTCCCACATGCTCTCTGCTTCCTTCCGTATTCCAGGCCATCACACTCTTCAACGCAGTTCAACACGAAGAAGCAATCCTGCTTATCAAAGAGCTGCTTACCGCTTTTTTGAATGTTGATCCTCTCGTGCGTCGTGCCGTGGAAGTAAGTATCATGCGGCCATGCTTGGTCATTGATGCTGATTTTTGCAACTCGCACCTCAGACATATCTACATTTTCAGCTCGGAATTAAAGATTTTGATTCTACGCGTCACGATGCAGCCGCTGATCACTTCGCTACGGTTGTCTGCTCCACAGCTTTCTCATGGGAAAACAATATCAAACATTCGAGGACTTGACCATGGCGCGTCCACGTGATGCTCTTTGGCTGGGATCTCGAGTCATTGTTGCTACGCATCAGAAACAGTGCCAGGCATCCCTTTCGGCAGATAACCTCGTTCATTACAGCATTCTCGGATTTCCCGGCCAAGACATCAATAGTGCCCTAGGCGTCTCCCAAAACTCGGGCTCATCTAACTTCGTTTTGCGTATCATCTACTGGCTCGAAGTGTAGTGGAGAACTAGGAGACGTGCAATGACTATGGGAGGTTGCCAAAATAGAAGATGGTACGGAGGGTGAGCTAGTGCTTGAAATTGCAGGTCTTCCTCCTCTCTTTTGTTGGAAGGGTCTGATGAGTTTTTTTTAAGCGACGGTTTCTCTTTGCCTGGTCTGCTAGATCTGACGCCGATGTAGAAGTGGGAACTGTGTTGAACCTTGCCCTGTCATATGTTGAGGCGCAAGTGGAGAACATGTACAAATTGATGGTACTATACATTTTACTTGATCGTCGAGCGATGGTTAGATCTCGTAGAGTATGTTCTCCCTTTGTGGTTTTATTGATTGATGTACGCCTCAACCATGCAGGGCCCGAGGATCTAAATCTTCCCTCGATCGCCTGATCGAACTTATATTTTTCATTTCGCCCACGTCTACTCGTCGCGCGGACGCGCAGGGCCTGCGGCCAAAAGATGTTCTCTAGGGCGTTTTGCTCAATACGTAGTTCTGGGAATATACGAGGTGGGATTATCCGTTGCTCTGATTCCTTGTTGTGCTTTCGCACTTGAAAGCAAACGATTTCCTCCGGCTCAAGGCGTGCATCTAGTGCACGCGGCCAGCGTCATGCGCCTCAAGGTAGATGAGATAGCTTCCTATGCTTCTGAGCGCCATTGGACGCCCAGTTCTTCGCGGGTCCTGTGGACTTGAAGTTCGCTTGCCTTCAGTTTGTAGTTTGGCAATGTTCAGACAAGGCCCCGGGTACGTCGTAGTATATCCTATCGTTGATCTTAACTTGACGCTTCATCCCAGCCTGCAGCTCTTTTTCCTGTCGACCCAGGCTACATCCATGTCCTGCTCTCTAAGATCCTTTCTGGGTCTCCAACACATGACAGTACCACCACGCCCGCGGTCTTCCACACCTCCACCACCATCATAAACGCCCTCGTTTGGCTCCGACGCGATCTTGTCATTCACGTTTTACCAAATCTGGGGATGATTCTTCGCCAACTGATCGCATGCACCCACAGCCTGCGGCCCCAGCCAGCCACGAAGCAGAGCCAGATGATCATCGCCGACACCCTGCATCGCAAATAGCACCCTCTGAGCCACTAGGTGTGACAGAAGCTCGTGTACTCGCGCGACTCTTCACCTCGATGACGAAGAGCGTCCCCCACATGCCCATCCACTGGGGAGGCCCTCAGGGTCAATCGTACGACCTGTCGTCATCGTGATAGATGCGCTGGACGAGAGGGGCAAAGCTGAGACACGCCTTCGCGTTCTCCGCATTCTTGCGGGCAAACTAGGCGTTCAACAAATCACCAAACTCCCAGCTAACTTCCTAATCATCGTAACTTCTCGCCCGCTTCATGACATTGAAGCTGAGCTCTGAGGTGCTCCGCATGTTCATGGACGACATTTCGTCGGCCACCGCAGAGCGCGACATCCGCACGTTTCCTAAGCGGGCTGGATCAGCCTGGCTGAGGCTGTCGTGGGTTTTGACTGGGGTTGACGGGTGAAGCCGGGCCTTCGTAGAGCTGCCACATGGAGATCCTCCCTCGCAGTGCTTCTTCCTTAGTGAAGCACTGTGGCCCGTGCACTACTTTTAAGACTACACTTCGAAAGATTCTCGCTCGCCCCGTTTTTCTTCTTCCCAGTCTCATCTCCCTTTGCGACGCGCGTATAGTAGTCACAAGTTGAGGACTCCGTGCACTTCTAAAGAGACCACGAAGATCGGCAACCTATATATTCCATAGCACAGCGCGGCAGTCTGGCTTTTTGTTCTGCAGTCAAAGCGTCATCTCGACAGGTATATGGCGTTTGAATACCAGCAGCATCTGCCAAATGAAGTCCTATCCAAAATTTTCCATGAAGCACTCCTGCCGTTGCATGATATGGCGCCTTGCTATGACCATCTTGATGACCTATCGCTTTCATCAAGGCTGCTTGAAGCTCCCCTGTTGTTGACCAAAATTTGTCGACGATGGAGAGATATTGCTGTGGGGATGCCTAGCTTATGGTGCAGGCTGTTGGTGAAAGTTGAATGTGGAGACTGGCAGCGACGCGCTGTCTGCTATGACACATGGCTCAAGCGTTCCCAAGGACGTCCAGTCTCATTGGCCCTCCTGTGGCCTGACTTCACCAGCGACTCTGCCAAGTTACGAAACCTTCTGCAGCCTTATATCCATCAGATCACATCTCTCACTGTCGACTTCTATGATTTCCCGTGGCCAATTGGACCTTATTTGTTCACAGGCTTCGTAGCAGTCGAGCGGTTGTCTGCACGCATTGCTGATGATCTGGAACATGAGGTTTCAACACCTATTGCATGCTCTGCATCTCAACTACCTGCTCTGCGCAGTTTCTATTTCGAGGCATCATATCGATTAGGCCTTGGTGACTTGGAGTCTTTTGATCCCATGTGGAGATGTCTAACAGAAGTTTCGGTTGATGCGAGTACCCATGACTCCATTCTGTACTTGCTCCAGGTAGCTCCCGACCTCTCCTCATTGACGATTGACACATACCTGGGGGACGAGGAAAACTTGGAGCCTTTCATGCACGCCAAACTTCGATTCTTATGCCTTCATGTAGACACATTATCTGACCTTCTCAATGCTCTCTCACTCCCCAATCTATGCATACTGGAAGTTCATGGCTTGTTAACCTGGCCTCATGATGCATTCACGGCATTCCTGGCACGGTCGGGGTGTTCGCTGGAGAGCCTGATCGTTAGTGGCGCAGTAACAATAACTAATGAGCAGAGAGCAGAATACATTAGTCTTTCCCCCTCACTCCAATTTCCATAGCCATACATCATAGGTTTTGCATTATGATAACGAGTCACAGTCAACACTATTGAAGGCGCCTTGGCTTCATCAGAGCCGCAGGAAAAAGCTGAATCGCGATAAGATCAGCGAATTCAATCTCGCATTTGACGAGTCGAAATGATGGCTCAGTCTCGTCGCTATAGAGAAGGTTGGTTTGCGGATCACGCCTAGACTGACGTGCTTTGGTGCGCTACGGAGATAAGGCTTGGCTTAAGCCGAGCTCGAACGATGGAAGCGTTCATAACCCTCTCGATGGGGACCTCCCTTAGACTCGTGACCAGTCTGACGTACGTCACAATGAGCATTGTTGAAGAAGCATAGAACGGATGTCCCATCACCATATGCTTTCCTCTGGCGGTTGAACTTTGGTAAGACGGGGAGAAGGTGTCGCCGGAAAAAAATGGTCAATCCGTCCTGGATGCGTTGGACCATAAAGTGGTGAACTTCGCCACATCGATGTTCTCTTCCTTGCCGTTGACCTGAAAAAGGCTGTTAATCCTGTGAATATCCACGAGTTAAATCAATACTACATTGAGCTTCTGGTTAGAAACCTGGTATATGTCGTTGAAATGCGCAATCTCGAGTACGTTCTCGTTGCCTGGAGGCGGTGTAACAGGATTAACATCGTGCTCTGCGCACCAGACCTTGATCCCTTGTTCATATTGCTCCCAAGTGAGCCCTCCTGGATCTGTGTGACGGACAAGGACGCCTTGAAAACGGTCTTCAGCCGATGATAGCTCATCTAAAGCAACTGGGCGTACCCTCTTTCGACAGGTCAGAAGCGAATTCATTATCAAAGTAGACCTACGCAGGAGCTTAGATACGTGCAAACCGGACAAAAGAATATCATACCATGTCCTCGTATGCGTATTTGCTCCATCCTTGGATGCGCTTAAAGTGCTTGGTCTTGGATTCTGCGAAGGAGAAATGGCGTCAGTGGTTCTGAGAGGCAAGTAATGACATCCTACCATCTTTATGATGGATTTCTGTTGGTTATCCCTTGGATCGGTGGCATGGAAGTAGTATAGCACTCGGTCCACCCTGAGAAATAAAATTCAGTGCATGTCACGACTTACCACTGCGCAGCGATGAGAACCAACAATACCTTGCTATCATGTCCCGACACGAGCGCGATAGATGCCCCATTCTTCAACGCATTTTCGATTATTCTCGGAATGTCGGGACAGAGCGTTACTTTATTTTGATGGTTACTACTGGAGATCCATGACAATACACCATATCCAAAATCCTATGAGATGATCTTTTGTCTTTTGAAAGCCAAGTATCAACCTTCTTGACGTCAGAAAGTCAGGGTATTGGGAAGTCTGTGTGAGGTCTGCGCAGACTCCGCGTCCAGGTCTGTGTCTAGGTCTGTGTCAAGTCTTTGTCAGCGTTACGCGGGAGTTACCGGGGGAAGGTTTGTCAACCACCAAAGGTCTGTCTGCCCGCCGTCTTACATAGCCATTGATCATCTTATCTCGTCGTTTGCCCGCCGCCTCTCTCGTTGCGCGCCGCCTCTCTCGTTGCGCGCCGCCTCTCTCGTTGCGCGCCGCCTCCCTCGTTGCCCGCTGTCTCCCTCGTTGCGTGCCACCTCTCTCGTTGCCCGCCATCTCTCTCGCTTGTGCACCACCTTTCTCATTGGCTGCAGTCCCTCCCGCGTCTCTCTCGTTCATTGCCTGCAGTCCTTCCTGCCACCCTCTCTCGTTTTCCCGCCGCCGCCCTCGTTGCCCGCCACCTATACTTGAACCGTGGGCACCATGTCGGGTGCCTCAGACGCTCAGGAGCGTTAAAATTTTAGGTTGGCTCATCGTGCTTCTCCCGCGTTGAATCAACGCTGATATCTAGAATTAAGGGTAAAGCCACGCTCGTTTTGAGCTTTTCCCTTCTTTCAATTTTCCGATTTTCATTTTCCTCACCACCCCGTAATTTACAGGTCTGAGATCTGACCTCCCACCTCCCAAACGCTCTCACGCTTAGGTCGACCCGCGGGCAGCGCTCGGGCATGACCCTGGTTGACCTATGTCAGGCCTTATTACATGTCTGGGGCGCGGATTCAGTATTTATCGCATATCAGCCTCCTTTAAAGTAGTCAGTTGTTTGGTCGTATTATTTCCAGCCGCTGCATCTGCAGGACGCTAAGCTGCATCTGCAGGACGCAAAGCTGCATCTGCAGGACGCAAAGCTGCATCTGCAGGACGCAAAGCTGCATCTGCAGGACGCAAAGCTGCATCTGCAGGACGCAAAGCTGCATCTGCAGGACGCAAAGCTGCATCTGCAGGACGCAAAGCTGCATCTGCAGGACGCAAAGCTGCATCTGCAGGACGCAAAGCTGCATCTGCAGGACGCAAAGCTGCATCTGCGGTCACCGGCCGCTGCATCTGCAGGACAAAAAGCTGCATCTGCAGGACGCAAAGCCGCTGCATCTGCAGGACAAAAAGCTGCATCTGCAGGACGCAAATCCGCTGCATCTGCAGGACAAAAAGCCTGTATCTGCAGGACGCAAAGCTGCATCTGCAGTCACCGGCCGCGGCATCTGCAGGCGACTCGTCATTTTTTTATTGAGCGTAAAACCTAGAGGTGCGCCCCCAACTGACATCACTGAAGCGCGCATTTCTCGAGGGTTGAGATACAAGATGTCGTCCCGTCTGTGCGTCCAAATATACAGGACTTCGAACTCCTGGACGAAAAAACAGGGAAGAGCATGCGTCAACCTCTCCCTCTCTCGCTTTTGCCTCTCTCTTTGTCTTTCCTCACGTTCCTGCTCGTCCATAGCGCCAGCGCCTTCGTTGAAATCGACCACGTCCACCTCCAGCGCGCTCATCATCCCAAATCCGCTTAATATCCTGGACCGGCGGCCGGTCCTCGTTATCTAACTCATCTTCTGACGATTCCACAACTGGCTGGCGCTTAGAGGTCGATGGAGCGGGTGGAGACCACCTTCTGGCCTACGCCGTAAACGAGTCAGTCGATTCCCGAATGAAGCGCCCGGTTTTTACTCTAGCAGCTCAAGGTCGTCTTCTTCCAAGGCCTCCTCGTCTGAGAGAATAATTAGAACGTTGTAATAATAAGCCCAATTCATATATGCTTACTGCGCCTCCGATGTCTCCTCTTACGCCGCTTCCTTCCTCGATGCCTTGCCTCGTCATCGTCATCGTCTTCCTCCTCATCCTCATTTTCATCTACGATAAAGCGTTCTCTGATTCTTCTCGCCTCTTCCTCCACTTCCTCAGAGCTATCGTCCGAAATGACCTGGGGATCTGCCATAGTTCGCGCCAGAATCAGACGTTTGCTTTATAGGCGTACGAGAGCCAGATGACTTTGTCAAATGCGGCGAGCAAGAGATGGAAGATGATCGCTCATCTCGACAATTTGGTCAATTTGCGCGTCGCCCAGGTCCGCGAGTGGATATAGTCCAACATCGCTTGCTTCCAATTTCTAAAACGCGCAGGCAAGCATCGACGAGCTCATGAGAACGTTTGAAAGCGCCGCGGTAGACATCAAGAGCGACTTGCAGTTGTGCGATATGAGCGCACGAAGGTGAGATGGATCCTCTTTACCGTTGCGTAAGAGGTCACGCAGAGGACGACCATCTGTGAGCTGCTACCGTACTTGCCTGCGGTCAGGTATCTTGACCCTAGAATAGCCTTTTTATGTGCTTAAATGGCCTCCAGCCCTGCGATCTGTCAAAGCTCAGGTTGAGTTTCGCACCAGTTTCTGACGCCTAATTTGCCAGCGACATGAATCATGACCAACGCCTGGGCGATGCTCGACTTGGCTCTTTCCCATCTTCACGGTTTGGAAGACGGTGCTATCCATCTCTGCATGTTCGTCGACCATCATCCTGCGTATCTTTGTACCCTGACAATTAAACCTCAAATAGGGAGGAGCGTTCGCGTTCCATGCAATACCCAGCCGAGGGAATCCGCGAATTTGAGACCGCGCGACAATCGATCAACGCGACGTTCACAGGAAGGCACCAGACGTTCCGGTACGCAGAGGTGGCGGGTTGTTTTGGTCCTGGACATTATTTACTCGCCCTCAACAGTGGCTAAACGACTGACTATTGTACATGGCCGCTCGGTAGGTACATTCGGCGCCCCTTCGCAGTCACTTTTCACGAATCATTACAGAAGATACTGGGCACGATGAATCAATAATATTAGTATTTATATGCACACACCAAACATGGTACGGAAGATACGGGGCCTCCATCTGTTTGTGGGTAACGTTGAATACCGTGCTATGGCGGAGGGCATGTAGGAAATGGCCGCAGACTAGTCTGTGTCTGGGGTGTGTTTTGTCGGCAAGTTCCGGGTTGTCTTTTCTGACTCATCAGCACTCCCGCCACGATCTACGTCAGCCACTGTGACGCCGATCCCAGCCTGATCACTGAAAACCAAGATCTATGATAAACCCTTATATACACATTATAATCCCCACAATGTCTATGATCGTATAAAATATAGCAGTGCAGAAGCCATAGTCTTGTATAGAAATATATTGTTATCCCTTGCGACCAATCTTTATCATGATTAAACTCAAACAGATTGATAAACACGCTAATTGCTGAAAACAAGATATATATGCGTAGAACGCTATCCCCTATGACGGATAGTCGATAATTATCAAGATGGTTTTCATTTGGCATTGGCTGCATGAATCATGTTGTGACAGTACTAAAACTGTACTGAAGTGATGAAGCGCGTTCGAAAAAGTGTCTCTCATTGGGCCTTTCTAGCCCAAAGGCTCTCCCGTCCAATAAGTAAAGAGATAGAAATTCTTGCCATCTGTACCATCATATGGACGGTTGCTTCATTGGCATCATGGTATTGCGGGTTTTATACTTGATTGGCCAGGAAGTCACATTGGGTTGTATAGGATTATACAGAGACGCTCGGTACGATACGCGTAGTTTATCAATGCCTCGCCAATTCTCTACCCTAATCTCATCATCAACACCGTCTGCAGGAACAATAACATGGGTTGAACCACAACAGATATCGTTCGTGCCTTGAAGTCCAATGAAAGCAAGGCGTCGCGATTTGCACTGCTGAAGTGGTTGACTGAGTTTGGCGGCGCCGGCGTACTATCAAGCTCGGCGGTGCCGGTATAGGATCGAGTTTGGCGGTATATAATTGAACTCGTTGTACCATAGGATGTAACAGGATCGAGTTCAGCCATAGAGTCGAGATTTTGGCCATGGAATAGAAGTTGGTCGCAGGGATCAAATCCAAATATGAGATCGAGTTCAGCCATATCATCGAAGACCAGTCATCCTTAGACAGAAACATAGATCACGATATGACATATCCTGTTGCCAGACCATGTAGTACAGTGCGACTTTCTGGATGGCGTCCCGTCGAGAAACTTGCAGGAAGTAGCGTTAATGAGTGATTGAAGCTGAGTCGGATCCTTACTTATCAATGACCGGAAGATATGCTCGGCCGGTGGTGACTGAGGTCTTGACCCTTCTCAAGGGAGTTGTACCTCATTCGTTTTGAGATCCGGTGGTCAAACTATTTCAGAATAGGAAAAGAGAAGGAGCAGGGTCGGAGCCGGGTAAGGCTGCGAGCTTCGGCGTCAGTTGCAGACAGCTAAAACCAACAGAGATCCGACTCGGATATCAGCGGCAGTTTCTTTGAAGAAAGGCCAAAGTGCAGAATAGGTTTCAAGTGGGATTCAGGGATCATCCAGACCACCATTCACTACTGCCCGATCCCAACAACCGCCAGTGCTTAGCGCACATGCCCAGCGCATGTCAGCAAATGCTGACGTGGCTCGAACATATGCGAACCACACCGGAAGGCGCCAGAATGAGAGGAGTAGAGGAGGGCGAGAAGGAGATGAGGGAGAGGTAAGTTTATCTCTTGGGTGCCTATGTAAATGAGGTAGTTAGCTCCATAAAAATGCGCAATACATATTACACGCACCTCTGCAGCTTAGAGGAAGGTACCCACAATCCCTCGGCCGCGTTCAACACCATCAACCTCCAGTAAAATGTCACAGTTCATTCCAAGCACCACATCCCTTCGAGCTTTTGACAGACCGGCAGTGCCTGTTCGAGAAGTCGGCTCAATGTCGAGTAAGACATGTTAGGACCTCAGAAGCGAAGAAGGATGACACTGACTGCGTCTTGAGATGAATTGTTGAATCAGAAAATATGACAATGACGAGCAAATGTAGCGAAGCCATGGAGGACGAGTGCGACTCACAGTACTTGGTGTGTGCTGTCGAGACGTATTATCGTCGATGATTGTCGCGAGGGATGCTGACGTTTTTGCATTCCGGAAGGCCGCACCTCGAATAGTCCATTCCATACCCAATGTCCCGCGCTCTCGCGCTCGAAATGATATCGATCCCTTCGTCGCGACTACGGGGCTCGCAAGACCACGGTCAGGTCTATAGAAAGCGAGCCGCGCACGGTCAGCGCGTCTTTTCAGACCTGAGAAGCTAGGAGGGGTCGTATATGGTCTTTCGGCTCCTGATCGCGCTCAAAATCCCTTCGTCGCGACTACGGGGCGTGCAAGACCACGGTCAGGTCTATGGAAAGCACGTCGCGCACGGTCAGCGCGCCTTTTCAGGCCTGAGAAGCTAGGAGGGGATCGTGAAGCAGAAGAGAGGCTGATCTCACCTCTTATGTACCTTTGGAGAGCGGCCGATACGTACTTCGCATGTACGTATTATTGGCCGCACAGTCCGCATCAAGGTCGCTTGAGGCCGTTTTAGGTGGTCTGCCTCGACGAGATCTGCCCTGATTCGCAAGTTGCTTGCCGACAACGGTATCATCACGGCCTGCGGAGCTTCGATCGAATCCTCGAGGACGCCTCGTGTTACGGACGCTCTTCTCAAAGCAACGCCTAGGTTGCTTCAGTGAGCTGGCTCTATCGCCGCAGCTTTCTACCTCAGTCAACGAGCCTGATCACTGCAGATGTTCTATCAAATGTGGGATGAGCATCATTATACTCCGAACGCTATCCCAGGGTAGGATGCTTCCGGTTGATACGGCTTGATCATTGATGACACGGACAACCATCGAGGTCCGCGCGGCAGATGCGGAGAGCAGCCCACCCGATCGGCTCTGATCATGCCCTTTCGGAATTTTATGTAATCGCAGCTGACACCCAAGGTATTACGATCGACCTGATGGTCGAGTTTCCGTTTTCTTGTGGCGGAAATCCGACGGTTGCGAAGCTTCCTGAGGCTTTCTTTGATAATCCTCTTGCGTCAGCGTCACAGACGCGGGTGATTCACGATTAGGTTGAAGATAATCCATCGTTTCTAATCGATCGGAGGTCGGCAGGCCTCTCTGGTTCACCCTGGATTTTCTATCTTCAGACAATTCAAGGAGGAGTAGGCATCTTGGTGGCAGGCGTGCGGTGGTTATTCGAGTATCTCGGCATGTGGCGCTGCGGCGCTAGTTTCGCTTTTGATTAATTTGATTCCCCGACTCCTAGGAGCCTCGGCTTTGTTTTGATGATCGGGGTTTTCCCTGTCATCCTCGTGAGGCGTATACCCCATGAGCTTCATTCGCCATCGGATGTTTCATTTTTTGAGGATCTAGATTCGTTTTCGTGTCTGTACGGGAACAACTTTATTTGGCTAAACGCGTCCAAATATTGCTGTTTCTTTCTTTCTTTCTTTGTTGATGGCGTCTTCTCTATAGCTACTCATCAGCACATTGGTCCTCGAGGACAATTAACATCTGTCTTTCACGACGTTCGTGGTCGCAAATGTGTTGGTTACGTGCAGGGACGAATGATTAGCTCACATAAAAGTAGTTCTGAAAAAATTGCGATGACTGTCAGAAGCCGCATGAACCGCGAAGGAGTTGACTTACCCATCCAACCTGGACAGCAATCAATTAGCGATAGCGCACTTCAATCGAGAAACTTGATACTTACTGCGAAACCAAGTGCAGGGTCGACCCATCGTGCGGCTGAATTGCGTCGATCAATGTCACATTTCAAATGATACGAACTATCCCACATACCAAAATGGGGGAATCTCACTGAAATTGGGGCATGATGCATGAGACGTCATTTCACCGATGGAACACAGCGATCTAAAAAGCATTAGAAAGGTTTGATGAAAGGGTGTGCGAGCGTACGAGTATGCCACTGAGCCTACGAGGGCGTATGCGATAAGGGCACTGAGGGGGCCTGCGCCACTGAGAGCTTTCCCAGAACCCAGGAAAAGTCCTGTACCGAGCGTTCCAGCTCTCTATACTCTTCGTGAGTCAACTTGTAAGGGCGATACCGTGACACGACATATAGCAATCCTAATTAAATCAATGAGCTGGCTATAACAAGACAAAGATAGACGCACATCTGAACAGAAGCGACGTCGAACTGGTGCCTTCCGTCAGTAACGACATAAACTCCAACGTCGGGCTGGTTCTTCTCGACGCTATTAACATCATACTTGTGGTCCTCGCTGCTCATGATGGGGTCAACGAGGGAAATTGTGCCGTAGGATAGCGTACTGAGATGAAGGGGGGGGGGGGGGGGGGGTTCAGAGGGGGATATTTATATTCGGCTCGTGTGCCATCAAGTATGGTAGGGAGACACAGCACAGCGTGGTGTCAAGTGGCGCCTGATACGGACCAGAAAATATTAGATAGGAACCACAATGGTGGACATGTTGATAGGAAGTTTTACTGCAATTTGTTTACCGACACTTAATAGCCATGGCAAGAATGCGAACACGTCCGACATAACGATCAATACGTACACAGGTAACGCCGAGTCAATAGTCGAAGATAACGGTGATGCAGCGTCAATCTCGAGAAAGTTGAGGAATGGATTGGTTGAGTGGGAATAACGTCGACTAAAAGGTTGCAGGCTGAACTAGCGATGCATGAATATGACGGCATAACCAGCTTTGAGGAAATATTCGGCAGATGTTGCACCTCGGGTACCTACATCATGATTAGAGGAATATAATGAAAAGAACATTAGCACGTACCTGCGCTGAAGTTATCGAGGAAGCGGACGCTGCACATTTACTGAACATGAAGTCAGTAACCCTGTACGGCTGTGGGTGGTTGATCGTTCTTACACATTGAGCTCTAGCGGTACGGTGGTCCCTCCGCTCTGATTCGAGTTCAGAGTGAATCACGCGAGCGTCTGTGATAACGACTCTCACCGTTACAAGCACGACGGATCGGTTAGCCTGTCGTTGCCGTTGGATAAATTCGTGAACGCCCTGTATGTCGACGTCAAATGAAGGAGGTTGTGATTGTGTTTCAAAGTACGTACGATTCAGCAGAGAATGTCTGCGGGTTCGTGTTTTGTATTAGACATCCTGTATGAATCCAGAGCCTGCGATATCGGAATCCGGATGGCCAAATTAAGTAATCAATCATGCCATTTACATTAACCAATCACGGTCACCCGTTTTCATCCAAACGGTATCCAACCCGGTCAAGTTCGGCGTCAAATTTGAAATCCTATCTGTGATATAATCAGTACATCGATCGTATGTCTCTCACACATGTGCGATACAGTCGATTGATATACGCATGGTCAGATAGGTAGCGGGCCTGACAAAAAAAACAGCATGAAGTCTACACTACCTCTAATAATGAAATAAAAAAACATCTGCCCTGCAAGTCATCGCGGTATCGTCGTTAACGGGAAAATAGTGAAAAAGAAATATGTCATCAACGAAAGTGGTCGTCTAAAGGAACGCTCATCAAAAAGAACCTACCCCTGTAGATTCGCTAGGTCGGCTTTTTCGATCATGGTCACGTTCGCGTCATCGAGCTTTTCGTCACAGTCCGTGCTCCGTCGAGCAGGATGTCTGGGGTCGCCGTGTTCTGGTTGGGGTGCGTGGTCCGTACTGCGGTCATAGAATATGGATACTGAATCTACAGAATAGAGGCAACTGTCAAGAGGAACCAAAATACTGCGGCTCGTCCTTTATACTCATGTGAGCCCCCATGGATGGCCTCCACGGATGTCTCTATTGAACTGGCAACAGCGAGACCAATTGCTGATCCAAATTGAAGAGCGCCGTTAAAGATGGCACCAACTGTGCCTGCCATAGACGAAGGTGCGACTTGAAATATAGCAACGCTGTAATTACAGCGATTGGAATGCGTTAATGAAACCAAGACAATTTGAACTTACTTTGCGTACGCATATGTCAGCATGACTCTGCGCTCCCTAGAGATAAAGCTGGGAATACATATGGCCAATAGGTTTCCCCCCGCCCAGCGCCAGCAATACGGTCGCGATCATGCAAAAAGACACGCCTGTCAGAATAATACATTTCGGACTGAAGATCCGAGAGAGCGATCCGGTGAAACTCATAATGAAAGATGCGACACCGATCGGGAGCCTGGTAAGTTAAAACGGTCTGAATGACGGGAAACGTGGAGTGACAGTCGAGATCTTACATGTGCACAGCCGATGATATTGCGGACCACTCAAATACGTTTTGCCACAGGACGGTAAAAATCACGAACACTGTGAACCACCAAAAGAATGGCAAGAGCGCCACGGCAAAAATAATGGAGAAATTGGGATAAAACCGGTGGTCTGGTACCAGATCAGCCGATGATCGGTGGTAGGTGGAAGTATCCCTGATGACGTACATGGAAGCTGTATCCACGTGTATGAGTGTTTCCCAGTAGAAAAACCCGATGATCATCACGATCGATATGATTAGCGGGACAAGCACGGCTGCAGATGCCCAGCCGTGAAAATTTGTACCGTTAGGATGGTCAAGCCGAGTAAGTCAAGACTTTTCCATTTCGTTGCTGCCGGTTCAAGATTGTCTTTGGCTTTTGCAATTTCTGGCGGTATGATGAGGGCGCATACAAACCAGAACGCCCAGTGGTAAGATGCCCATTGGACGAACGTGGCACCAAAGCCGATGATATTGCCGACCACTCAGATAGCGCCATATACGTTGAGCGTATGCCTACAGCATCGACGTCTTCCTATCATTCTGCGCTGCTATATAGTATTAAGCAATTTTTACGTATGAATGCAAAAACTAGACCACCAGCTTAGAATTCGACATACTTTAGATTAATGTATCGAACGCGACAAACAAGCTCACGAAACAGGCCTGAATATGATGCTTGATAAGTAGTAGGCCAATACATGGGCATATAAGGACAACACAGATTTCGCCAACCTTATAAGGTAAATATTGTCATACCGGGTTATCCTGTTTTCAGTGATAGCCATCAGCTACCCCTGTCAGCGGCTAGCCACCCTGTCATCTACATCAACCACCCCCGTCAGCACTTCAGTCACCCCACCCCTGTGTCACGCATCAGTAAGGGCAATCAACGACGAGTCCGATTGATGACATCTGCAGGATAGCACCTGGAGTATTTGGCAGCTGTGGAGCTGCAGTCAATTATGTTGTCTGTGGGCACGGCGGGCAACGTGAAATAGCGGGAGAGGGGAGAGGCTGATGGCGGGATGGCGGGCGCTGACGCTAAATTATGACATAATCAAGACGTAATGTATTATGTGATGGTGGGCCGACAAACCAATTTCATCCTTTGATTGACTTCCCGGCACTTTCCGGACAACTGCTGGCAGACTTGTCCCCAAACTTTGACTCCAGTGTGACTTGTCTGTACAGTGTATAGGCCTCGCGCAGACTGGCCAAATCCCGCACTTTCTGGCGGTCAAACAGCTGTTTTGAAAGATCAAGTGGCTTCTGATAGTTCGTCCACTCCAGACCTGAAGTTCCTCAGGGTACAGGCATCTTCAAATCCGATTATTTTCATCATTATCGCTGAACATATTTGCTCCAGGCTATTTCACGTTGTCGGACCATCTCAGCGCATATGTGCGAGTCCAGCGACAGGATCTACCGAAAAAAGCTGAAGGCAGAAGATCACGAGGAAATTTTGAATTTGCGATACGTCAGCAGCAGCCTATCCGGGTCGATTCAGTACTCTCTAGCATCAACCATGGACTCATGGCTATAGCTGCGCTACAGTGTCGAGCTCACGCTCGCTCACTTATGAACTTTGAGAAGCCGATAGTCTCAATGAGAGAGTGACAACCTCCTCCTCCTGCAACGGAACTCACACCCTATTATGAACGCCTTCACGAGATCTACGCACAGCTTGACCAACCAGATGGAATGGAGGGCACATCGACATTGATCTTGTCCCCTTCATTGGAAAACCAATCTGCCAACACGAAAGTACTGGATGCTGGACTGCTGCTCAGAGTGGTTGGAAATTCCGCCTCCAGCAGCGGCCTGACAATTTAACCTCAGACATTACGGCAATGTTTTTCTTGCGTTTTTGGCTGCAGGGCTAAGCCTTTTTAGATATGCTCCACACGCATATCCAGGGCGTTCGCGTTAGCAACCCAGGGTGGCAGTCGGTTTTGGCAGATTTTCAGGTCGAAAGTGTGTGAATAATACGAGCATGGGACGACGTTCATA